CTGCATCAGTCGCCATGCCAATGACTGCAAACAGCTTGTCTCGCCCGTCACTTGCGCCGTATCTCCAGAAGTCATTGAGAAGAGACGATAAGGTACGCGGGATGTCGTGATGAAACAGAACACGGATGGACCAAGCCCTGAGTACTGACTGAAACCCGTGCGGCGAGGTCATAACCTGTCCTTCTTCGAATGTGGTAATTCGTTCCAACACATTGTGCTCTCTAAGTAACAACAATAGCTCGGCCAGGTATGCCCAGGACATGGCAACCGGGCCGCATTTGAGCTCAACATGCTTGGGGACAACGACCTCTTGAATAACCCAGACGCGGCTGAACCACGGATTGCGCAGAAAGTCTGCAAGTCTATTCCACGACGAGATATCTTGACATACCGGGTATGTATCGAGGCTTTCCAGAGTGACAGGTTGTCCGCGTTCCCGCAGATCATAGAGCACCCCGTGTACTTCCGCGACAAAGTCCAAGACGCGATCGTACTCTGGGACGTGATCCACCCAAGCGAGCACTTTCCTCGCAGAAGCAAACACATCTCGCATCAGACGGACCTGAGCGGCCCTCTCAGCCTTGTTGTGTTGGTCAATACATAGAGCATCAATCCAGATCCAAGACGGGCCAGCAAACAGGTCCCTCTCGGCTTCGATGTCCTGATCGGCATGCAGCTCATTCATATATATGTATGACGCGCCAGGGGCAGCCACCTCCTTCAAGATCGACATGGCCGAGGTTGTCACCTCCACGTACTCATTGCCGCGCCATACTCGCTCGCTTTTGACCGCCGAGCCCCATAGATACGACACGGCGGTGTAAGTGCATGGCAAATCGTCAAGTGAAACGGGAAGAAACTCAAATTGGAGTCGGCCGAGCTTCGGATCTTGCGTGACTTTCAGGAGTCTGATATGGCGGGGCAAGAGCGCAGCGTATTCAAATGGTCGCTCCATTCGGTCAGCAACGTCCCTGGCCATGAGCTTGCCGATGTCTACACTTGTAACTCACATGGAGAACAATTGCGCTGAACGTAGATCAATGTAATTTGTGGAAGAAAGTCGAGGTCAACCAGCAGCTGTAAGGCGCATTTTCGACACTACTGTGAACCACGAGGCTGTCTGCGGCTGAGATATTAGGTGGGAAACCTTCAGTTAGCCATAACAGCTAGCTAGGGACAGTGCCTCGCCAAGAACAACCAAATTGAGCCCGAATTCCAGACATGTAGACTTGTTGGAAGGTATGGCAGTTTTCGAAAGCCGCCAATAAGTTGATTTATTCGTCATCTTACCGCGGACTTACAACTAGAAGTACAGGGGGCAGGATCTTTTGACAAAACGGCAATAGAGCGACTACCAAAAGAGTGCCAGGTTACAGGAGGCTCGGTAGACTCCCCGTCATCACCATGAAGTGTCTGAAGCTTTTGCAACTAAGTCCTGAGGGCATCTCTTTTCAGTATGACTTCCAATGGGTCATTCGATATGCGTTGTGCCGTCACACCTTATTGCTGTCTCTTCGCCGATGACATGCCCCTGACGCTAAAGAGCTTTCAGGGCTCCATTGCCGTATGCCCCCAGGAAACAGTCTTGCAAAAGCTCGAACAAGGCCGATCTACCTGCTTTAGGTACATACCTTTCGCTTACCTTAGATAATCATTTGATGTGCAAGCACGGCCTGCTGCTTGCTGCAGACCCGGCAGACGTCGGTCACGGATTGAGGAAAGCATGAGCTGCGGGACTCCACAACTGAGACATCAGAAAGGCGGTCAATTCGAAATTGTGCTCTATGATGGCCATGCAAGTCAACGTGCACAACGTCAAGAAGGCGTCTTGGCCCCCCGGATTTCTGTGCGACGGTGGACGTGGACGTGGAAGGGAGCCACTTGGGCGCGCGGTGAGGCATGAGGCACCGGGAAGAGCCTGCAGGTGAGAAGTCATGTGGACGTGGTGGCTGACCGCGCACTGTCGAATCTCTGCTGCTTACGGCAGTCGCAGGCGGCGGAGGGCCTGCTCCTTCCACCACTGCGCACTGAGAGCAATGTGAGATATGATTTCCTGGGGAAGGTGTGATGGGGTGTTGTATAGATCTTCTTCGGGACGGCACGATGACGATGACGATGGGTATTCCCTTGAGATTGAGGCCTCTCAGGCTCTCACACTCACACGAGGAAGGCGCGCCCTGATGTAAGGTACCCGCCTTCTTTAGACGACCGCTCTTCAGATTGAAGACCGGATCTTTGCTAGACTGAGAGATTACCGTATTATTGGCTTTTGACCTGAATATAATGTCATTCGCATCCCCTTAGCTAAAGGAAAGGTGAAGATAGGGGCTTCTTATTACTGCGCGTAGGTTGTCTGGTAATACTAACATCAGTGTTGATCAGTCTGATTTGGTACTGTACATATCACTCAGTCAGTACCTTTGTCTCGACGGTTCCGGTGCCGTGGGCCCTGAGAGCACAGGCCACTGGGGATCAGAGCCCAAGATTGATGGGCACGTGCCCCGTTTTGGCCCAATGGCACTTGCAGGTATCGAACTGAATGCTACCCAGGTATATGTCCAGGGCATCGTCGCGGGCGCCGTACGACATTTCCAGCGCACTGCCGTGCTGTAGCCTGTAAGGCAATGTCTCTTTCCTATCATGCGTGCATCCCGTGCTGCACGGGAGACAGACAGACAGCCAGCCAGCCAGGCGGCGTGGGAGAGTGGGAAACGATAGCTACCTTACCCTTAGATTTACACGTCCAACCATCCACCAGCACACACGACTTACAGTACCGGTAGACCATTGCGACGGGATGCAGCGCTACTGGTGCTCTGGTGCTCTGTCCACTCGGTTCGGGCACCGCATGAGATCGGTGGGTATCAATAGTAGCCTTTTGGTTGGTTATGAGCTGGGACGCCTTGACAGCTTCCAGGTTGAGATAGGTCCCCCTTGATCCCTAGTAGCAGGGAGCCAAGCAGGGTTACCTATGGTTGACGCAGTTAGCATAGCACAGCCCAGTCCAGGCCTGGACCCAGCCGAGCCAGCCCATCATCCCGTGCCGCCTGCTACCTGCTTCCTGCTACATTACACTACACATGCCTGCCCTGTCAATACCTGGACTCCGCTAACACATTACAACCACCACATCATCAGTCGATTTGACTTGACTGACTGACTGACTGACTGACGCAAACACCTTTCTTTTTCTTCTTCTTCTTCTTCTTCTTCTTCTTCTATTCCACCAGATCACTTCGCAGGTTCTGATCTCATCTCGCGATTGCAATTGTGAAGAGAAGGATCTTTTGGGCGTCTTCAGCTCTGCCCAGCTCTTCACAAAACGCCGGGCTCTGTGCCAAGCAGGGCCAATCTCGAGGGGGCTCCTCTCCAAGTCCAAGTGAGAGACACCGAGTGATCGCCAATCCGCACCAACCCGAATCCGAGGACTGGGAAAACTTAAATCGTCGCAGTATACTTGCATAGTACTCCCCGCCTTGTCAGGCCCGGTTCCGCGTCATAGTGGTATTAACTACCCAGTTGGTTAACCTAGGCCACGACCAGACCAGACCACACCAGAAGTGGACAGAACAGAACAGATTGACATCGACCTGCGATCTCCTCTTCTCCCTCCATCAACGACGCCCAGCAGCTTCATCTCTCCCGGACCCTCTCTGACCTGACCGAAAGCCACCTGCGCTGCGCTGCGCTGCACTGCACTGCACTGCGTTATCTTGCCGAGAGCCTAGCAGGTCCGTCCAGACACTTACGCAGTAGCTGGCCCCAACTAGGGTACTGTCCCCTGACGTAGCCAAGCCAGCATTGGTCGACACGAGTGCTCCATCCTTTTATCACATCCTGCCGTGCCTCAGCCTCCAGCATTTTCCATACAATCTCCTCTGCGCTACCCCGTCGAGCCTCGTCTAGTCGACCCATCGCCGGACACTCCGCCGTCGACTTCTTTCAACGCTCGCTCGCTCTCGACATCGCGCCTCGCACATCGCTTTTTGTAATCGGTCGACCACGTCAGTCATCTCCGTTCGCCTTTGACTCCGGCCGCCTCGACTGCTGGCCTTCGGTGATCGGTTCGTAAGTCCTTCCAGACACCTGCTCATGCCTCATGCCTCATGCCTCCCCGCACCTCCCGTCCTTGCCGTCTGACCCGCGATCGATCTTGTCGATTTGGCTGCCTATCGGCGGCACAGAGCCTCGTCTTTACGCATCACGACCCCGTCGGCCCGTCCGCGCTATAACTTATCTCCGAGCTGCGAGCAAGGCTGACATATTCTTCGATCTTTACAGAGACGCCGACGATTGCAAAGACATTTTGACTCGTTCACTAATCCCCATCATCGCTTCGATCTGGTGACAACCGCCGTGACGGCATCAATCTAATTTCCACACCACCACCACCGCCACCACTCGACCTCGTCTACCACCAGATACCGTCCCAATCCTCAAACACGGAGGCGTTATCGGGAAGACGCTCTACCAACCCCACGCGCTTCGTTGCCGTACTCGTCCGACTTTACCATCCTCCCTAGTACCGACTCCAAGGGGGCAGCAACACACAGACCTTCCCGGCGAAGACGGGTGCAGCGCGCAGGCTATTGTGGCTATACAAGGCGATCCACAAACCTCTCACGCGCACTCCGTCTAGCCTGTCCCGCCCGCGAGAACCATAAAGCGAGCGTTCCCGCACTGGCACAATGGGTAACCAACCTTCCAAGGACTCCGGCGGTGCGCCGTCCAAGTCTAGCGGCGCTTCTGGGGGAGCCGAAAGAGGAGCAGAAGGGTTTCAGTCATATCCGTCATTCAGCAGATCGGACACGAAGGACTCCACCCGATCATTCCGCTCGCTGAGGTCCAAGATACCAGGTGCTGGCAAGAATGACAGCCCCAGAAACTCGACGTTATATTCGAATGGGGATACTCCGTACGATAAGTCCGACGCCGGCTCTATGAAATCTGGAAGGAGCGGCAAGTCGGGGCTTTCTAAGATCAGTCGTTCTGATTCTGGCATGTCGCCAACATCACCATCCTCAATTGATACGGGAGTACTGAACTCCCCGATCGATGACCCGCAGCCCCCGCCGTCTCCTATCCAGTCGGCCTCCGTGATGTCGGGCGTCCATGATGTGAGCGCGGCTCAGGCATGTGGAGAAGTTGACCACGTCTCGGACCAGCCGCCATCTGCCGGCGCCAACTCTAACATGCAAGCACAGCAGCCCGGACAATCCATTCTCGTCAAGCGAGAGAATACGATCAACCCAGTCTCGAAGAGCCCCACCTCTTCATCCCTCAAGGACGAGACTGGTGCGAACATTGCCATGGGTGAAATCAAGGAGATGGACCTGGACGATTATATCAAGCGATTGCTGGATGCCGCCTACGCCGGCAAAGTCACAAAGAGCGTCTGTCTTAAGAACGCGGAAATTGTGGCTATTTGCCACAGAGCTCGGGAAGTCTTTCTGTCTCAGCCTGCTCTTCTTGAACTGGATGCACCTGTCAAGATTGTCGGTGACGTACACGGGCAATACACTGATCTCATCCGCATGTTCGAGATGTGTGGATTCCCCCCAAGCGCGAACTTCCTATTCCTTGGCGACTACGTTGACCGTGGGAAACAATCTTTGGAGACTATTCTGCTATTGATGTGCTACAAGCTGAAGTATCCGGAGAACTTCTTCCTTCTCCGAGGAAACCACGAATGCGCCAATGTGACAAGGGTCTATGGGTTCTACGATGAGTGCAAGCGACGATGCAATGTCAAGATCTGGAAGACGTTTATCGATACGTTCAACTGCCTGCCGATCGCTGCCATTGTCGCCGGAAAGATTTTCTGTGTACATGGTGGTCTTTCGCCAGCTTTGAGCCATATGGACGACATCAGGAACATTGCTCGCCCAACTGACGTCCCCGACTACGGCCTCTTGAACGATCTCCTGTGGTCAGATCCGGCAGACATGGAACAAGACTGGGAGGCGAACGAGAGAGGTGTCAGCTATTGCTTCGGAAAGAAAGTTATTACTGACTTTTTGACCACCCATGACTTCGATCTTGTTTGTCGTGCGCACATGGTTGTTGAAGACGGTTACGAATTTTTCAACGACAGGGTTCTCGTCACGGTTTTCAGTGCTCCGAACGTGAGTTTCTTATCTATATTCGTTTCTCAGTCCTTGCTGACAGACTTTATAGTACTGCGGTGAATTTGACAATTGGGGCGCTGTTATGTCTGTTTCTTCGGAACTTCTGTGTAGCTTCGAATTGCTGAAGCCTCTTGACTCGAACGCTTTGAAGAGCCATATCAAGAAGGGTAGAAACAAGCGAAACCACATGCTCAACAGTCCTGTAAGTTCTATCGATCAATGGTGTCCTCCTGGATATGTGCTTACCTTGTCATATAGCCTGCGGCTGTTTACCCACAGAGTGTATAATCGCCCACATCGGCGATCTCATCGAAGACGTGAAGGTTACATTTGCCTTCGTATTGGCGAAGTAACAAGATATCTCAACGTGATAGCAGGCAAGAGAACATGACCGCACGATATACGATGTTGCTCACAACGTCGGGAGGCCGATTCGCGGTGGCATAGGTGGGATCTCACACAAGACACAGCCCGCGAAACCGGATGCTGGTCACCAAGAGCTTGGAAAGTCAGCCCTCGCGCGCTGGTATCTAGGAGGAGAGAAGGCCCATCCGCAAAGATATGCCGGGAGCCAGGGGATGTGACTATTCCCTCGCAAGGTCAGAAACGGCTTTTCCCCCCAATCCAGTCGTCAGTGGATTTCTGGAACGAGATTCGAAACGGACTTAACTCATTCCTTGACTTATCTGTGGATTTTTATCATTGGGACGCTTCCAGCAAGTGAGCAAGCAAGCAAGCAAATAGACGACACCCCGTCGGTGGAAAAGGAGGAGAATTCTCAGCAGGCAAGGGGCCATGAACCTTTCCCCTCGGGTCAATATCATCTCACAGACTTGGGAGTAATAATTATCTGGTGATGCAGGGGCATCTAGCACGCACCTCCGGGGGCGGCTACCCCGGAGGTATAGGAGATGGGTAGAGCTGTTGTACGTTAAGAATAACTGGAAGTGCGTCTTGCTTCGGGACTCTTCTCTAGCTGGCTTCAAGGGTATACTCTGGTAGAGAGTAATTGCAACACCAATTGGCTTTTGACTTTGTAAACTCAGTGTATTCTCTCCATGCTTTCGTGATGGAATGACGCGTAGTGTTGTATACTTACAACTTATTAGACCCGCTTGTACTATAGTATGGTATACACAAAGCACACATATTCACTTCCCTGGACCCCAGCCCCTATACTCTAACTCGTTTACACAAAGAGGCCGTGTTTCATGATGTGAATTAGTTTTGAGTCTATGCGACTATATATCTTCTGAGCTACCAGGAAGACAAAGAGTAAGGCTTTGAAGCCTTTGGTTTATATCTACAATTCCTAATCAGTTCAATAGAATCAGGAGGAAAATGGAGCCAGATGGCCATTCCCTCCACAAAACGGCGGCTGCTGGATGGTGAAAGAATCGTTCGTCGTGGTGGATGATGTGATGAAACTTTGCCAGCCCTCCACCCCAGCTTACTCCTTTCCAGATGTTCAGACAAGTTTTAGACTTATACACGGCCCCCGCCACCATTCTCTCCTCCTACCACGTATAAAGGGGCCAAAACCACACCGTACTGATCGTGCCGCCCGTATAGAGCTACACCATAGTTCGTTCACTGATCCTCCTCTCGGTATCGCGCGGGCTTCTGTCTCTTTCTCCCGGAGCGGTTGGCGCCACTATCGTCAGAGTAGAACGCATCCGAGTCTTCAGAGTCGACCACGAGCGCTCGCTTGCGCTTTCGGCCCGCGCCCGACCGGGACCGCGGCGCGGGAATGACCTCCTCGGACGTCTCCTCGACCTCGAGAGATCTCTGCTTCCTGGGACGGCCCCGGCGGGGCGTGTCGGGGTTCGGAGTGGTGACTGCGGCGGCAACGGCGACCGAGTCGGACTCCTCCACGCCGCCCACCTCGCTTCTTCGCGCCATGTCGCTTCGCTTGGTGCCGTAGCTGCGACGGCCACTTCCTCTGGGCCGACCAGGCCGGCCGCGACCGCGACCGCTTGCGCGCCGTCCTCCTCGACGGTTGGTCTCCGAGTAGGCGCTATAGTCGCCGTCGTCCTGCGAGTTACGTCCCGGCATGTAGTCTTCTTCTTCCTCCTCCTCGTCCTCGTCATTGAGGTTAGCAAAATCCGAGTCGACGAAGTCGACCTTGGGCTCGGGGGCGTCCTTGCGCGCCGCGCCGCGGTTGTTCTTCTTCCTGGCCGCCGTGGCCTTGCCGCCTCGCGCCGAGTCGTCCTTGCGCGGCCGCCCACCCTTGTTCTTCCTCGGGGCGGAGGATGCGTCGCCGTCTGCGCCTTCCTTGGAGTCGAGCAGCTTCTTGGTGAGGTTGGGGAAGTTCTCGCCGTAGTTGAAGAACAGCTCCTCGCCGGCCTTGATGTCTCGCAGGGCCGTGAACTTGATTCGGAACTCGCCATTGACGTATAAAATCTTGGGCGTGATGTTGCAGCCTCGCTTGTCGTGCTCGGAAGCATGGTTGATGTAGCGACTGAGGTTACCGTAGATGGCTGCGTCGACCCAGATGCCTTCTTGCTCGAGCAAGGTGAAGAGGTAACTGCTGTTGGACTCTTCATCGAAGACGTCTCCTCGTCGAGCCTCTCGGCGCACACCTTCGTCGTGAGTAATTAGTTCACCAAGGTACTCAATCACAAACTCGTCCCCTGCGATATCCTCTGCCGTAAAGAGGCCGTATCCACAGCCTTCGAGTTGTGATTTTCCTAGTAGCACCGTCTTTGATACTCCTCGCTGAAGTGACACATTCTGGCATCCAGTCGAGTGTAAGACCTCATCCTGAGCATTCTGCGGATCAGCTCGCTCTCGCGCTCCACAGCCTTTGCAGAGAACAGGATCGCATTCCCGGTTTAGTTGGACGCAAATGCACGGTTTGCCTTCCTTTTGACGTTGTACACAGGTCTTTCCTGTCGAGTGACAAGCACAGCCAGTAAACTTCCACGCGCAGTTCTCAGCTGTGCATCGACAGAATCGCTCGCACAAAACTCCAGCTTGTACACATACACACTTGGAGTTGCAAGGTCCGTCATGACGGCAGGGATCTTGGTCCATTCGCCGGGCATGCTCATGTGAAACTGTATGATCTTGCCAGTCTCCCAGGAGCACCTTCTTGTTGCGGTCATACCAAGTTAGCGGTTTGACCTTTGGAGGCTCTAGGGAGGCCGGGTCCACTTCTGGCAGTGACAGCTGGAGAGACTTGAGTTTCCTCCAGACTTCCCAGCAAGTGCGGTCCATGAGAACGCTGGCAGCACAAGGGGCCTTGACACCTCCGTCGCCAAGGGATGCATAGAGACATCGTAGAAGCATGGTCTCGTTCTCAGTCCAGGGCCGAATATACGCCGCGTCATTACCGACATCGTACAGGCGGTAACATTGATTTTGACACGGGTGGCCGATGTTCTTCTTAGGTGTTCCTCCGGCCTGTTTCCTGAGTTTGAGCTCTTCGATGCGCCTCTTCTTAAGCAGGCCGCCGAACTTGCCGAATGAATCAATGGAGAATGTGCGTTTTTGGTTGTCAACGTCATACTCGCCATGCTCGCAGGAGTGAGTATAGCAGATCAAGCATCCCAAGATCGTGTAGCTCTGCAGCCATTGCTCGACCATCTCCACCAATTGCTCACCGCCAGGGTTATCGGCTTTTGTGTCCTTTACCCATTTCTTGCTGTCGACAATTGTCTCTACTGACTCGTCCAGGAGGAGCACGTTCTCGAGAGACACTATCCCGGCGAAAACTTTGTCAAATGCTTCCGTGAACATCTTGGCGGTCTTCACGGCACGCGGAGAGCCGGCGTCGTCGCTATAGGAGTTGATTATGCTCGACTTCTGCTGCGGAGTCATCTTATCATCTCGCTCAGCATGACTGGCCATATACCGGATGAGTGTCGCCTTCGTGCAATTATCTAAGCCCAGCTTTGCTATCCAGCGATCCAGGTAAAGCGAGATCTCCGCGGCCGTCTCCTCGCGGATAGTCTTGGCCATCTTTTGAGTCCGGTTCAAGGCATTAACTTTGAAACCTGACTGTGCCTCCATCGTCTCTAGCTCCTGGATCCAGCGGGAGTATCGCTCCTCCTCGTTCTTCTCAAGATCTCTTAGATGAGGGACGAACTTCAGCATTGTGTTAGGGGTCAAGATGTTCCTGGAGATTTCAACATGGTGAAATCTATACTTCGGAACTCTTTCACGATTTGACTTGATGGGAATAACCTGGTAAGCAAAATTCTTCTGCTCCTGCTTTCCGCGAGCTTGTTCCTTTCCGTGTTGCTTCAAAGTAAGTTAGATCGCGAGAGCTCAACAAGAGTCTTTAATTTCTCGTGTAAGGGGGATTTATATGACTTACCTTCATCTTCACCCTCATGACGTTAGTCTTCACCACCTTCGGATCCAACGGCTCTAAGACGAGATCTCCTAGGTCTGCAGTAGCGCTTAGGTGCTGCTTGGCAGGCTGTACTTGCTTCCAAGCAGTCTGAAAAGTGTGGTTCACAAGCTTGGTGTGATCTCTCCAAACATCTTGAGCGAGCTCGCGTAAAGACGCCTCTAATTTCTCCGATGTCAGATCATTTTTGTTAGGAGTCTGCTTAGGAGTTCTCTGAGTGCTGTGAATCTGTCTTGAGTTTGGCGTCGTGTGAGTAGATCCTTTTCCCACGGAACTCGGCGTCTCTGGACCAGTTCCATCTAAAGAGAATGCCGTCAAAGAGGAGAGGCTTATCTTGGATGAGCTGAACTGGGTTGGGGAGGCAGTTCCGGGATCGTTGAGTAATTTGGAGATCGATGCGCGCTTGGCCGAGGGACTGGCCTCCTGGCGGCCAGCCCATTCAAAGCGAGCATCGGCGTACGGAGCGCCAGATGATATTAAACCGGCCAGAGACTGTCTCGTCTCCTTCCAGGTCGTTGTGGGTTCCGTATCACTATCGCCGGTGAGATCGATGCTCATACCGGAGATCAGAGCTGGCGGCGACATGGCTTCAAGTCCTTGACTAGCCCTCTCAGGCCCAATCCTTCAAATCCCAGACCACAGTGATGAAAGAAGAAGATTATCGAGCGTGATTATTCATGCTTCTTTTGAGATGCAGTGAGCGAGGATAGGGTAGATGCTTATGTAAAGGCAGCCGGATATGAGCCCCTAGGATCAACAGAGCCCTCAGGTCGGGTCAGATATGGCCGTGATCAAGTAACACCTGGCGGAATTTGGGTAAGCAGGATGATGCGATACTCAATCCGGGGCCAAGACTGCACTGCTGGACGATGGGGAGGCGTGAATGAGGCTGTTACAATTTGCGACGCGTTGAAGGGTGGATGGAGTAAGGTAAGAACGCGCCCAGGGTCCAGGGTGGATTCATTGCCTGCCGAAATAGGAATTCTGGGGTAGGCCACGTGACTACATAGATAGGTATGGCTACCTGGAAGGAGCGGACCAACACTGCAACATGTCTAATCTAGACCAAAGACTTAACAACCTCCAAATATTACAAATATAAAGAGGGAGAATCAGAAAGAGGACTATTGATTAAGAACACTTTACTATGTTGAATTGGTTACTGTGAAGAGACACAATGGTATTATGTCTCACTGTGTATCTTATGGTGTATTGGACAGAGTGATCTGAGCTAAATTTGATCAAATAAATAAAAAGAGAGAAAATTACAAACAAGCAAAGTAAGGTACAATTGGGAACAAGATAATCTATGAAAGGAATTTTGTGGGCAATGTCTAGTGTGTTGCACTGTCTATCTGCTGAAGTATGTAGATAGTCGTGTCTTTTTGAGTTTGCTGTACAGCCAACCAAGATGCACGCCAGAGTAAGTTGACGCCAGTATTGACACAGCATGATGTATGTGAAGCATCTGGCGATCTAGAACTTGGTTATATGTCTGGCATATGAGAGTATCTAATGTTTTTACTTAGGTACATGACGGGTGTAAGTGGTAGCTTAGTAGGCTACCTAGTCACGCGGGGCAGGGGGTAATTACTATATGTCCCAGTGATGATCTTCCTCTGGAGGTGATCCCGGCAAGTGCCGGACCTCGATCGAGCAACGGCCCACCGGGCGCCTCTTCGGCGCGATGACGAGCTCTTCTACCATGGCAGCATACAAAGGTACATAGTAGCTCAATAGCTCAGCTGCCTCGGGATCCACGGAATTCGAACCTAGAGATATGACGGAGTGAGGAAAGTTGGAAAGCTGGCGATATTCAACTCAAACATGGACTGTGTTACAATTGACATAATGTATGCATAGTATTTATGCTCCTTGACCTGACTTGACTATATTGCAAACAAGTGAGAAACCTATGTCTGCCGTGCCAACGCCTGCATATTATAATACCAAAACTTCACTTTGTGGTTTCTTGACTTGGGAGAGTCTCATATCCCCAAGTCTCTCATAATCAATGCAGTGCAGAACCCCTGCCCAAGGTCGTACCTGATGACATCCACCTGAAGAAGCTGCCGCATCAGGCATCGAAGTGGGCATGGAGGTAAAGCAGGTGGTGCAGAGAGAGATCAAGGGTGGGTGCAGGAACCTGGCCTGGCTGAAGCTTCTCTGCGCCCGTCAATCATTTCCGCCTGCAGAGGGCGAACTGGCTTGCACAGCCCGCCGGAAACAGAAGCAAGCAGACGGCGCTAGTCCTCAGTTGTGCTGCTCGAGGCTGCTCTAGGGGCCGCGAGGGCCGCAGGGGGGCTCGTGCTAGGCATTTGCTAGACATCACTAGCCCCGTTGCGAGGGATGCTGATGACGTCGTCGGCGATGAGCAGAGGAGCAGAGCACAGCAACCAGCATCGTCCCATCTCCCCATTCATTCGCTCATCAGCATCATCGCCCATCCACATCCACTCTCTGGTCTCTCTGTCTCTGGTCTCTCTGGTCTGTCAGGTCAACAGCCCGTGTCGCATCATCAACACGCACTCTTCACCTCTCTCCACCAACTTTTCTGTCGCATATTAATACCATCACCCTCCCCTGCCCAAAACCTACCGCTCTGGTAGAACCTTAATCTATTTCCTCCCCTGCTCTGCTTAAAGCGTCATCGTTTGGCGATTCCTAGCTGCCTACACAATTTCCTGTCCACCCCGCATCAACCTCCCAACTACAAACACCACAAAAAGCTCAAACAGCCCAAGCCGCCATCATGCATCGCACATACTCCATGCGCCAGACCAGGGCGCCGACTGCGTCCCAGATCCAGGTGAGTTCAATTCGCTTTGCGAGGAATCCGCGCGCGCACACGTACACAGTAATTTAACTCTTGGGCCACAGAACCCTCCCCCGCCGCCTTCCACCACCAAGTCTGGCCGCCTCTTCGGTCGCGGCGGTTTCGGTGAGTTAACAATACATCCCATCGCTTTTGCGGCGCCCTGAGTTGAAACTACCATGTTTCTTCACGGGTGTCGCTTTCGTGACCAATTCAATTAACAGGCGGTCTAGGCCATGCTCTCCGACGCAACGCTGCCGGCGCCTTTGGCCCAGATCTGGCCAAGAAGCTCACACAGCTGGTGAAGATGGAGAAGAATGTCATGCGCAGTCTAGAGACTGTCGCCAAGGAGAGAATGGATGTTGCTGTATGTCGAGAGACTCGCTTTCTGCTTGCTGGCCGCTTTCAGACAAAATTAACACGCTTCTAGCAACAACTCTCCATCTGGGGCGAGGCCTGCGACGAGGATGTCTCGGATGTCACGGACAAGTTGGGTGTCTTGCTCTATGAGATCGGCGAGCTGGAAGACCAATACGTCGACCGCTACGACCAGTACCGTGTCACTATGAAGAGTATTAGAAATATCGAGGCCTCAGTGCAGCCGAGCAGAGACCGTAAGTTTTGATGTCGGGCAGCAATTGATCATTTGGAGCACACAGCTGACCCCTTCTCAGGCAAGCAGAAGATCACCGACCAGATCGCTCAGTTGAAGTACAAGGAGCCGAACTCGCCGAAGATCGTTGTCCTCGAGCAGGAGCTTGTTCGCGCAGAGGCCGAGTCCCTTGTGGCCGAGGCTCAGCTGTCCAACATCACCCGTGAGAAGATCAAGGCGGCCTATACCTACCAGTTCGATGCTCTGCGGGAGCACTGCGAGAAGGTGGCCATCATTGCTGGATATGGCAAGCACTTGCTTGAGCTCATCGACGATACCCCTGTCACTCCTGGTGAGACCCGCGCAGCCTATGACGGGTATGAGGCCAGCAAGGCCATCATTCAGGACTGCGAGGATTCCCTCACAAACTGGGTGACCCAGAATGCTGCTGTTCACTCCAAGCTGTCTACTCGCGCCAGGAATCTCTCCCAGCGCCGTCGCAACAACATCAAGAACCGTGAGGGCCACGACTTGTCTGGCCAGGATGCCCCGCTTAACGATCGGGACTCCTGGGTACCTGCTGAGCACCACAAGGGAGAGGACTATGATGAGGATGAAGACGAGGACGAGGAAGATGCCCACAGCGAGGGCCTGAATGGCGAGAGTCGAGGACGTACTGAGGCCATTGCTGCTTAAGTCTATTCCCTCTTGCACTAAAAGATTATAGGAAGGAGAACTTCCATTCCGAGTCTATTCTGAACTTTCAGGTACTTTGCACATGTTTATTGGGGTTTCTGCAGCATTCATCCGGGTGTTTTGATTCTTTGGTTCCGGCAGCTTCAACGGGGTGCCAGGGACAAATAACTGGGATTGTGGGGATTATGGAGGTTTGGACGCTCACACGTTTCTAAAACAACGTACTGTTTTTGTGTACTATTACAAATAGCTCTTTGCTGCCTTTGAAAAAGGAATTTTGGTAGAGAACAAATGTCTGAGTATCTAAGAGATGGGGTATCATTGTGAATGATTTATCGTGAAAAAAGTTCCCGCATGAAGCTATATTCAGGGCTTTTGGCTGTTTAAGTTGTGATCTGCCCATTCCGGTCGCTAAAGTCGGACTCTTTCGTTGTCAACTGACGGTTTCTTCGTCCACCAGCTGCATTGCGCTCATGCCCTTTTCATCTGGCTGGCGAATTCCTCAAGCTCAATCTTGTTGATGTGCTGTCCAGGGACCACCACCAAGCCGAGATACCGGGAAATCAGATCCATCGTAACGCTTCCGGAAGCCCCGGTCTTCTCTGCCTCCTTGGCTCTCTGCTGCGGAGATGGTTGGCGATACTCATATGTGTGTGAGAGTACAATGTTGCGATCCTGCAAAGAAGTATCAGTATAAGAGCCGACTCCCTAGGCTGCGCACAAGATTTCACAGACCGGGTCAGTGCACTTAAACTGGCCCCAGAACATGCGCCCGTCCGAGGTGGTGATCCTCAAGTTCCTGTTCAGCAGAGACGTAAGAAACCCGGAGGCTTCATCTTTGTCCATTGTGTCTCCTGGCGGCGGCGTGGCGGTTGTGAAGAGCTGCCTCGCCCTGCGCAGAAGCAAGAGAAGTGCCTGCATTCGCGGATTCCGTCCCTCGGGCTAGGCTATTAAATCGCTATAGTATAGCCCACCTTAGCGTCTAGCCTGTCCCGTGACAGCGTGAAGAAGTCCAGGCAGTGATGACGCTGGTGGGGTAAAAGCGACAAATTGATAGGCGGGCACGTCGGTCAGCGCTGAGGAACGGCACGCGGTGATTCATAGCTGCTGAGGCGGCGGGGGCGGATCGTAAAGTCTTGATGAAAGATTCTTCATTTCACGAAACACCATTCATCGCTGAATTGTGTACCTTCTAGGAACTTCTCATTGTGGTCGCGTCGCTAGAGCACAAACAACGGCTGTCACGATGCACCAAACTCTTACTGCAGGCTGAGAGACTGACTCCCCGCGCAGTCGCTACCCCGATCAACCTGGGTATCTCGACCTCTCCATCCGCGCACATACCCCATCTAGAGAAGCCGGGCCAGACCCATCAGCGCACCGCCCACCATGGGTGTCAACGGCCTCTGGCAGGTCCTGCAGCCGTGCGCGCGGCCCACGAACCTCGCGACGCTCAACCGCAAGCGCCTCGCCGTCGACGCCTCCATCTGGATCTACCAGTTCCTCAAGGCCGTGCGCGACAAGGAGGGCAACGCCCTGCGCAACTCGCACGTCGTCGGCTTCTTCCGCCGCCTCTGCAAGCTGCTGTGGTTCGGCATCCTGCCCGTCTTCGTCTTCGACGGCGGCGCGCCCGCCCTCAAGCGCGCCACGCTGCAGGGCCGCCGCCGCCGCAGGGAGGGTCGCCGCGAGGATGCCGTCCGCACGGCCGGGAAGCTGCTTGCCGTGCAGATGCAGCGCATCGCCGAGGAGGAGGACGATAAGAGGAGGCAGCGCGAGGCGGAGCCGGTGGTAGAAGAGGAGGCGGGCGAGGCGCTGCCGGATATGGAGAATGTAGTGTATGCGGACGAGGCCTTCTCGTCGAAGCAGGAGCGGCAGAAGAATAGGAAGTTCTTCAAGCAAGACCAGTATCATCTGCCAGAGCTTCAGAATGGTATCGAGGCGATGGGCAAGCCTGAGGATCCGCGCATCATGAGTGTTGAAGAGCTGGAAGAGTATGCGAGACAATTTCACAACGGCGAGGATATCAATCTGTACGACTTCAGTAAGATTGATTTTGATGGCGAATTCTTCAAGAGCCTGCCGCCACCAGACCGATATAACATTCTCAATGCGGCAAGGATAAGAAGTCGTTTGAGAATGGGTCTGAGCAAGGAGCAACTCGACGATATGTTTCCGGACCGCATGGCTTTCTCGAGGTTCCAGATTGAGCGTGTCAAGGAGAGAAATCACTTGACACAGCGACTTATGTTTGAGATGAACATGGCTGGAACGGATTTGACAATGGGCGGCGGCGGGCGCATTGCTGGAGAGAAGAACAGGGAGTACATTCTGGTCAAGAACGATGGTGTCGAGGGTGGATGGGCACTGGGGGTTGTGAGCACAGACAAGGATCGCGGTTCCTATCAAAAACCGATCGATGTGGATGCTCTACAATTTCAATACCAGACCAAGGAAGAGGAGCAAGAACCGGAGGATGAAGATGATGACTTCGAGGATGTCCCAATTGAAGGGCTCAACCGCCTACCAAAATTAAAAGGCAATGTCAGGCACGAGCTCGATAATGCTGATGATTTGGTTGAGGATTCAATGTTCATTGATGGAGAGCCCGCACAAGAAGATCTTTTTGGCAGTCAACCGCAAGAAGATCAACTACTTGCTGATGAGGATGAAGATCTTAACCGCGCAATTGCGATGTCGTTGCGAACTCAGCACGGTGTTGGTGGGCAGACTGAAGAGGAGGAAGAAGAGGAGTTCGAGGATGTTCCCATGCCTGAATGGACTCAAAAGGCTGTGGATGTACCCAAGCCAATAACATCTTCTAGCGGCCGAATGGTTGCACATATTGTCAACAATAGAGCAAATGCTGCCGTTCCTCGGAGGAGGGAGAGCGACGCAAGCAGCGACAGTGATGTGGATTTCAGGACAGCTTTAGCTACCGCAAGAAAGCAAAAGAAGGTCCAGCCACAGCCGAAGGCACCTGTAAGGCCAAATGTCAAGAATCCATTCGACGGTCCGCTGCCATTTGAGAAGCTCAACTGGCGAACTTCGATATTCGAGAAGAAGCCTGCAGAAAAGTCGAAGATGACAGAAAACTCCGCTGACGCTGGTGGCTTCGAAATACCGTCCGACAGCGAAGAGCTGGAAGGCGGCTTCGAGAAGGAGCCAGTCGATGACGCGCCTAGGCCGCTGCCACCTTGGATGATAAATAACGATGTCGACATAAGAGACTCTGTGAAACAGCAACAGGAAATCGAGAAGGAGATCAATGAGGAAGATCAAGAACTCGTGTCAGAGGAACGACGACAGTGGCAGCGAAAACAGCGCAGCGAGATCGTTGAGATTGAGTCTTCTGATGACAATGACAGCGATGTGGAGATTGTGGACGCGCCACCACCGAAGGTGACCAAATTACCAGAGAAGACACCATCGCCATCATCTGTGGAAGTTGAGGCGGCTGTCACTGAGGGGAGTATAGAGAAGAATGATTCACCAACCTTACTTGAAGAGAAAGAGGACGAGCATAGCCTTGAGCTGGAGACAGCCAAGTCCCCCGTCCACGATGACGCTCAAGATCGCTCTCCGTCACCGGAGATGGAATTTGAAGATGTGAGTGTGACGGACCAGCCATCTATTACAGAAGAACCTGTATCACTTCAACCTGAAGATTCTGCCGAGGTGGAATTCGAAGACGTCACAGTTCCTACACCACCAATCGTACAACAAGAGAGAGTAGAGGGCATAGCCACTGCCCCTGATGACGATGACCTCTTCGGGGACGTTGAATACGATGAGTTCAGCGACCCCGAGGAAGAGGAGCTTCTGGTACAGATGGCTGAAGAAGCTGAAGAGCATGCTCGGTTTGCAAGCCAGCTGAATAACAAGCCAGAACGGCAAAACCAAGAAGACTATGAGAGAGAGTTACGTGCTCTACGAAGTCAACAGAAGAAAGATCGTCGAGACGCGGATGAGGTCACTCAAATCATGGTAACCGAGTGCCAGTCTCTGCTACGCTTGTTTGGCATTCCCTATGTCACAGCGCCCATGGAAGCAGAGGCTCAATGCGCCGAGCTTGTGCAGCTAGGTCTTGTGGATGGCATCGTTACCGATGATTCGGATACATTTCTATTCGGCGGCACAAGAGTGTACAAGAACATGTTCAACAGTAATAAGTTCGTCGAATGCTATCTCAGTTCCGATCTTGAGAAGGAGTTGTCGCTGTCACGGGACCAACTCATTGCAATTGCCCAACTTCTTGGCTCTGATTACACTGAAGGTCTCCCGGGCATTGGTCCGGTTACAGCGGTTGAGATTCTCTCTGAGTTCCCTGGTAGGGACGGGCTGAAAGAATTTCGAGACTGGTGGCAAGATGTTCAAGTCCAGAACCGGCCCAAGGAGGCAGATGCCAGCTCTTCTTTCCGCAGAAAGTTTCGGAAGTCGCAAGCGAAGAAACTCTTCTTACCCCCTGGATTTCCAAATCCCGCCGTGGCTGAGGCATACCTGAACCCTGAGACCGACAAAAACCCGGAGCAGTTTCAATGGGGTGTGCCGGACTTGGAAGGCCTACGCCAGTTCCTCATGGCAACCATTGGATGGAGCCAGGAGCGGACAGATGAGGTGTTAGTACCAGTCATCAAGGATATGAACAGACGGGGAGTTGAGGGCACTCAGAGTAACATCACTCGCTATTTCGAGGGAGGAGTTGGTGTAGGAACAAAGGAATCCTTCGCGCCGAGGCAGCGAGTCAAGGGAAGCAAGCGCATGGCTGAAGCTGTGAGTCGGCTTCGGGCGAAGGCTGGGGCTGAGTCTTCAATAGATGAAGATGTCTCATCAGAGGCGGTCGCGCCCACGAAGAAACGAAAGGCCCGTACCAATGCTTTCAATAACGACGAAGTAGACATCCCTGACGAGGGTGAGGCATCCGAAAATGACGATGCCCGGGGAAAGGGTCGAAGGAAAGCCAGAGGGAAGAAAGCGAAGGCCTAGACTCGTGTGCTGGTCTCCATATCAGATATACGCGATATCGTATTTTCAACCCGATCTCGTGTAGTAGAAGGATAGACGTATGTTCTTCGAAGACCTGTGGCACATTGAAAATACGTAGATTGTTGAATTTTCAATTTCCAAAACGACATCACTCACTCAGCTTAGTCGTTAGGATTCTAGCATATGCCTGGTGTGGACTTGACACCCTTTTGCAGACGTTTTTATCATCATAGATTCAATATCTACTCTAGTCGGTCTTCCATGCGTGGAGTCTCTATTCATTTCGAATTTTCGTTTGAATATTGTGGCAAAATGGCGCGCGACACAGAGATTAAAGACAATGATATTTGAAAAGAGAGTTTCATGAAGGCTGAGTGTCTGAATTAGATGAGATAATGCTTGCTCATATTCGACCAACTCAAACCAATCCTGAACGAGGCGGAGGGGGAAGAACTCTTCATCAACCCATAGAAGTTGTCAACACTCGCCAATTTATTCCAGAAGCACTTGCAGAACAGTTAAACATACGAGAATCCTAGCTTGAATCCGGGAGTTAATGAACAAGTAGATTTACGTGTATCGAGACCTTGCGTATAGAGTTATTCTCGTCACTTGAGATGGAGAAAGCGGCATCTTATGTTAGTGATGACTTATCTCCGGGGTAGTGGTATGTCGATTACCTAAGGTTAGGTTGAGAGACCTCGTCTAAGAGTCTGAATTGGGGCAATCCGCGGGGCTGCATTCGAGATCCGTCATCCTTCGGCGCTTCGCGCTTTAGCCCCTGCCCGCTCGCCTTTTGGCCTGCTAACATACGCGAGCCTGACTAATGAGCTTATATGTACATTACCGTCTACCACTTACCTAAACAGTTTCGCTGCTCAAGATCTTCTGCCAAGAATTATCTTGGTCTGCCCAGGTGGATATTCGCGCTCACCCGCGCCTAGAAATCAATCGAAACCATCTACTGTGCAGTACCAGGTAGTTTGTCAGGGGGCCATCGTGAAGTCCGAGAGTTCGCTCTGTCAAGACCACCGGAGAGATTGTACCGTGCGATAGCTTAGATACTGGCGAATACGCAAGCCTGCTTGCCGTAGCGGCGCCACCGCCATGCACTCAATCAGAAGATCTGATTATGGAGCTCTTAGCAAGAGATGTCTCCCGCTGCGCTGTGAGTATTGGCAGGCCCAATTACAGCGGTTCGCTGTTCGCGTTGGACTTGGATGCTTGGCCCGCTCCGGCGGCTTAATAACACATGCAGAAGAAGAAACTCTAGCGGCGGGCGCCAAGTGGTCTAGCTGTTGAACTCTATCGACAAACATGCGTAGAGTGCTCTAATTATGGTCTTTGTCAATGCGACAGCCCTGCAGGGCACTCGTTGTCTACACGCCGAGATGAGATTGTATGAGACAGATGCTCAGGTACAAATATCACCGTCCCTGCCCGTCTCCAGCTCATCTCAATTCCCCTTTCTATATTCAACTCAATTCAATCCAATCCAATCCACATCTACCAACACTGCAATACATAACGCAACAAGTTCCTTACATCCCTATTCAGCCTGTGAACAGCTCTACCGCCATTGACGTCACGTCACATCTCTCGCAGCCTTACCAGCAAGTACAACAACCGTACTTATCTCCAGATACCCCTCATCTCAATCGTCATATTATTTGGGTGGACGCCTCGTCAATCGTCGACTTCTTAATCCACATTGAATAATAACACAATGGCGGGAAAGAGGATCATCACCATCTTCGGTTCCACAGGCAACCAAGGCGGCTCTGTCGTCAAGACGTTCTTGTCCGACCCCAAGCTCAAAAATGACTGGGCTGTCCGTGGTGTGACCCGAAATGTCGACAGCGAATCGGCAAAGAAGCTTTCAAGCCAAGGCGTCGAGATGGTCGCTGTAAGTCAACTCTCAACTGTTAACACATCTGAGGCACGCACACTGACTTCGACATGTAGGCCGATATGAACGACAAAGAGTCTCTACTCAAGGCCGTGACCGGCGCATCAGCCGTGTTTGGCGTCACCAACTACTGGGAGAAGATGGACCACAACCTTGAGTATGAGCAAGGCAAGAAGCTCGCCGATGCCGTGAAGGAGGCCGGTGTCAACCACTACATCTGGAGCTCCCTCAAGAATGTGACAGAGTGTGAGTGCATCCCCAATTCACTCACATCTACTCATTTCACTGACCCAACTATGCAGTGACAAATGGCAAGCTATCGCAAGTCTTCCACTTCGACAGCAAGGCACGCGTAGAGAAGTACGTTCGCGAGCTCGGCATCCCCGCCACATTCTTCCTGCCAGGTTTCTTCATGTCCAACCTGCCCGGCGGCATGTTCCGACAGACACCACCCGAGAACAACTGGACGCTGGCGCTCCCTGTCCCCGCCGATACGGCTAAGTTCCCCATGTTCGATACCGCCGACAGCGGCAAGTGGCTCAAGGCCATCGTGCTCAACCGCGACAAGCTCCTAGGCAAGCAGGTCTTCGCGGCCACCAATTACATGACCCCGACGGAGATTGTCGATGAGTTCAAGAAGGCGTTCCCCGAGGCGGGCAAGACGGCCAGCTTCTTCTCCGTGCCGCACGACATGTACATCAACATCCTGACGAGCAACGGCATGCCCGAGTTCGCGGCAAAGGAACTCTTGGAGAATATGAGACTCATGGAGGAGGGTGGTTACTACGGCCATGCTTCCCTCGATGAGAGCCACTCGATCCTGGAGGACGAGCTGACTACGTGGGAGGAGTACATGAAAAAAGCACCTGCCTTTGCGGAATTGAAATAAACTAGCAATAATGAGTTAAATTAATATAAGAATGAGCCTATCTGAAAGTCTCCAAAGTGCAATGCTGATTAGGTCTTATGAGGGTTACTTTCATTTTTGGCCGTGATTCCACGAGATGATGTTTTTTGGGAGGCATCATCTCAAACAATGTTCTCTTACTTTCCAGGTATGAAGAACAATCCAAAGTCCAAGAATTTGTCTCTCTTTTCTATTGGTGGTTGGTATGCTCTGTGTCATTAAATCTCACCAGGGAGGCTTGTAGTGAAGTGGCATGTAAGCTCTATACTAAGGCCAACAGCTATTATTTGATCGGCATATCACGAATTCATCGAATGTGAATATGCCATTTGAACAGAACAATCAAGCATATGCGCTCTGATTTGGGTTGAGAAAGGATCAGTAAGCTTCATAGGTCAAACTGGTATAAGTCAAGCTTCAAGGGGGGAAACTCCAGGAATTGAGCAGCTATGATTGGCCAGGGACCTTGGTACATGCTGAATCCCGATCAGGATTAGCGTAGAGTCGAGGCCTGGGTGCTCCTCCAACCTCCAACCAAGACGAAAACTCCCGAGCTTTTTATTTTTTCCCGGCCCGGACCTAACCTCAATCGCACCAGCACCTCAAAAGTTGCGCATCAGCTCATCCGACCTCCACTCGACGACGCCTGTCAATTGCACCGCTCCCCCATCAATTGACACAGCCAGCAGCCGTCGAAGACCGTCAAGACTCTCCGCTCCCGCCGTCACCATGTCGCTCTCTGCTTCCGCTCGCCCGCTGATGCGCCGGTCCGCCTTCAGACAGCTCACCTCCCGAACCGCCGGCCGCCGATTCGAGAGCACCACCACCAAGGCCTCCGAGGCTGCCAAGGATGCTGCCAGCAAGACTTCCCAGACTGCCTCTGACTACACGACCAAGGCTGCCCAGGGCCTGTCCCGCGTCACATCCGCGGCTGGTCCTGCGATCGCTGGTGTTGCGAAGGGTGCTGCCGGTGCGCTCGGCCGCGTTGGTGGCCGCACGGGAAAGCTCATCTCCTTCGTTGAGCGTAAGGACAACCCTTATTATGGCTTCTGAACTGGTGTCGGACCAGTTGAAGAGGTCATAGGCGTCAAAAGCATGTTCAATGGCTAATTTTGACAAATGCAGGCCAAGTTCCCCTTGTCGCCTACTATGGCAAGGTCGGCATCGAGCTATCCAAGATCGTCTTCCAGGGCCAGAAGATGACTCCTCCGTAAGCACCTATATCGACAGTCACGCACTAGACGATGAGTCTCTAACGATGTGGGAATATAGCTCAATCTCCACCTTCCAAGCCTACTTCCAAAGAGCCGTAAAGGGCATCCAGAACCCCAGCAGCCTTCTGCAATCCGCACAAGGCGCCGCTGCTCAATCCGGGAATCTCGTACAGCGCGCCCGCAACCTCTCGACCGCCCAGCTCGTTGGTGGTGGTGTTCTGCTGGCTGAGTGCCTCGGCTTCTTCACCGTTGGCGAGATGATCGGCCGCTTCAAGCTCATTGGCTACCACGGCGAGGGCCCTGCTGCTCACCACTAAATCGAACATGAGTTGCCGACGTAGGGGTTGTTGTTAGACCGAAGGGGACGATCAGAATTGGGATAGACGGTATTGGCTGATCGATGTAGCCTTGATATATTGGGCACATCAGTCGAGGCCGCTGGAGCTAGTTGGTACAATATAGACGGAGAGGTCTGGCCTGTTGGGCTCAGTCAAGGCAATGGCAAGGCTCCTCTTCCCCCTTGTACCTTATGTCCTTTTGGGGCACTGCATATTTCATTTGTAAACATTGTACGATCAGCTGCATGATGGCAACAATAAATCAGAGAAAGCTTTCCAGTGATGCCTACTTCGTCATCTTGCTCCACTTGAAGCCTTGAGTCCGATGTCTGTGTACAAAGGATCTGACCAATTTGAAATAGAAATTTCTCTTTCAAAGATCAACTTGACATTCTGTGACTTAAGCTCTGCATCGCTTGTTAGGCATTGAAAGTGCAATTAACAGATGTCAAGGCAGAGTGAGGAATTGTGCAGGCATGGCACCAAGTTCACCTCCAGCCTGCTAAGATATATAGCGAGCAATAAAAGCCCACGGTGCTAGCATTTGGTTTATCGCCATCACGTCGCCTGCGTGATGGCGATAAGCCAGATGCTTAATAATAAATCCTCACAGTAAGAACTCATCACAAGCTCGAAAGTTCGAGTTTGGTGTATCGCAAGTTTTCCTTTTTCCCAACCCAGATTACCTTTCTCTATTTCCTCATTTGTGCCACAACCAGCCCAAAGGTTACATTTTCCCAGTATCTTTTTCATAAAACCCGGAAGCCTCTTTTTGGAATGAAGGGGGGACTTTGCTAGTTCTTTAGCTCTCGACAGTATTATCCTTGTCGGCAACCTGTGTCATGAATGTATCTTCCTCTCTCCATGTCAAGCAGCAATCACACTATTTGTGTCCTTCGAGTATTATGTGGCTATCACCATATTCACTATAATTCTCCGCACCTTTTTTTCTTTTTGGAGTTGTTGTAGCTTTCTACTTTGAGGCAGACATTTCCAAACAAAGGCCAAAACATCTCCTTCACTTTGGCCCAGCAGACACAGACTGACACAAATTCTGGAAAGATCCAAGGTATGAATCATGCACCTATTTCTTTCCGAAACACTAAGACACAAGGTAGTGCGAAACGCTCCTACGGTCCAAAGGCATTGACCACGGCTGGTAGGTAGCGTAGCTTGATCTTCAGGATATGATCGATCAAACTCTCCTTCAATAGCCCGTCATCACTGACTCAACCAACAACTCGGATTTGTTCCCCATTCTGTCAAGCTGAGGAGCCAGACCCCTTTGCTGAATTTCTCAAATGCTTCACCATTGATTACCATCTCCCAGCCTCTTCTCTTGGGCACCTGAAGCATGGCCAGCTGTCTCGCAGGAGCCACATCACTTCTCGTATCTGTTGGTTCTCACGAAGAGCAAATCCGCAACGGATCGTCTGGCCCCGGTTCCTTTTTCAATTTGGGCACTGCGGTCGTCCTAGGAGACGCCGAGTGTGGCTAAGAGGCTCTTCGGCCGCTCAAGGCGCAGGCGGCCCGAACAGGAAACCACACGTCCACCACGAGACGCCTCCCAACTGCAGGCTAGCTGGACATGACGTGTTTCGCAGGGCAGAAGCGTGGCAGATCAAGCCCAATCGGGTCTGCTTTTGGGGCCTCATGAAGCCTCATCGAGACATATGGTGTAAGAAGCGGGCGAAGGGTTTTTCCCTTGTTTCTTGTGTAGTCTGATGCAAGGAAATGTGATTTCTGAAGCAATATCCTGTTTTCAAAACAACGGGGTTCGCGATTGAAAGGGGCCTTCTGATCGGCCACCTCAAGGCCGCATCAGGAGGTCAGGAAATCGAGGCCCGTTGAGAAGGCTGGGGAAAAACGGCCCCCTCATGGCCTTATCGCGCGTCTGTCCTAAACTCGAGTGTTTACCCCTATTGACAAGTATTTGGCGGTTGTCATCCATCCCTGTTCTAAACATGGGTGCCTTTTAGCTCCCTAGGTGTTATTGCTGCCTGATCGTGAGGAAGATGATGTACCCTCAAGGACAATGATCAAAACAGCAAGCAGTGAGCTTGTAGTTGCAGTTGTCAAGATTGCGAAAGCAATTATGACTGAATCACACGTTCCTAGGTAGTGACTAATTGTTAGCGGTGTTTTGAACTTCTGTTTTCAGACAGCTAGCCGGACTTCATCATGCAATGTCGGCATAAGATGCCGCAATTCGAGATATAATTTTACGCTGGAACCGATCATCGCCAGGCCTCACCCCGAGCAACCTTCGCCAAGAGGCAGAGCTGCCACGGTTCGCCATGGAAGACGCCAGATCTTTTCCCTCGGACACCATCAACTACTTTAACTGGAGTTTATCCACGGGGAGATCGGGCACTGAGGCGCGGTCTGTCCAGCGACCCGGGAAGAGGCCTCGTGTCGGTCGCGGCCCCATCGGCCCGTTTCTCATACCTAGCCATCATCTTCACCTACTCGTACCAACTTAAATTTCTTTTTTAAAAAATCATAAACAAAGCTCATGGTGAACTGATATGCATAAATAAGACTAATGCGCGCCACGATAGCAAAGAAAATAAAAATCACCAACAGCATATGCGGCTGACCGGATACGATAAGTATGACCAGACCTAGCAGACAAACACGTCGGCAGGTCTAAGCTTACCTTTGCCCTCGAGTCGAGAAACAGAGAAACAGCCTGCCGAGAAATCTTGTTGGCACAGTAAGAACGGCGACGATTCCCGGATGCTGTATTTACAAATGTGTATCTTTGCAGCTTTGTTGTTGCACCGGTCGTCAGCCTCGATGACTTTAGCGAGCCCCTGACTCTGAACATGGCACTATTTGCGGTATTACCAGGGCAGTCCCAATTATCAAGAACAGATGTACGAATGTTTTTCAATTGGTCTCGCTAGCTGCAAAGATAGACTGGTAGGACTAGACCGCTTTGACGCTATGAAAAATGATAGAGACAGGCACTGATAGCAGAACTTGGTTAGAGAAATCCCGACAGACTGCTTGTTACACCTTGATTCGCGCGTCGAAGATAAATCATACGCGTCATGGGCCTGGTCTCCTCGCTGTCCAAGTGTACCTGCTTCCTATTAGCGATTTTGTGTCACTGAAAAACCACAATGGGGCTGGACGTACACCTTCATATACACGCGATTTTCCAACTCACAGAGCTCATGTTTCGCAGTTTTGATGTAGTTCTCGATTTCTTCTTCACTCCGCCGCTTGACCCGACTGAGCGGACCGAGAAAGAGTGTTCTCAAATCTTTGGTCACAGCTAGTTGCATCCAGCGGCTGAATTCGTCGAACTTGCCCTCGCCTGACCATTCACTGACCGGTATTTGCAAGAGCTCTTCTTTGATGTCGACGAATCCAGCAGCCTGCAGACCGTTTTTCATGACATCTGAGTTAATTCTCATAGAAAAGCCATTTTCATCGAGTGCACTCAGAAATTCGTCGAAGATAGACCTTAGTTGTGGTGGAACTGGCTTGTCGTCGCAGCGTGGTTCAAAGTCGATTTCGATATGTTCGAGCCACCCGTCATTTGGTTTTAGCATTCTGTATTCGTTAGCAATCGCTCGAGACGTTGCTCTCTCAACGTTACTTTAAGCTTTTCGCGTATAATTCAGGCCAGGATTTGATAGAGCCAGCCATCCTTCGTATGTAAAGCAGGTCTGTGTATTCATCGCCTCCATCAGGCCATGGTCCATTAGCGTCCATCACTTCGAAGCAAACATTCACGGGAATTCTGGTTTCAATTAACGAGTGATCTCTCTCAAAGGGTGCGTATGTACTGACTCGAGGGGGAAACGGTTGAATATATCGATCCCCATGAACAGCTGATCTAGTCCCGTGATTTGCGCGTCTGTCTCTTCATTCATTTTTGCCAGCCGACTTGTTAATGTTAGCCTAACTTGACACAGGACAATATAAGTGAAAATACCTTACAAGACTGTATCCAATGTCCAAGTTCCCGTTCCACATCCGAGATCCACGATACGAAGCCCAGGGCGGTCAGTAGGAACAGGAGCTGACCAGGGCCGATCTTTGCGTAGCCTGAGGAAAAACTCCTGCCAGATGTCCGTTGGCTCTTCGATAGACTATAGCGCCCTTAGCAAAGCCGTTGAGTGCGAAGCGATTGGATGGCAATAGAAATAAGAAGACATACAAAGTCAAGAGGGAAGAGGTACGATGGACCATTCTTCCGAAAGCAGAATATCCTACCGAATAGCTCAACTTGTTCATATTCATCGTTGATCCTATTAACAAACGTTATTGTTACAAGCCGTCAAGCACAGCTGAGGGGCAGGATATCGGCTCGGAACATTTTCAACCCAATTTGAGGAACGTTCAAGCTGTAGTACGTACTCATTTGTCGAAGACATGGTTGCGAAAAAGGAGGGTCGTGAGAGAAGCAATCAATCGTCAATACACAGGCTTTAGCTGGGACTGATATGATTGATAAGGCGCCTGCTCAACGGTATCTTTTGGTTAGTGACATAGACAGACACGTTAGAGAAAAAAAATGACCGGGACACATCTGTATGAAGATGGGTTTGAAAATCAGAAAACAATGAAAAACTAGGGCTGACTGTATAGACGCTGGACTATGGGCCCACGATATTGATGGTACCCTTGAGATGTGTTTTGGTATAGTTCTCAGAGAAGGAACAGATGCTTGGGAAGACTGTGTTTTGAGTCTTGGGGCAATTGCTCGTGCAAGAGGGGATGTATTTATATTTCTGACCATCACAACGCAAAGGTTTATACAGCGTATCTGCCGACAGCGAGTCAACAGGTACAAATGAGGAAAGGTCTTTGTGTTGTTGGTGAACGAAGATGCGAGATGGATGTGGAGGGCAGGGCTGGTCTAAGACAATGAGGGTGTTGGGAGAGAAGTGGAGGGTGGCAGTCAAGGACTTGGTGAAGATGGTGTATAAGAGACTAGAATTTGGCCGTCCAAACAATCATGCAATAACACTAAAACAGACTTGCCCAGAAGAGGTAATAATTGAATCAACTGTAGTCTGAAGACGTGAGGGACAATAGAGTTGTGCGTGTGTGTATAAGGTAGTCCCATGTACCTCGTTCTGCGGGTGACTTGGCATGAGATGTGGTAAACGAGTGACAGCAAGCGCGGCAGGGCTTTGAATCCAAACCTGTTGGCCTTGTTAAGAATTGTGAGGTGGCTAGACAGTCACCACAGCTATAGAGTGTACAGCTCACTGTAAAGAAGAGCAAAGATATAAGTTAGTCGATGGTGTTTCGACTGTAGTGATCAAATGGAGGACATGTAACGGAACGGAGTATGATATGATGTGGGGATGTACAGTACTGACCTGGCTCGGATTGGTGATCCGGCCAAAGACGTCCTTCAACTTTGGACACAGGTTAACCTACTTCAAGGCCGCCCTCATGGATGGCCTGTATCAAGACCGGAGCCACATGCACGTCTCAAGGGCTTAAGTTCCGTCTAAAGGAGCGTCGAAGGCGCCCGGCAGCTGTGCTTAACGAGTGTGAAGGGGCGCGTATCTCAAGTCGAGATTTGTTTTTTCGTCTAGGGTCGTAGTGCAGGAATCTTGCGCGTAAGAGGATCGACCTGACGGGCAGTAGAGGTTGACTTAAAGGCCGGCTGGTAGGGGTATGAGTAGGAGGTCGGGGGGATGTTGTGGGCTGAGGTAACTCAGCGCAGCCTAGTAAATTAGCACCGGACAGGGTATCTCAAGTAGGATGCAGGGGATCGGGGAATTTTCATCGTGCCACCATAACCAGCCAGAATGGACCTGGCAACAAGCCCCGGGCAGGACAGGGCAGGGCAGGGCAAATTAAGCACGGCCACGGGCAGCCTTGTCCCAGCTCCCCGTCCATCGAGTCTGCCGAGTCTCGCGTTCGAGAAATGTGTGCGCGCACATGTGTATTGAGGGACAACATACAGTATTGTAACCGCGTAGGTTAGTGGATATTTGCTTTACCACAGAGTTTGACGGCGTGCCACCAGCCTCGCAAGCTCTCTATTCGCTGAAGCCGTCTCGTTCTGAGTCGGCGGTCTGGATGGGTCGCCTTGGTTGGCCAAGCACACTATAGTAGGTCCTGTTAAGGTGTCTGTTGGCAGTACAATACTATGTGGTGCAGCAGTAAGTTGGGTGAGAATACAGGCGTAATGCATACAATTTCTGACCAAGTCATCTCGCAGCTGGCAGTACTATGCGCATGGCCCATGGTGTGAGTAGTTAGTTCCGCATATACCCTTGAATGCTCTTTTGAAGGTCAAGTGAATTGCAAGGCAAGAGGGAGGGCAAAAAGCGTTGTCCAGTATTGTATGTCCCAGCGTGCCTCTCCAGCCGACCGAAGGCGATCATCATCCACCAAATAGGCCTACATCCCAGGGGACCTGGGGGGTGCCCAGTCAAAACGGATCATCAGGCGGCGGGTATCTCGAGGAGCATGCTAAGATAGTGCCGCAGCAAGACCCGCAGATCCCGCGTCTCCTCCCAAGGCCCGTCCCAGACGCCACCTGCGCCAGAGGGGTCTAGGTAGTTCCCATTGAGAGGATGGAATGGCATGTGGCGTGTCCAGTTCTGCCAACAATCCACATACGCATCGACCGTATCAGTCCTCGTATGGATTGACGAGTGCAGCCAAAGCCTAGCGGCGCTCACTGGGGACTCGCCCATTTTCAGCAGCTCGCTACGCGGCAGCAAAGCGGCACGGAACGCAGCTGCTATGCAATTGTCCATAACAGAGTGCAGAGCCCTTTTTGGGATGTTCCTTCGCGCTCTATCTGATACGTGCTCGTGCGCATTCAAGCCTCCATGTCCGGTATCTGAGACAGTCTCACCATCGCTGTTGCTGCCAGGTGGCAGCCCTCCATGCCTCGAAGGCTATGTCTCAAAGCCATGTAAATTGGGTCCATTGGTCTTCGATGCCGGAGGTTCTACCGGTGAACGATAGGGTCTCGGGATGGCGCACACGTGTGAACCTGTAGAAACGAGCTTCCAGAAAACCCCTGGCGGTTAAATCCTGACAGGGTGAAACCTTGCCGCGCGCCGAACTATAGGCAAGAGGAGGGACTAGCAAGCCACATTTGCTGTCATTTATAATCGCGTCCCGATCACCGCACCTGCCACGCAGGATGCAAGAATTAGGGTTTCAAGAATATTCTTGTTATCCTGATGATTGAGAAAAGGCAGATGAACGGCCCCAATGTCTAACTAGCGAAGAAAATATCTCTAGCTGGCTGCCTATTGTGGCGGTAGTCAATTTGAGGAAAGAGCCTTTGGCGAAGACTGCTTTTTATATTTGCAAGATACCACCCAGTCTTTCGCGTTCCTTCCTATAACCCAGTGCCTGTGACGCAGTATACCTTTCATCGACGGCAGGTGCTCTTCTCTCTCGGTGGATATAACATTATCATGCCTCCAACCAATCCAGAAAAAAACAAACAGTCACAATATCTGGTCGTGAGATGGAATTGGTAGGTAGCCCTCCTGAATGGGTATACCGTCTCTTATTGATCACTAAACGCTTCTCTGAAATGGTCTCTCCTGGCCCAAACACAGTGCATGCCTGTTTTAGGTGTGTCGTGGGTTCGCGATTCAATACCCAAATAGGTCATCACATACAGCACGATTCGTGTCACATAGCTCAACTGTTCAACAAAAAGCCACCTGGCTTCTAATTATACACTTTCAAATGCAGTCATGCATCTTAAGCGCACTGCCAGCGCAGAGGTCCTGAAGATGTCTTTCTAATTCGGCACCGACAGGCTGGAACGCTAGCTCGCGGCTGGCGGCTTTGCCAATTGGAACTGGAAGTCCCGCCCTGCCGCCGTGGCACTAGACACGCTGTGAGACGTGTTTCGCGGGCAAAAAAAGTCCACAGGTCGTCACAATCCGCACCAGGCTTGCAGCTTCGAGCACCTGCATGTGTCCCGAAGAGTGCAGTGATAATGCACAAATGCACCCCATCACCTGATTAGCTCCATGTCACCATCTAGAACTAACGAGTTTTCTGCGATCAAAAGCAGAGGTTCTTCCGTAAGTTGGATTTGCCAGGTGACACAATTAGTCTTTGGGCTGACTTGCATATCGACAGTCTTCTCTCTAGCAGAATTCCATCATTCAATACAATCATTGGGGGGGTACGTAAGTTGAGGTTTCAAGGTTGCTGGCATCCTATTACCTTGGACCTTGAATTCTGCATCTCGACATTTGCCTCAACTGACGTAGGCTTCGTAATTAGATATGTCCTACCTAGGAATTCTGTAATCATCCGGATACTTGCACTTAACGGTCTAAGATTAAATTAATATCAAGCAAGAAGCAGATTTCCGGTTTGATTCAAGACACCTATCACCAACGATAGATATATGTTCACCTAACACACTTGATACCTTCAGTGCGGTGGTCGGTATGTCAAAGGTTTTCAAAGAAAAAGGGCAAAAAACCAATCCCAACGGAACCGCAAATACCTGGCAATAAGAGCGAACGAACAAAATGCACCACCAGGACACCACCTCGGTTACGACTTCGGCCCTTTTGGCAACTCAGTTGTCCTGCCGGAGCAGTCTTTTAATTTGCTGCTCTGGTCCTTTATACCCCAAGTGGAAGCTGACCCGGCAGAGAGGCACAGCAGCCTGCCAATTACCACGCAGGAGCCCCCATCGAGCAGCGGGCAGCGCGACACGCCCCCATAAGCGAACCGCTCTGTCGGGACCTCAGCTAATCTCCCGCAAATGCTGCTATAACTCTTCCGTACCCTCCACCGGCGGGGGGTGTGCCGGACCAGCGCAGGTTGGGTGCGCGGCAAATTAGACCGAGACCTCCGGCTTTTGTCTCTTAAAACTTGCTACAATACGGCAGCTGTGTTTGGGATTCCTGCACAAACTGATGAAATAAACAATTAGCAGCTTGACGTGAGAGACCAATCTAACTGGTAAGAGTATAAATCACAAGGTGTAGTATATAGCATGGGAGCGGATTCATCTACTTGGACCGGAGCTGTTTCAAATGCAAGTCCTTGTCATCTCTAAAATCTCCATACTGCACATAAAGGGCGCTTTGTCGTTATGCGACTTGATTATGCAAATAACGAGTAAAAGGGATCAATGATAGCCTCTCAAATCATCGCAGCCAGCAGGTGGTCTCATTTTTGTCAATTTCCTATGAGCTTTTCTCAAGTCTATCATACATTGAATACACCTTACCTTGTTGGAGAAGCCGCCTGTCTCCTAAGTATTTGATCATTCATTCTCAACGAAATGACGTTTTAAAACGCCGAATATCGCAAGGGAACAAAGGAGAAGCCACTTCTTCTGTTTTTTGCCCCTTGCTTCGATAAAACCTCCTCTCTAGCTGGAAAACTCAGTGCTGCGCACTCTGGATCGGACCACGACGAGCCTCAATCTCAGATGATACCGCCTCAAAAATATCGCGAAGTCGATAAATTGCTCAACTTGAGCGATCCTAGGAAATAAGACCAATGCAAATACCATGCCGTTATTCCCAAGATCAGAGCAGTGGAATTTATAGATTTTTTTTGGAGGTTGTTGACAAGGCGATGACATGGGCATATATTGCCGATGTTGCAAGATTCGTAGTCTACCACTCGTATTCTCCAGTGGCTTTGTGGAAGACGTACTCCTTGCCGTTTACGGTCAAGACGCCGTCCTTCAAGGTGCACTTCCTGCTCAACTATTAGAATCGTCAAATTTGAGGCATGGTGAGGGTTTGGCTTACCACTTGTTCTTCACTCTTTGGACCTTGTCATACATGCAGAGCATGATGTGGCCCATATTGTCATCATCATCGTCATCGTCATCTTGGTCATCATCTGGGTCATCCAGATCGGAGTTGATGGCATCCTCATCATGCTCGGCATCCTCATCCTTGATATCATCATCAATACCATCAAACTGGGCAATTCCAGAAGTGCTCTTCTGCGCACGGGAGGTGTGCTTCTGAGCTTGAACGAGCGGGAGCATGAGGCCGCCACCTTCCATCTGCTTGGCTCTCGAAGCAATCTTCTCGTGCAGCATGGCATCGATATCCACGCGGCCCAGCTCGATGGAGTTACCATTGCCGTCCTTCTGCATCAAGACGCCCTCAAAGCCGTCTGCCGCACCATCCGTTTGGGACTGTGCGAGACCGTTCTGGCCAATAGGCGGACGCTGTTGCTGCTGGAGTTGCTGATATTGCTGCGGAGTTAACTGCGGCCGAGGCTGGCCAGGCTGCACGCCACCTTGCGGAGGTAGTCTCTGACCATTATTGACAGCCCCGCCTTGACCGAAGCCCTGAATGGCGTGGATGCTAGCAGCAGCTCTAGAGCCAAATTGGTGTTGGAGTTGAGCAGCAGCTCTCTGTGCAGCCTGCCCACCGGGGACAGCATACCCACCCTGTTGCGCAAGGCCATTCTGAAGGCCAGGTTCTTGCTTGATCACCGGTTCGTTCTTAGCGCCCAGCTCGGGCTTGATGAAGACGCCATTAGCACCCTGGTTCGCCGTTCCGGGAAGTTGCACGGATTGCGCATTTTGTGAAGGGCTCAGCTGAGCTTGAGTGTAGCTTTGTGAGTTCGCGGGCGGAGCAGGTGCTTGAGCAGGCGGCGGGTTAGTGACGGCAGGTGTGGGCTCCGGCTTTGGATCCCATGGAAAGGCAGCCACTTTCATGCTCGAAAGCTTCTCTTGCCATCCCTAATATTGAAATGTTAGCTACAATATTCATGAAGAATCTTAAAATTATCAAAGTGGTATGCGATACTTGTAAAAGGGCGTGAACAGCAGGCAATCACAAGCGCAGGCACGTGATGAAAAAGAGGAGACCAATGAGAGCAAGCGGGCTTGAGGCGCGTGAGCCATTTCTCAGCAGGCAGGGGTGGCACTTAAAAGACCCAAATAGCGCCCTGCCGCCCGCTCGCCAGACCAGCCGCTCTCCACCCCTCTCGGGATAGGCAACAAAGCCATCCCTCACGACAAAAAATTAACCATCATCGCCGACTTCGACGACCAGGACGTAGTCGCTCCATCACCAGATGTTCAGATTGATGGGAAAGAGATGTTGGATATGTGAAGAACGTATCTCCGATGGACATGAGATGGCGGATGATAAACGAATCCAATGTGGCGGTGTTTGGCTTGATTGCACCTACCTTACGCAGCTCCTCGAGCACACCTTCCTCGACGCCGCCGTCCTCAAAATCGGTCCGCGATGCGTCGATCACATCGTTAATGATTTGCTGGTAGACAGCTCCGACGCTAGTGTTCGACATTTTGATGAAATCTGATGGCGCTGTCGTGGGTGGATGGACAGAAGTTCTGGTGTGACTTTGGGTGCGATGCGTGATTGTGATGGCGTTTCACGTCTGCGCGAGCTGCTTCTTCCTCGTGATATTGCTCTGAGAAGACACTGACAGTTCCTTCCTTTGCTTAGATCCGCCCCTGGCCCTGTTTCTGCTCGAAAACCTCGGACGCTGAGGATGTGGTTTGCGTAGAACGAGGGTTGATCCAGGTGAGAAACGCCTGAGCCTTGACACTCCCCGCGCGGCCTCAGTGCCGCTGTGAGTATTTAAAACACCTATGCCTGACTTCCGCTGGCCCGTAAGACAACTTGATTGATATTTTGGAGCCCTCGCTGAGATTTCGTTATGTCGCCGATTTGCGCTGTGGTAGTTGTATTGGTAGAGTTGCCTCAATTACTAAAAATGCACTATAAGATCCGCCCACTGGCTTAGTCAGCTCAGCCACAACCGACGTTAAGCTTAAGTTGCTAGCACTATGTGCCAGCGGTACAGAGTGTTTAAAGCATCACTGCTTTTGCACAATACTATTTATCACTGTGGACGACCAATTTCATTTCCGAGACTATCATTGCCATTTTATCCTATACTATCCGCAAGGGACAGTGCGGGCAAGCCATTGAGTGAGTGTCACCGCTGTAACTATTGGCGAACGATCAAGCAATAGGGTTTTCGGGATATTCCCAAACTTCAGTCCAACATTCATTAATAATACACTATTTCAACTATTCACTGACGTAGCCTTCCATAACATAACTAGTCGTGACCTCATGACCAAGCAGACGTTTCTTGCAGGTAGCCGTTCCGTGTCGTAACGAGCGGACAGTCCTGAGAACTCCCCAACTCCGCGCTGAAATGACTAGACCGCAGAACCAGACCCTGAACCGATATATGCCAGAAGGAACCCTGTATACCTACCGTTGGTTGTCATCTTGATTCTGACATTGACCAGCTTTGAGCAAGCTTTTCGTCTATTCATCCTTTATCGGATCGTCATCTGCTTGACCATATCCGCCTTGCCGGAAGCACCAGCACCAACCATACCGGCAGTGGCGCCTGCCTTCTTCTCAAAGACCTTCCAGAACTTCAAGCTCTCGTCGGCAGCTGCAACTCAATTAGCTTTTTGTTCCATGAGTATTTGAGCTCAGTGCTTCTTACCTGCTGTGGCCAGCATCTGACCATCCGGGCTCAGGCAGCTGTGGAGAACTCGGCTCTCATGAGCCGGGATCTCGACGTTGCGGACGAGAGTAGGGTAGCTCCAGATGCTGAGAGAGTTGTCCGGGAATCCACTAGAGCTGACGATCTCACGGTAATGAGGGCTCCAGCGGAGGCTGGTCACCTGAGATCCGGTGTCGATGCTGTTGACGCGAGCGCCCGAGGTAGAGTTCCAGAAGTGGATATGGCGATCATAGCTGCCACCTCCAGTAGCGAGCAGGTTCATGTTCCAGGGGCACCAAGCCAGAGCCTTGACTGCTGCCTTGTGGTTGGTCTTGGTGAACTTGGGGACAACCAGCGATCGTGCATCCCAAATGGAGACAAGGTTGTCATTGCCGCCAGTAGCGAGCTGAGCGCCGTCTGATCGCCACTCGAGGCCGCAGACCTCGGATGTGTGAGAGACGAGCTCGGCAACCTTGTGCTCAGCGATGCGGACATCATGGTTGTACACCAAACCGCTGCGGGCACCAGTTGACAGGAGGTGCTTGTTCCAGCCCATGACGCCGACACGAGTGTCATGCCCGAACATGCTGCGGACCTTGATGCCTTCGGCAACGTCCCAGATCTGGACTTCGCCGGTTCCAAGGCCGACACCGACGTAAGCGCCATCACCAGACCACTTCACGCTGCTGATGTAAGTGTCAGGGCTGGTCTCGAGAAGGCAGCTGACGCTTCCCTCATCGGCCGACCAGACGTAGACGTTTCGCTCAAGACCGATGGCGACCTGGTTGCCAGAGCTCCAGTCAAGGAGGTTCAGGTAATAGTCATCAATCAGACCGGGGGCATCCAACACACGCTCCGGTGCTGTAGCAATGCGTCTGCGGAACTGAGCAGAGGTTGAGGCGGCAGGCTTCAAGGGGCGGTTGTACTGTTGGCGGAGGTCGATCGGCTTCGATGACTCTGGCGGGGCGGGCTTAAACTGGAGAATACGGGTGTTCAGGCTGACACCGCATGCGCTGGCCAGTGAATCTTGGTACGCCACAGTGTTGGGAGAAGGTCGCGAGTATGAGGCAGACTCGTCATCGTTGATGTTCAGGCCCTCAAGGGCAGCGATGGCATCATCAGTAGCGGACGAGAGGACAGAAGAGGCCTCGCCACTGCTAGTCTTGGGGCGCTGCTTGTCTGACAGGTCAAGCTTACCAGAGCCGACATTCGCAATTGCTGAGCTAGCAGCACGGTTGGGAATGAATCGGTCAGCAGCGTAGGTCAGGGTTGTCTTTGACTTTTGTCTAAGAGGAGCCTTCTTTGACTTGGCGCTGGAAGGTGTCTTAGTGTGCTGGCCAGTGCCGGTGAGAGTGAAATCGGAAACACCGAGCTCAAGGGCCTTCTTGGGGGTGGAGACACCCCGCGCGATGTTTGACTTTGGGGAATCGCGGTGTGTCGACTGGGCCAAGCGTGCAGAGAGGTTTCCGCTGTACACTGACTTGGAAGATGGACGGTAGCCATCACGGCTCGCTTGCCTCTCAGGGGTGAACGGCGAGGAGTTCAGGTTCACCTGCACAGTGGTTGTGGATGTGCGTTGACGAGGCGAAGGAGTCAGGGGCATCCGTCCGCCAGCGGTACGGGAAGAGAAGAGCCCAGCATGGGACTTGAAGGGGGTTGATACTGTAGCGACGGCGGCCATTTTATTGATGATTCAGTATCACTGATATGAAATCTCCGACGAGGTCCAACTTAATGTGTCGATGGAGGTATGATGAGATTAGAGAGCTTCGATTGATCAAACGATGCTCCAAGAGACTCAAGCTAATGGTTCCTGGATTGGGTTAGTATTCTGTTTCGTTGTGTTCGATAAATCGAAAGGCCTTGACGTAGAAAGGCTTTAAGTCGGTGGGGCGATCAACTGGCCGCAGCGAGATGATCTAGTGGACTTGAAAGAGTTTCTTTGCGTAAGGCTTGATGATGCGTTCGTGCGAGATGCACAGAGAGCGGGAGAAAGAGGGATTGCGGAGAGGAGGAGGATGATGAAGATGTGTTATGGGAGAAGGAAGAGAGGAAGAAGGCATATAGGTCAACCAGCGTTGCCTTGCCTTTTAACTGTGATGTTTTGGTTGGGGGGGCTGAGCTTGTTGACACGGCAACTGCGGATCTTTATCCTCCCGCCTTCCGCCCACGCCGCCTTCCGTGACCCCTGCGTCGCTAGCCCGATCTGGCCCCAGCCTGTCCAATCATCGATGACGGAGCCCAAGGACATTTTGGCGCTAGACACCACAGACCTGGCTGGTCATCTCCATCCATCATCAAACTGCAAGGGGCCGTGACATTAGCGATACTCCATCAAACGGTGCGAGCCGACATTGGACCCGCGATACCCAGTCTATCAGCAGCTCCTGTCTAGCAGACGACTCTCTCTCGCTTTCCTAATTGTCGCGATGCTCGGTTAGTGCCATCGAGCTCTCACGCAGCCATGGCGCAGCCGTCCACACCTTCCGCACCTCTGACAACCTCCATCTTCGGTGGTAACGTGCAGGCCACGGGCAGCCATCAACCAGCAAACGCAGCCCTGACCCCGGCTTCGGGCTCATCCAACAATACCTACATCATGCCCAATTCTCCCATGAAGGGTCGCTCCATGATGGATGGCTACCGGCCCAAGGTCACCCGTACTCTTGGACAACGACCCGCCTGTCTGGTCAATGCTTCGGTCACCTATTGCGGAAACAATCAGATCTACGCTTTTGGCGGATTCGACCAATACACCGACGAGGTCTACAATCATGTGTTGAGGCTCGATCTGGTCAGCCACCAATGGAACCTGGTGGACAACTATGGCGATATACCAGGAGTAAGAATGGGTATGCATGTCGACTACTCTTCCTGCACCAAGCTGTCGTACTGATAATGCACCGCAGGCCATACGGCTACTTTATATAAAGGCGATAAGCTGCTCGTATTTGGCGGCGAGAACGAACACCGGACATACCTCTCTGATCTCATTGTCTTTGATCTCAAGACGGCACATTGGACCCAGCCGTCAGTCACAGGACCAATTCCAAAAGGCCGGGCCCGCCATGCGGCAGTCCTCCACGAGGATAAGCTATTCATTGTTGGAGGTATCACCGGTCACGATAACTACGTTCTGGACGACATTTGCTACCTAGACTTGAAGACGTTCACTTGGTCCAGGGCATGGCGCTTCGTCGGCAGATTTGACCATTCTGCGTATATCTGGTGCGTATACGGGTGCAATATCAAGGGAACGAAACTAACATCGTCGTAGGGGCGATAGAGTCTGGGTTTTTGGAGGACTCAGCGAGGATATGGATAAGGTTAGCGACCTTTGGTGGTTGGATCTCAAAGGTAGCCCAGCATTCGACTCCGCGCCTCAAATCGGATCATTCGACAGACCTGGAATGAGCAGTCGTATTGGTAGCTCCCCGAGGCCGCCATACTCCATGGCCCAGTCACCGGTAGTCGGCGCGTCCGGTTATGCAGCGAACTCGAGGACTGCTCAGGTCAACCCGCCGTCTTTCCAATTGAAGTCCTATGCTCCGATGGCTCCAGGTTCGATCTCGGCCCTCAAGTTTGTCTCCAGTCCGAGCGTTCCTTCCCAGGGCTCTGGAATCCATTTCCATGTCTACTCTTCTGGCACACTTCTGGACTTTGTCACGCCTGCGGCTACCATCACATCCAAAGACTGCTCTTTATCAGCTTTGGACTTGGGTACTATGCGCTGGCAGAAGCTGGCAGAAGGACGTGAGATCTTCAAATCTGGCTACCGCTGGCATTATTGCACCATGAACGAAGATGGTACAAAGGCCTGGCTTTTGGGATGTCCAACAGACCCGGGAGCAATTGACCTCGGTGCAAACGGTCTCGAAGAATACCTCAGGTATATCACGCTGCCAATATGAACACAAGTTCAATCGGGCTAACTTGAAAGTTTTAGTGACATCATGGAGATTGATCTCCGACGGTACGGATTCCTTGGCAACAATCTTACTCCGGACCCAAGGACAGAGTTGGTCAGACCGTCGTCTAGAACTCGCCACGTCGAAACCCCGTCAAAAGGTCTCGGGGCAGATCTGGCGAAGCTGTTCAATCAGCCACCAGAGACGGGCAGCGGTGCCGATTTTATCATTACTGCTCTGTCCGGGGAGTGGGAAGATGAGGATATCATGGGCTCGGCTCTGATTCGTGCCAGCGATGCAGGTGATGGAGACCAAACGTGGCTCTCACCCGACGCACCCACGTCACCGCCAATCCATGTGCATCGACTCATCTTGCAGGCCCGCTGGCCACATTTCGCAAGACTCTGGTCATCACAGATGGCCGAGTTCCACACCAAGAAGATGCATATCCCGGAACCCTACAGTGTCGTCAAGGCCTTCCTGTTCTATCTATACACTGACAGGATCGATTCCTCCAGCGATGATGAGGACGGAGCCAGCGCTGACCTCTCAGATGTGGCTGGATTGTTGGTGATGTCGAATATCTACAACATTCCGCATCTGCGATTGTTGTGTGTTAATCGACTCAGTAAAGAGCTGGATGTCGATCACGCCTGCATCATCTGGTATTGTGCGGGACTGGCGAACGAAGAATGGCTCCGAAAACGTGCGGCCGGCTTCTGCCTCACACACTGGGGCAGGATCGTCCGCACCAGCGGGTTCCTACGACTCCCTCGCTCCGCACTTGTGGAGCTGTCACAGGAGATTGACACGGAGGGCCGTGTCATAGGAGGAGAGGAGCTAGACATGTTTGCTGGCATGGACGGTGGAAGATATTCCGACTCGGCCATGTCGAGGAGGAAAGAGAGTATCAGCAGCAACCAGACTCAGATGATTGAGTCCGATGGTGAAGATGATGACGGTATGGAAATGACTTAAACAACGACGGGCTTGACTGGATTGAGGAGCTCAGGGTGCCCTTGCAAGCACCTGGAATGTTACGCACATGTATGATAAACGCTTTGGCTTTGCTATATCTTATGTCCTGGCATGGCGAGGCGTTATTGGCTACGTAGTTCGCTAGGCTTTTGTCACTTAAGTAGCTATAGACGGAATAAGTGCACTTTTTTTGCTCCGGGAAATGAGAAGCTGCGTGACAGATCATCGTTGCTATCTTGCATTCACCTTTGTGAGCAGTTTTCAAGCCAACATTCAAGGCGCTGCAGTTAACTGAGAGCAACCACGCGTCTTTCACGAAAAGAGCATATTGCAATGAAACAGCCATATGAGCAAGTAGTGTTCTGAACAAGTCAATAGATGAGTTACCAAATCCCGAACCTGGTATTAAGCAACCAAATCTTTTCAGCCTCCGGAATGTCTATCTATATCTCCTCCACCAAAAAGCCAAAGAAGCCAATCCTCCCGCATACATCTTTCCGCGTCTATCGCTTGAAATAGCTCTTCTCGACCGTCCTCAGCGCAAGATACGAAATGGCAGCGAAGGCAAAGGCGAGCTCGAAGCCAACGTCGCCGCCGTAGTCCCCACCGCAGAGCTTGCCGATTGGTCCCGTGAACCAGACCTGGGCCACTAGAAGAAGAGTCAAGGGTCAGCACTTTATTCATACCGTACTAGTAAGGAGTGTGAGTGGGCAAAAACGTACTGCCGAGCACCGCACCCATGATGCCGAAGCCAAAGGCGGTGATGGCCGCGAACCCGGGCGGCAGTCTGCTGGGGTTGACGTAGTCCTCCGGGTGGTAGCCGCCGAAGCCGCGCTTGAAGACAAAGTGCTCGGTGAGCGAGATGCCCTCGTAGATGGCGAGCCAGTAGCCGATGACCAGCATGAAGTTCTCGAGCCAGGACTCGAAGTGGTCGTAGCCGGGGATGCTGATGGCGATGTAGGCGCCGGTGCCGATGAAGACCCACACGAAGCGGGGGACGCGCTGCGTGCCCTTGGCGAGCACCTGCAGGGTCAGGCCGACCGAGTAGATGTTGGGGCAGTTGTTGGCGATGATGGACAGGGCGAGCACCACGACGCAGAACTCGCCGAAGCGGCCCAGGGGCGGGACCAGCACCGTCGCGAGCAGGCCGCCGATGCCCGAGTCGAAGTACGCGTCCGAGAAGGTCTCGTCCGTGGCGGCAGCGGTCATGACAGCCGCGCCGAGTAGCTCGGTGAAGACCAGCGGCAGGAATAGGCCGGCGAAGGTCCAGGCGAATACGGAGCGGCGGGAACGGTCGACCGGCTGGTAGACGGTGTAGTCGGCGGCGTAGGAGCACCAGCCCGTGGCGAAGCCGTAGACGGAGGCCGCAAAGGAGAGGACGCTGCCTGCCTCGGTTGGGCCGCGCTCAAGAGGCAGGAGGCTGTTGAACTTGCCGGAGTGGCCGAATTCGCCTGCAACGATGAGGAAGATGATCAAGCAGGGGATCCAGGACCAGCGCTCGTATGCGTGCACGATCTTGTATCCAAAGGTGCAAATAATGAGTGTCGAGATGGCAATGACGATAATACCGGCCCAGCCAGGCATATCATGGTTGATAGCGTTGAAAAGCTGAGCGCCTACAATAACGTTGACAGATGACCATCCGATACAGGCGAGAATGTTGAAGATCGCGATCAGCTTTACACCGTAATAACCGAAGTAGAATCGAGAGAGAACCATTTGACGAAGACCGAACCGAGGACCGAAGGTTGAGAAGAAGCACACGGGAATAATTCCAAGGATGTTGATGAAGATGATTGTCAAAGCGGTATCGACAAATCCCAGAGCAAAGATGGGTTGAGCCAAGGCGCCAATAGCGAAGGAGGAGACAACCATGTTGGCGGAAAGCCACTACTACTGTTAGATGCGGGAAAGCCTCTCAAGAGGCATGTGGAAAGGACTTACAAGAGTACCGATTTTGCTCATTCCAGCGTCGGTTCTCTCATCACTTGGAACTCGTTCAATACCACGCTGCTCGACACCGAACTTGCCTGCAGCTCTCTGGAGTCTGGCGTAGATGCTGTCGCCAGCAACGAACTCGGACTTGTGAACCGCATTCTCGTCACCAACATAGCCAACTGCGGTATCTGGCTCCGTGAACTTCTCTCCACCTCCAGTCTCGAGGTCCTTCTTGGCGGCCATTTTGAAGCGCTCGAGCTGTTTAGGTTTGCAGCTAAACTTGGGAGGCAATACGAGTGAGCTGGCAATCAGAAAAGCAAGGCCGTGTCGATTGCTCCAGTGAGCTCTTATACGTGAAGGGAGGGTTGAGCCTGGGTAGGTCTGACGAGTGAATCGATCAACAACAGAAGTTGACGACGAGGAAGGGTTATAAGTAAGATCTGTGAAGCGACAGCTTTGTCGAGATTCACCCTTGACCGACCAAGTCCACAACAAGCGGGGAGCGCCGAAGACAGAACGGAAACAGCCTTCGAGAACTTCTCGAAGGGCTGGGGGGTGGGTGGGAGGGAGAGGATGTTTTAAGTAGCTGAAACAGGACGAGATATGTGGAAAGGCCACCCACCCACCCTCGATCGATACCTTGTCTGTATGCCATGCCATGGTCCAGGAGTCTAGTCACTATCTGTCTATCCATTCAGCGGCGCCTCTCTCCATCTACGGACCAGCCTGGATCTGATTGACGGAGAGAGTGGCTTGACCTAGCGAAGGGAGATCCAGCGCTGCTCCCCGATATGGGTTCGTTCCAGGATGGCCTGGAGGGCGGCGTCATGAGATTGGATCCCTGCCATGCCTTGCCTGCCAGCCTGCCTTTGCAGAGGTGACCATTCTGGTGGATTGGTGTTCGACCTGCAGTGATAAGGAACACGGTCTGTTTGGCCTGCTTGGTCCTAGTCTAGCGCGCACTCCGGGGCCTCTGCTCAACTAATCGCTAAGGGGGGTGGGAAACCCCACAGCGGCTTTCCGAGACGGGTGATAATCGACCAATTGGGGCGTGGTGGCTACACTACAGAATTGTTCGCGAAGATGCTTGTCTTGACATCTCCTACCACGGCATTGGGTGAGATAGTTAGCGGAAAGCTCCCGCCTGAGGTTGGGCAACCCAGTGAGAGCTGGCTGCAGTATATGCATGAGGGTAGGGAGCATCAACCACCTACTGCGTAGTATACAGGTAGTTCTCACCTAGCTGTGAAGATCCTCCGTCATCCATCTCTATCTTGGTGGTGTTGTGTCTCTTCCAAAAGCCTAGGGTGCATGTCACGCGTTCCTCGCCGTGAATATAGCCGGTAGCGTCACTGCAGTGTCGCAGAGATTTCCACTGCAAGCTGGCTAATTGACAAGTTGTGAGATGTCAAAGACATTCGTTACGAGCGTGATTGTACAAATTCGGGTTTGTCACTAGAGTGGCGCGAGTAAGTCGACCTGGACTAACGTTCATTGCGGTCCTGGAGAGAGACTATGGCGGTTGTGTGAGAGTATCCATGGCTTCAAGCCTCTACAAGCTTGAGTTTCGGGACTACATGTGTACATGCCGTGCAACCACAGGGAGTTTGCAGCGATTCACACCTGTCGAGTTCAGTGTAATTCTAGGGACACACGCCTGTTACGTTGCTGGTCATTGTAATAGGATCCATCCAGCGGGCTCTATCAGCCCACTAGAGGCATGGCATCATCAAGCATTTGACTAAGAGCGCCAGAGAGCTTATCAGGGTACGTCACGTTGTTGTTAATGGCAATGAGACATAGAATGCGATAAGCGGTTCTGGGTCTAAGTGGCCGCCAATCAGTGAACTCGTCTGCCAAAGTGAGTCGAAGCCAAGCTGAAGAGCCGAGGGACGGGGCGGGTCCAATCAGGCTAACCTCTCCGCATATCAATCAATCAATACATACTAATATCAGACCCCGTGTGAAAGTCGTGGCGACGACCTTTGATATCGACGCCAGTTCTCTATAGTGGATGGATAGTCTGCGAGATAGTGAAAGATAGCGAATCATGTCCCAATCCGGAAAATGCATGAACAAGCAACGAGTGAGACAACAGACATGCTGCGGCAATAACTTGAATGCAATACCGCCAGCAAGCCAGTGAGAGGGAGAGGGAGGCGGTTGTAGGTCCCGGAGTTGGCAGTTGGAGGGCGGCGGAGTCCCCCGTCAACGTCAGCGGAACCCCCGTCCACCGTAGTCCACCCCTGCTCTGCCCCAATCAACTCATCTCTTCTCCCACTCACGGCACCGCGAACCAGCAGCATGCAGTGTCGGGGGTGTAGGGATGCAGTACGTAGATCTGCATCTAAGATCCAGGCTTGGCAGGCACAAAACCATCCAGCTCGGCCTTCCCGTTACAGGTCCCTGCTTGCAGTAGTCGCATCAACACCACGTTTTGACCACTGCAGCAACAGCTTGGCTCATCCCGCAGCTGTCATCTCTCTGCCAGAAATGAAAGGCTGGATAGACAATACACCAAGCGGTCCGTTCCGGCTTGGTATACCACAGCTTATGCCATCTTGAATGTCTTGCCCTTGTCGCTCTTCGGCGAACAGCTCTTCCGCTGCTTTCTGGCTCCATGACTTTGGCTCGTGCTAGACGCTGGCTTCTGTAAGCTGGCGATACAGCATTATTGAAGACCAAGGCTCCAACAATCTCTCTTCGCTTGAAGATGGGCATTTCCACCACATACTCAAGGGGCTTTCCAAAAGACCGGAGTTTGAAAATCTTGTAACAACTTTGCGATGATGCTGATCGCTTTGGGTGATTGTAGCTATGCCACATTCCGCCTAACTCTACGAGGTGCATGTCATGCAGAACTACAGAACCTTTGGAAGTCATGAGATACGGGTGGCTGTAGAAGTCAGAGAAATATAAAGGTATCTCTATCAAGCATCCTACTCGAGTGCCTTCCTAGCTGTCGCTGACGGGTGAAATATATATCCCAGAGGTATACATGATTCACATATCACGCCTTTTTCTCGATCTCATGCTCAAAAGCCTCCTCCCCTTGAATACTAGAAATTGGTCTCTTCAACAAAAATTGCACCCTTGACAATCTCGATTAGCAGTTTCCATCTCAAAGCATCAAGGGGCTCACGTGTGATCTTCGCAGACCGCCGACTCTCCATTATCTACCTTTTTAAAACCAGTGCTTCGAATAGATTTACTTTCACAGGTGTCAAATCGATCACGCGGTCAGACAAGGTCGCCCCAAAGCACGCAGTTTTTGTCCTAGGAGAGAGAGCCCAACATCGTCTTTGCATGTGGCGTATTCGTGTAAGCTCGAGCCAGTGATGCAGCTGAAGGGTTCGGAGGATGTTGGTCATCAGAACTAGAAATTACACGATCCCATCAAGGCAAGCAAGTTCTTATTCGAAGTCGCCTTCCTCGTATCCTTCAAGAGGCAATAACTCATTTCCCGACACATCACCCCCGAAGCTCACAGGAGGATCAATAGACATGTTCGGCACACACTATGACCTGTCAATAAGCTAGAACTACTGCTCAATGCCGCTATTAGTCATAATTTGATCAAGACAACCAGGCACCCGACTTATCGCTGCTTTTTCGATCGATCCTTAGAAAGCAATCATCCAAGCATAGAGAGGCCGGCTTCGTTTGTAGAAAGCAGGGTTGTTGATATTGTCCCGCCCTCAATACGTTACACAAGTGAGGTCGCAAGAAGATATGAAACAAAAACAAGGTATATCCGCTTACCGGCCTCCGGGCTGCTAGTCCGGCGAGTTGGACCGGGAGCCGATGTAGACGGGGCGGGTCCTCGCGATTGTTAGAAACGCCGAAATTCAAAACCCGGTGTCCGGATGATAAAGCCGCAAGGCACTATATCATGAGGTGGATGGCGTCCTACCTTACTGACCAAAATGTGCCTGGATAACTTCAGCCTTTTCTATCGCGATGTCACACACACGGCGATTTTATTGCGGCAATCAATATGCGCAGTGGTTGAGAGTGGCTATCGCGTGAAAAGGTCCTGCCTTTCCAGGCATGAGCTAATGCCCAAGCGGAAAGCTGCCTGATTTACGATTATGCGCAACTTCTTATTGCATGGCTCACCGGCACATCGATCCCCGCAGCAGATCCTACGGTAGGCTCGGGCGCGGCGTCTTCTTACCAGCATCCGCATCTATGAATCAAAATATGTGAATGAACATTTTGAATACTCATCTCTGTGGATAGGAAGAGGTCATTGCACCCCTTCCCCAGATTACCAATGAGTATCCCTCGTGATTCTCTACCCCGGGCCCTGATCGTTCAACATGAGTCGTTCATGGCAATACTGGAAGGCAGGCTTCTGTGCGCCCCGATAAAGACACCAGTTGGTCGAGTACTCGACCTAGGCACAGGATGCGGCATATGGGCAGCGGAGTTCGCAGCAGAACACCCAGAAGCGGAGGTCATAGGCATAGACAACTATCCACAGCCAAAGATTGTCGCGCCAGCCAATTGCCAGTTCATAAACCAGGACGCCGAGCAAGACTGGGAGCTTGGCGATGCCAAATTCGATGTGATCCATACACGACTGGTTCCTCTCCACGCCAAAGAGGTGCGGGCAGTTCTTCGCCGGTGCTATGAGCATCTCAACCCTGGCGGCTATATTGAGATGCACGAGACTTGGCCTCCATGCCGAACAGATGAGCCTCCCGAAGCACCAGAACACAGATCAAAGGTCATTGAGTGGGCGAAGCTTCGCTTCGAGGCTGTCTCAAAGATTGGGATCGATCAGGACATGCCTAGACAATTGCCAGAGATATTATCTGAGACAGGGTTTGTCGATGTACAAACACAAGATCACAAATGGCCGCTAGGGCCGTGGATGGAAGATGTGAGAATGAAATATATGGGGAATCTGAGCCTCGAGTTGTTACAACTTATTGTAAGGAGTTCTACAGAAGGACTGCTTACTGAAATTGGTATGGAAGAGTACCAGATTATTGAGCTCATCGAGCAAGTGAGGAAGGAGCTTGGAGTAGGAAAGATCTATACTCCAGTCCGGATCGTGTGGGCCAGGAAACCTGAATAACGTTATAGGTCTGCTAAACAATGGTTAGTTGACACTGTTGAGTGCTTCAGGACGACCCTCCTGAATCCTGGGGCATTGGCAGATGTCAACGAAAGACGGCGTGCGGGATGTTAGCTATCTCATCTGTAAACTAGAAATTATGAACCTGAAAACCTCATTTTGCTTTCGAGCAGACCGGCTAGTCGGCAACAAGAACTCGGCCCGGTCAGCTACACCAAGTCGAAAAGCAAGCGCATATCGAGTCAGACACCTGCCAACCGGACGGTTATCCTGCTTCTGACATTGCAAAATGTTTTCAATTAGAGACTTCAGCTGTGTCGCAAAGGCATACTGTAAATCCTCCAGGTATCAGCATCAAGTCACAGTTTCTCGTTGATCATTGCACCGCGATGCAATTCTTTAGTTTTGCCGCTTCTTCATAGCTGACATCTATTGATGGATCGGCCGTCACATTTCTCCAACATACTCAAGAAAGAGCTGGAATCGTAAAAAGTAGAAAGCAGAGAGGACCATCACTTCATTATGACCAAATTAAAAATTGCGAAAAACAGAAATCACGTAGCATCAACAATCTGAGAGCGAATTATGCCCTTGTCTCGCAATATGCTGTACAATTTGCATCACGCAGCAAGTCGTCCTCCCCATGCTTACCAGAGTAGTTGCCATCCAAGAAAAACGCTGCACATAGTGCTCAGCTGAAGACGATGAAATGACAAGACGATGGACTGTTACGCCAAGACTGTAGTTTTCCAAGTCCCAGAAAACACAGTTTCCACGGTCCATACCGGCGCCAGTCAAGGGCCGGTAGCTCAGCAACGGTCTTCTTGCCAGTCGAATCAGGTCGCTGGATGCGGGCAAGGGGCACGCGACTCTCGATGTGGCCCCCTGCTGTAACGACCGGACCCTGAAGACAATTAGTCAATTAGCAAGGGAAGCCGGTGAAATAGTATAGAGAAGGCCGGCAATTTCCTTTCCAGGGACGCACGCTGTACAGGGACGATGATGGCATGGGAGAGAGCAAATGCTCCACCGCGCACTGCTGGAAGCGCCAGATCAGGCTCCACAATCAAGCTGTCAAGGGCTGAAAAGTTGGAGATGCAAAGATTGCTTGCATTCTTTCCGACTTTGTTCTCTGGGGCCAGCCCTCAGATCCATGGCATGGCAGTCGAGATGCCCTTTAACTGAATGGTTTCTTGAACAATTTCGAGACTCTGACTTGAAGTAGATGGCGAGTTGAAGTATCACCTCTGGGCTCTGAACGTGTGTCATTGAGGGAACACCGCCACACACGGCAAGTCGTCGTAGGGCTGACAATACGACACAACGCCATTGGCGCCTCGGTGTTTCTATTTCTGACTTTTTTCGCCTTTCCAGCACCCGTCCCGTCGCTGTGGCCGGAGGGCTGCAACTCCAGCCGATCACTCGAGATGTCGCCGCCGCCGCAGGGCTGTGGCTGCCCTCAATGGATGGCACTTACATCATCGATCACCAATGAAGCTGGCAATAGGATCAATGCACATGCCTACCCGGCTACGGATAGAGTTTGGCTCTACACCCACCGACGCGTACACTGCGGAGCCTCCAGGTCGACTTACCTGCGGCGCCATGCCAGTCGTCCAAAACATCCACAATCTTCAATCCCAGCTTTAGTCCAGTTGCAGAAGCAACCACACCCACTTCTCTGCCAGTCCCAGTGGACCGGTCTCTGTTTTCCTTGGCTGTAAACTTTCCGCGAGACAAGGGGGAAACGGCGGCGGCGGCGCCTTGAGTCAAACCGGGGCAGCACCGACACGAGGCGGATGCGCCTCTAAGCCTGGGACTGTGACTAGGCAAATGACGCCGTTGCTCAGCGCCGAAGACCTGCAGGCTGCGCTCCACCCAAAGTTGCCCTTTCCGAATGCACAAATGTCTTGATATACCCAGCACCCCTCTCGCCTTTCTTGTATCATAACACTCCCTTGCTGCTTGATCTTACATCCATCCCTTTGAAGTGTTTATATTTGATATCGCCTGGCCCTCCTGTCGTTGGCTTGCAGGACCTAGTTGACTTAGTCTCCAGACTAAAGCTTCTCACTATCTCATTTCTCTGTTTACCTCTTGAGGCCTAGTAGTCTCAATCAACCTCTTCAACACCCTCGAAGCACAGGAAATGCAGTTTCAGTTAATATTATCATCTCTGCTTGCTGCAATTTGGCTGGGCGGCGTAGCCCAAGCAATACCAATAGTCAAATCACCGGGCCCATGCCCAGATGTAAGTGATCCACGCCTGTATCGGAACATCAAGAGACTTATGTCTGCTGCAGAGGAAGGTCGATGCTATTCTAAACGGCAAGTTGGCGCCTGAAGAGTGTTGTAGCTACGGAGTATGTTTGGGCGACGTTGTCATATCCATGGTATGACAAGGCGAGGAACGGCTTGGGCAACGATGAAGTCCAATCCTGACATACAAACGACATGACGATTTTACGAATACACTGCTCCGTGCAGTAAAGCATACACGATACCACATTCGCATTAATTTGGCGCTTTATTTACATTCGCGACGGCGTTTCTGGGGATTCGAAAGCATCCGGCTCAGCGGCATACATACATACGAAGTTGGCCAGCATGGGATCTCTTGTTTGCGGTGTGAAGAGCGTGCTGGGATTCATGCATTAGGCGACAGCATGGGCGCCACGTCGCCCCATCGTAGCCTCACCGAGGTTGGGCCTTCATGTGGTTGAGGAGTGGATAGCGGAGTTGTCGCCAGATACCTACCGCTTTGCAAGAAGCTGCGTATCGCGCTCAAAAGGAACAATATCAATCAGCCTCCGGACTTGGCGGTGGGCTTTGTCATACCGATCGCATCGAATTCCCGGAATTGTGACTGGCCATGTCGTTAGTATCCACTCGAGTTGCTGACATTTCAACTTCTCTTTGGACGTTCGGATCTTATCTCAAGCGAGGTAACACTGTAATGCAGTGAACCGGGCCCCGACATCTGATCACGGAAACAAGCTCATCGTAACATCATGGATCGCTCGGCCAAACCGGCTACCTAGATTGTCTTCTTTTGGCGGTTAAAATGATTGTATTGGCTGGGCGGAGTATTTTGTCCTGCCTTATCGCCGCGATTGCTGGGGCCAAGCAGCGGCTCTATGCATGTGGCTCGTATTCCCTTGTGCACTACACACCCTCCGGCCGGCGCCTCTTCCTCGTATGCCGCCATCCGACGGTGGCCCGAGTCCAAATGGTCGGGTCAGAAATGTATCACAAGACACCTTTTTCTATTTCAATCATTGGGCATTGAACTCTGTGATCCCACACTCTCGGGTCGTCTTCACGATGGTGTCGCCGTGGCTCACCTCATTCCGCCGCCGTAAAAGACTTCGAGTCAACAACAAACCCGTAGTTTTTCTGTTAACGCTTAGTGAGCAGTGATCTCACACCATGCTTCAAGGATTCGAGCCATCAAGACCACCGCACACGAGAAACATTAGTAAATGTAGGCAACTTACACCAACATTGTACAAGCACACCTCCCTCCCCCACTCCGTCGTCGTGCCGCAGCAGTCCTCGACGAGCACGCAGTCCCAGCCGGCGTTGTACGCATCGCTCAGCGTCCCCAGCACGCACTGGTCCGTGTTCACGCCCGTGAGGAACAGCGTTTTCTTGCCGGCGCCGCGCAGGTGCCGCCACAGCGGCTGCGTCTCGGTCCACAGGCCGCTCATTCGGCTCTTGGCGCAGTGCACGTCCTCCGGCCGCACCGCCGCCTTCAGCGGCGCGTAGATGTCTGCGTTCCAGGTGTCGGCCATCAACATGCGGCCCTTGTCATCGCCGAGGTCCGCGCCAAGTCCGGCGGGCGGCGCGGCGGTGGTCCCGGAGTTTGATGGATCCCATTCGATCAGGGCGCGGGTGAAGCCCCGTTGGACACCGGCAGGCATTTTTGCGATGTCGTCGTCTGTTAGGCCCCAGTTGAGCCAGATGATCTAGGTGTGGTGTAAGTGGAATGCTTTTGCGATTGTTTCTCCCTCGTCGCTCGAAAGTCGAGGCGGTTGCAATCTATGATACTGAAAAGTGTCCTTACCTGAATTCCCTTTTCGCGACACTTTTCAATGACTTTTAACGTCGGCTCTACTGCAGCCAGTCCTGTTGGATGTTCGCGACATGATGAGTGTAGGAAGAAGTTCTGCATGTCCACAATCACAAGGGCGCTCAGCCCAGGGTTCACTGATATGAATGTATTTTTTGGTCCTTGCGTAGTGCCGATCTTAAGAGGCGGCTCCAGACCTCTTGTCAAGTCGTACATCCGCGTGCTTCTTGAATAGGTCCATTGTTCGTCTGAAGGACCAAAAGTTAGAGTTTCAGCGTCTGAGGACATCTCGCTATCAGGGTTGGACTATCGAAGAGGCACTGCACTATGAATTTGTGTTAAACCAGTTTCCTTAAACAAGATGTGGTGGACTAATTATCTATTCTTGCATATCACTAAAATGGCAGAGATAAGGGGGATGATAGCTTCAAATGCGGGGTTCCCCAAAGTGCTGCTCGGCAGAAATCAAATCAATTGTCGATTCGCGAGCAGTGAGACAGTTGCTATCTGCTCTGGAAATCCCCGCCCCATATTGTATTAGCTATCTAGCCTCTCGTTGGCTCCGCTCAGTCAAACTGCAGATGCTTTGAAATTGATGGGTTTCCAAATCTTGGATATGGCGTGATGCCTTGCCGCAACCTACGACTCAAGCTCAAATTATACAGTACAGGTTCCATTGTGTGTTGCAAGAGTAAGGTTGTTAAGCTCGGAAACTCCAGCTAATCAATATGTCATTAGAGGAGACTGTATCAACTTGTATTAGGTGTCAACTTTTAGGTAAATTTTCTTAAGCTTAAACTTGGTGACCCACGAACTTCCGCTTATGGGTTGGCTGTTTACTATCTTAACAAGACCGCTTGGGTGAATACCTTTAAATGTGATGTTTGTATAGTCCCGTCAGACCCTCCCGCAGAAGTTGATGTCATTGCTCCTCGTACTTTTAGAAGATTCCTACAATTACCTACTTCCCTGAGGTTCTCCTGGTTCTATCAACTACTCTCCTTAACAGTTCTTAAGCGAACATCATCCTGGGACTGCTCAAGCCGTATAGTAATAGATTTTGCCATCTCGTCCATAGTTTCTCCAGTCTCCAAACGTCCAGGATCCTCGCCACAGCTAGCAGCACCCTCGGGCAATGGAACGCCAACGTCAGGGGGGATCCCTTCCATAGCGGTTGACTCGCGGTCGCCGCCACGGTCAGAGACAGGAGAACCGCCGTCGCCAGAACCAACGCAGCCGGAAGCGCAATCCAAGCCCATCTGACCTCTAGACATGTAGCACAGTGCAGGACATCTCCCCTCGCGTCCTTACTAACACCCTCCATGCCGCCCGCGCGTACAGCAGCCGTGAGGGAGTCGGAGACGTTGCGAAATATCTCTAATCGTCCATAGCTCATATTTCCCATGTTCCACACAGCCTGCAGAGGCAAACCGCCTTCCACGAAATTGAGACGGGCGATCTCGCTGGGGTCGTCCACGGTGCTCGCGGTCAGCGTGGAGTAAAAGATAATTTGCAAATAATTAATCCATTGCGTACACGCAGCGAGCATAAGGGGCCGTGGATGGTGAGCGGCTGTAGCCCTTCGTAACATTGTAGGGAAGCCAGCGACCCAGTGCCGCCATTCGAAGATCATATCCTGCAGCTGTGAGCTGGGCATTCTCGTCGGGCGAGGTGCATTGTGTGTCAAGCAGAGCGAAGGTCCCGCCCCTGATGTTCTCTTCAGGAGTCGTATCACCGAGTCCCCAATTCAGGGACGGTCGGTGCTTCTGAACCAGTGTTTCGTGAAGCCTCCCTGATTCGACAGAAGCCCAATATTCTCTCACGCAAGGCATGATTATACAACGCGCAGCACCGTAGCCCCTACAGCGCCAAGGGTCGTCGTGGCTCGTCGGCTCATCGTTGCAGCCGGGTATGGAACAATGCCTTGGAGGCATTGAGCTCCGAATCAATGACTGTCGATGTTGCCACAGCAGGGTTGTCAAAACTATCGGAATCCCAGGTTATAGAAAGATTGGAAAGGCCACCTACTCCCATATCAAGCGCCTCTGGAAGTTGTGATGTGAATCGACTGTGTCGCATGTTTACCGAACAGGGCTCAACCTTGCCATTATCATCCCAGCATGTCTCGTTGACGAACATTATGGAGTCAGACACATCCTCACATTTGCTACAGAAGCCCACTGTCGTGAAGCTTGAAAAGGTGCAGTTGCCGCTTGGACACTCGGGCATTCGGCGTGTAAGGTGTTCCGAAGAACCCAGCGAGAACAGAGGCTTGGATACCCGCCTCGATCGTCTCATCTAGAGCTTGTAGGCCAATAGAAGCATTGTCTCCGATCACATACCCGTTGCCTACGAAGTAATTCGTTCGAGGGAGTGTAGCTATCGTACCGTCTAAAACAACGCTACAATCGACATAAGTCAGCAGCTGGTGGGTAAAGGGATCTATAGCGACGGCGATGATCATGAGTATGGCTGCAAATGCAGTCAAAGGTTGGTGAAGTTTGTGTACCCAGAGCCACTGGAGTGAGCCCCACGGACCATCCTGAGCTTCTTTGTGCCTGACCACGTCGATAAGGGCCCGTTCCAAGGCAAACCAATTCCATTGGAGTTGGCTGATGCACGAGCTGATAATGAGAATCAAGGAGGCCTTTATAATCACTGAATAGATGGCCAGCAATGTGTTGAGTGATATCGTATCCAGCCATTGAGGGCTCGGCTCTCCATTGTATGGATAAATAGTGCCGACAATAGCGAGCAGTCCTGCGAGACCGAAGATGCAGGAGAGCGTCTCTCTTTTCCAGCCGAAGAATTTTCGTGATGTCAAAAGGCTACCGCGCTTTGAATGATTCTCATAGTCCTCATCACCCAGTGCATTCGATTCCTTATTCTTTATTGATCGTACTGTGCCATTATCATCCTTGCCAGTCAGAGGATCGGGATTATCATCGTTGCCCGTTTCTGAACTTGTCAGCGCATTGGACCTGATCGTATCCGAATCTTTTGACATCTGGTAGCATTCAGGCGTTTTGCGGCAAAGATGCCCAAGTCAAGCTCAATGTTCAAGCTCGATGGGAAGACAAAGCGAAAAGAGGCATGCCTGGTTGACTTGAAGGAATGGAGAGGGCTGATGTAAACAGGAGCACCAAGCTCCGTATAATTGACCATACTTGATCAGGTACACATGGGCGAAAGTTCCCATTGGGGGCCAAAATTCTTGCCCTTGTGTATATTTGAAGTGAAGATGGTGCTTGGCTCTCCCATCAACGACCAGCAGCATTTAGCGGGGCCTGGCTACAGCAAATGGTCTACCTAATTGTAGAATTGCCGATTATGACCTAGAATTTATGTGGCGACAGTGTGGATGTCTGTCGGCGCATAAAACCATATTATAATACATCAGGTCCAATAGGTGAAAGAGTTGATGTCGTGAGAAGTGCTGAGAGTAAATGGAGAAGGGTTATGCAAGTTCTCGGCATATTTGGCTGAATTAGGTCTAGCGATGACATCCGCGCCGTTGAGATACAGCGCCCACTAACTTATTCCCGAATGTTCCCCATGGCACCGCCTCAACCTTAAAATAAACATTCACCGGGGTATTGCATCTAGTGACTACCTCATACGTCTTATATAATCGTCTCGAAGGTAGACCGTGATCCGACATGTTGGGTCTCAGTCTTTATGATTTCCTCTGTGCTCTGGCAGGAATTTATCTTTACGCTTCATCACCTTCCTGAGACCCTTACTTTGCATGAGGAGAGGTATTGCCCTCGTGTTGGGCATGAGAGAAGTCTGATATCATGCGAACGTCGCAATCCAAAAAAGGTTGCAGAACGTGTCGCACAAGAAAGATTAAGGCACGCGACCCTGCATATGGTTCACTACTGCAAATTGGCTTCGATCCCTAAAGACCAACTTGCCAGGCTACCAGTACTAACACCAAGCCCATAGTGCGATCTCGGCCAGCCTGAATGCCAACGCTGCTTCACAACAGGCCGTGTATGTCTTGGATATGGGGAAGACTACGTCTTCAAGGTCCAGTGCTCTACTAATTGGTCCCACCAACCTACTCGACGATGGCGTGTATATACACGCGACCTCGCGAATAGCAATCGTCCCAAGATGAAGAAGTCACAAGAGCGCGAAGCGATAGATTGCGCCCAAGACAAAGGTGCCCGTCGCCAGGATGACACTGACTGCCACATGCGAACACTCCTGCCCAGCTCACTAGACTCAAAAGCTATTAGTTGTGAGCTGTTCACTGGGCTGTTCTTGGACCTATTCATGCCGTCCGACTATAAATTGCAGACGGCGATCAAAGTCCCAGGTGGCTGGGTGAGCGCATTTCCTACTGTTTTCCACGGTAGAGATGACTTGCTCAACAAGAGTCTTTTGGCTCTATATACCGGTTTTGTCGGTCGGAAGAACGGCGATGCTAGACTCTCCATGCTCAGCACGGACATCTACACCGATGCGTTGCGAGTCTTAAGGGAGAGCGAGATATGGTCATCCAACAGACGGCAGTCTGATGTTGACACGAAGTTGGCAAGCGTCCTTGTCTTTTCTCGGTGCGAGCTGTTTGCTACCGAGGGTGGTAGTGGTGGATACATGGCTCATATAAGAGGTGGTTTGCAGCTCCTCAAGCGTTTTGGCACCAGACTGCCCAATAACGAATTATCAAAGATGTTGGTAAAGAAGTTCAGGATTCTTGGGGTGAGTGGCTTGTTGCTCCTATCAATTGCGATCTCTACCTAGTGTACTAACGGTTTTTTTAGTACTACGCCTCAGTTCGGCATCGAAAGGCATTTTTCATGGCCGAACCGCCCTTCAGCAAGCTTCATCTAGCGGAGAAAGGGGATCCCGATTATGTCGTGCAGAAGATGTTCGAGAGCGTCATTGTCATGCCTATGCTGATGGAGTGGGCTGATAAACTAGATAAGAAAAGCTATACGACCAAATCAGCAGCACTTCGAGGGCAACGATCCGCGCAAGATCTGCTGCGATTGGCGTCGAAAGTATTGGATGATCTCCAAGGTTGGTATGAAGAAATGAAGCAGGAAATTCCCGCCCCAGTGCCTAATAACAGCGTCGAAGAGGGTTCGGGCTCGCCACCAGGCGAGTTCCAATTCGCCAGTCCCATGGACAAGTACGTCTGGACGCTTTACTGGGTATGTGCACTATATGCCAATCTTCTGGTCAAGCAGCTCGAAGCTCGACATAAGGGGCTGGATCGTTTATTAGATCATCCCCTACGATTTCCCGTAGAGCTTAGAGAACTAGGCTTGAGCCTCGAGGAGCTGGACCAGTACGCGGAGAATATCCGGGCATCATTATTCTCGGGGACTCGCTCAAGCGCATTCGATGCGCAGGAGACGATGGCACCCGCATTTGCCCTACAATGGTACTACGAACAGCGAGGCAATACGACCCAGATGCTCTGGTGCATTGATGCTATAAAAAGAATCGAACAGCAGGGCCTAGCCTTGAACGTGCAAGTCAAGGAAACGCCGACCTGGTGTCCTCGTGTTCGTGCTCTCTTTTTAGCAGAAGTGGAGGGGTGACGGAATGGCCAAATGTGTATTTCGACAATTCAAGATCGCATTCTGATAGATAAATGCAAACGTGGCTACTATCATCAGAAGCACATCCTAGCCGGGACAGTTGCTCAAACAAAGGGGTTGATACATTCTCCTCAAGTTCTTTTTTCGTAGAACGTTTGGAGTTCGCTTGAGAAGAGATAACAGCTCTGCCAAACAACTTACAACGTACCTGTCTTGTCTACCTTTCCAGGAAGTCAAGTCATATGATCTTGGCCAGGGATAGGGGCGCTAGGGAGGTCGCATTCGGTACGACTGCGCTTCACTCCGCACCTCTCCGTCCGTGGCGAGTGTAATAGAGTGGGCAGGTTTATTTGATTAGAGCCCTTTGGCATGTTTCTGTACCTATCATATCGCAACGAAGCTCCGTGTTCCGGAAGACGGCGACATCTTGTATCTCCGGATTCCGTCCGCGTACCACGCGGTTCTGCGGCCGCAATGATGTTTGTTGACAGTCCAAGTAGCTTGATGAAGTCGGCCGCGGCCCGTAGGCCCGGATATATATACTTGTGCCGGTCGTAGTTTCTGTGTGTCTAATTCTTTCGCCTAGTCATATTCGCCACATCCTCAAGCTTATTCAAAATCCATCATATACTAGATACATCATTGCATAATGGCTCCCAGTGTATGGTTCATCACAGGTACCACGTCTGGCATTGGTGCTGCACTTCTAAACCATATCATCGAGCGGGGCGACAAAGTCATCGCAGCGGGCCGCCAGGTCGAGCAGAAGCTTAGCCCACTCAAGTCAGATAACGTTGCTATCTTGGAACTCGACATAACAGCTGGGTGGAAGGAGATTGAGGCCAAGGCAAAAATTGCCTGGCAGATATTTGGGCATATTGATATCCTCATGAACAATGCCGGTATATCAGCGATGAAGTCCTTTGAGGATGCGGAGTACAGCCAGCACAATCTGATATTATAATTAAGCTAACCGTTATCGCAGCGATGAGTTTGTCCACGATATGTTCCAATCCAATGTGTTCGGCCACCTTCATCTGACTCGAGCCATTTTGCCCTTCTTTCGCGCTCAGGGGCATGGCTGCATCTCGTTCACGTCTTCCAGCTCGGCTTGGCTGGCTCTCCCATTCATGTCACATTATACAATGACCAAAGCCGCTCTGAGCGCATTTGCGGAAAGTTTACACAAGGAAGTCTCGCCTCTGGGCATCCGGTGTGTCGCATTTGACTGCGGCGGCTTCCCGACTCGCCTAGGCCAACCTCGCACTGACAACCGTGCAGCGAGCTTTGGGACTCAGGAGAGCTTTGAGAGCATGGCTCCGGCTGTGCCTGCTTACCGGCCCTTATTTGAAAAGTTTGCAGGAATGTTTGCGGTCAACCCAATGCGATTGCTGCCTGGTGAGCCGGCAAGAGCCGCCGTGGCTATTGTAGATACCATCAAGGGCGAGGGATTGGCGGAAGGACGGCCATGGACCGTGCGAGTCGTCCTTGGTTCGGATTCTCTGTTATCCGCAAGACGAAAGCGCAGACAGCAGTTAGAGATATTGGATCTTTGGCAACATGTTAGTTTTAGTACCGATGGGCGTGACTTTCTGGAAGACAACGATATGATCGCTTTCACGAAGCTCGCGGGAGTGATCGACTAGCAGTGTCCTAGAATAATGTTAAACATTAGTTGTATCCACCTGAGGTGATGAATGAGCACATCTCCCTTTTCCGGTATGTGGTGGCTGGTTGTAATATCGAGTATAGCTGCTAGTATGGCTTTGATAGTGCGTTGTCATGGAATTCATCACATTAGGTTGGTCTGGGTAGATGGCTCCTGCACGAAAATAGCATCTCATATACGTATTGGCTGAGTAAACTCCGAGATGTTGGCAATTGAAATAGTTGTTTCGGTAAGTTAGAAGACTGTAAAAACAATTCATGCCCATAGAGAATCAACATCAAAAATGATATAGGTGCGTGAAGCGAATTGAATCATAGATAGTATAGCATTCTCGTGACAATGCTCTGTTTAGACAAGGATATTTACATCCGACCTTAGACCTGAACGCCGAGCTTTTGACCTTTAAAGGACATCCTGACAAAATTCATTCCCTATGCAACATGAAACTCAAATACTCTCTCATCCGAGCCACCTCGATAATCTATAGCTTCTGCTTGGCCTTCTTCGCGTTACACGCTTCCACGAAATCATTGATCTCAGCACGGTAGCGTAGCGATATATTGCGGAGACCACGTAGCCGCTCTGACACTTCTGCATCGTTTGCAGGTAGAGGTGTTATCGGTGCCCATCCCACCGCCGGAGCTGGCTTCGGCTTCGTCGGCTCTGCTTTCTTTCTATTCAGCTGCTCTGTCGGTATCGGCCCCTAGCCGTAGAACTGAGACTTCTGAAAGCTCTCGACCGAAACATCCCCAACCTTACTCTGCGGCACCGGCGCCGGCTGCTGCTGTTGCTTCTCGGCCTCTGCCTGAACGCCGTTGATAACGCTGCTCGTTAGTGAGTTCGCTCTGCTGCTCTCACTCGCTGATGCCTTGATCGCTGCGACTGCCTGACCAGGTTTCCTGGCGATTTCGAGGAAGTTGGCTGGTAGATAGCCCATGCGTCCGTCTCTAGCTCTGCATCGCCACCATTCGCTCGGGTTGCCCAGTGGGTCAGATTTACTCAGCACCGCGACGAGGTCGCCCTTCTTGACGTCCAGATCTACTCCCTGGACAACAGCATTGCCCTGTGTTGAGGGCGAGAAGTCATATAGTACACGGCAGAACTCCAACTTGGAAGGGTCGAGGGGCTGTGCCTCGAGTTGTCGCTTGCGTTCCTCCTCTTCATGTGACGCTGCGAGTGTCCTGATAGCCTTGCTCATGAGATACGGAAGACCGAAAGCTGCCAGCAGGAAGAACAGCAGGGGCTTTTTGCTTGGCTTCGGTGCCGCCGGAGTGCCGTCAGGCATGGGTACTGAGCGGCCCTCAAATCGCGCAAACGCTGCCGGAGTCAGAGCGGTTGCATCGGCTGGGGGTGGTCGTCCGGTAAGTTTTGCGATGAGCGTCCGGATCCAGCGCATGAGTGTGAATATGCCTAAAACTGAGCCAAGAGTGTCGCGTAGGTTACCAAACTGCTCGGCAACTGAGACCATCGCTATTCGTTATTAGTGGCGCGACCTACAGGTAACGACTGTATCTCAACTCACCAAAGAAACTCGAGTGTGTAGCCATATATGTGCTCTCCAGCATCTGCGCAAAGCCGCCAAACGCACCGACAATGCCTTCTAGCATCTGGAAAGTAGCCTGTGTGCTCTGGTTGAATCGGTGTGTCAAGCTGTCCGGGTTATTGGGGTCTCCTGGCATGCCACCGGGCATACCGCCATACATGCCGCCTCCGTACATCCCACCATAGCCTCCATACGAGCCGTACATGCCTCCACCATAACCGCCGTAGCCACCCATTCTAGAGTATGGCGAGCCGTATGGAGAGGTGTAGGCGCCGCCATAGGAGCCGTATGGTGACGCGCCTATCCTGCTATATGCGGCGGCATTCTGGTTGACGGCCGCAGTTAGGGATGCGGGTCGCTCTGGGATGGCTGGAGATGTGGATGATGTGGTAGTAGTTTCTGACATCATGCTCGGTGTTACTGCCGAAGATGGGAGAGTGGAAGCGGTGGGTGCGGATGAGGTGAGCGTTGCTGGTCAATATGAGCATCAAATCAACATCGCCTTGATAAACAGCCGCACAATGACACATACCTGCTGTTGCGGGAGTGGCGCCTTGTCGTTCCCAAGGCTTTGGGGGTGAAGCCATTGCCTGATGCCTAATCTATGAGCGTACCCAGCAAGTATTTACCGGGGCGCTGGTATCTCGTCGTTCGCCGGACGAGACGAGGCCTCAGATTGACCCGCCACTTGGGCCGAGGCAAGTGAGTCGACCTCGCGCTTATCTGATGGCGACTGCCGTCCTTGCAGACAGCTCAATTAAAACAAGTGTATTTCTATCGCATCTGTCGGATGAATAATGGCGAAGAGATGGAAAGTGTTGATGTCGGGGTCGAGGATATCGTTGGTTGCAGGTTGGTGCTTGCAATCTGATCTGAGAGAGAATCAACGGGGACGAAAGTGGATCGAGCGGCCGGTGCGGTTGGAATCTGGGGCTTGTGAACCTCGGTAGTTTGTTGACCACTGCGTTCGCTTGCTCCGAGCCACACCTCGTACTCCTAACAAAAAAAAGTCGGCCTGCACCGGCCGTGACTCTGGGATTTCCCCGATAAATAACCGACTACATGCATGTGCTTAGCGCTGCATTCAGAATATCAAGCGACCTCAATGTCGTCTTTGAATTCTTTGCATGTAATTATACCGCTTAATGGGCTCTTATGTTTTGAAAATGCCTTATCTTTCCCCTGCTGCTCAATCATCGACATGCACATTTGCATTACATTACATTTACTTGAGAAAGCATGCTGAAATCGGCCAACTCAGCCGAGGCAGTATATTTACATTCACGGGTTTAGCATAGGTACATTAGAGTCCAAAATTACTGTTGACTCTGGGAGTAAATGTGGTCGTCTGTCGGCCTATCTACTTTTCTCAGTTCTGTCAAAAACTCTTTGAATGATTGCAATGCTATCCTTCTGCCTCGATCTCATAACTGTTGGCCTTGTGTTTAGGCTGGAACTTGAAGCCATCGGCCGCAGGGCCAAGGAACATTTCGCTATGAATAACGTTAGAATATACATCAATGCCTGGGAGACAATAATTTCCGAAACTCACCTAATCTTGATCCAATCCTTGTAGTTAGGACTGGCAAGAAGCGTCTCCAAGTCGTTTCGGCCCCGGTAGGCCGGCGCCCGGTCATTGAGACTAGGTGGGAGGTATTCCAGGAGACCAACCGGCACATAGCGGTAGGCGAAACTGAGGTATTCCAGCAAGAACTTGCGGGTGAACCCCAGGCCCATCTCGTCTGAGCCCCAGGCTTCCAAACCGTAACGGCAGAACTTCTCGATATACCCGAGTCTTTCTGACGCCGATTTGTCCAGATACTGGCCCTTCTCAATTTCCTCGAAAATCCAAGGTTTAACGCAGGCGCCTCGAGCAATCATCACGGAATCCACCTTGGCATTGTTGATATGATCGAAGTATTCAGTATGCGAGAAGCAGTCACCGTTGCCGAGGAAGTACATCTTTCCACCGGGTGCGTTGGCCAGCGTGCTCTCGTCGGGCTCTCGGATCGTATCTGTAAGCTCATCCTTCCTTTCGCTGAATGACTTGATCATGGTGGCACATTCGGCAATGTAGGACCAATCTGCCTTCTTCTGATATCTCTGCTGTCTCGTTCTGCCGTGTAGAGTCACAGCAGCACAGCCAGGGGCACCAATTAGCGGCCGTGTCTCGTAGTTGCCGAATGCCAGTCGTTCAATGGTTTTTTGAGCATTCGCCTTCCCATCCCTGACTCCCAGCCTCAGCTTTGTGGTGATTGGGACTTCCCCTGAGACGGCGTTCATTCCTCTGATGATCTTCTCCATCTTGGCAGGCGAGTCCAGGAGTGCGGAGCCAGCACCTTGCTTGAAGACCATCTCGATCGGACAGCCGCAGTTCAGATCGATGAGACGTAGGTGCGGACAGTAGCTTGTGAGAACCTCAGTAGCTTTGATGGCAACCCACGGTGCGTTAGCTGCAATTTGTGCGCCGAACTTAAGGTCTCGCGAGTTGTCATAACCCGGAACCGGGCCGCCTTTTGGCTCATATCGTGGGGAAACAAGCTCGCTCTCATGTGCTTTCAGTAGCGCCCATTCAGGTTTGTGCCCCTGAATAAGTTGCAGACTGACAGCCATCTCCGAGTACGTGACTTGTGCACCTAATTCTCCGCATAGACGTCTGAACGGGAGGTTCCCCTGAGTTGTAAGCGGGGCGAGCACTGGGGTCTCTGGGCCGAAGTAAATTCGTCGTTTTTCCGAAGGCTTGAAAGGAGGCTCGACAAACTGCGCACGGAATTCCTGCAGCGCATCAACCCCATCCGGTATGTTGTCAACTTTTCGATTTCGATGGTAATATTTTCTTGACGACTCAGCCTCCTGTTCGATCCACTTGATATACTGGTCTGATCTCGACAGATCAACCCGCTTCCTGGAGAGATTGAACTTCTTATCCCCCGAAACAATGTTCACAACGCCCGGTGTCCAGTCGTCGGGATTCTCAAGTTCCTTAGGTATCTCGAATTTAGGCTCCTCAACCAGGATCAACTCCTTCCGACCATCCTCATGCTCGATCTCCTTCATGTGACTCGAGAGGAACCTGCATCTCCAGCCGGAGGAACATTTACCGTAGCTCTCAAAAGCCGGGCATACACCTTCCCATGTCATGAGGTCGTCTCGCCTTCCTTCCTTTAAGTACTTTCGGAGATCATGACAGTGATTGCAGCGGTCCCCGAATCTGCAGTCTGCCGGGGAGAATTCCGGGGTGAAAGCTCTGGAGTTACAGAGTTTGATGGCATCATCAGAGCGTCCGAAGTCGCGCTCGGTGTTTTGGCCGCGCTTCTTCTCCTTCTTGCCCTTTTTGCCGTCTCGCTTGCCATCTTTGCGGTCAGGGGCTGTTTTGGCCTCGGCAGCGTCATCATCCACAACATCCTGATCGTCGCCATCACCACGAGCCGGCGGGGATATCAGATATCTATTCTTCTGGTCAACGAATTCATCAGTATCGAAGAAAGATGAGGTTGTCCTACTCCTTTTTCACAGGCGCAGTGCCGGTCTTTCTATGTTGCACTTCTGTGGAGCCATTCTCGTTGCGAGGTTTGTCTTCCTCGATCTTGACCCTCTTAGGCGCTGGCTCGCCAGAGTCGTGACCTTCGACGTCGTTTTGCTCAACTATCTTCTCACTGTTCTGTGGCTGAGTCTCTTGAGACTCGCCGTTGGTGGCCATTTTGACCTTGATATGAGCGTGATTATTGCCGTAATATCACGTCCAATCCTGCAGGATTATGCCCTCAAATAACTAGTGAGAATATGATCAAGGCTGTCAAGGTGATGACACCCTCTCCTACCTAGCCAGTGAAGGAATTTTTCGTGATAGGCCACTGGTGGTGCTGTGGTGGGCTTCGGGTATTGCAGTAGCGGGCGGTGAAAATTCCCCAAAATCGACCCCGCCAGCGGGAGGCTAGTGATGTAATGGGTCACATTTGTAGCGCCTCTACAGCATCTCACAGGCATCTGGGATCTCAACCAAGTCGCACTACCAGACAGGTCTAGTGATCTAAGACCGTCTCTGGCGTCTTCGTGCAGTGTGAGGAGCTTCTTCTATAGATTGTTTCAGCCTCCTGATTCTGTGCTTAACACGTAGTATTCCCAATTGGTGTGAAAGCTCTCGGTACCAAAGACGCTACAGTAGGGTGTTTATGGCTTTAGGACAACCCCGCCCTGTGCTAGGGGTATGAAGGTATCCCTGTTGCAAGACGTACCTGATTCGAAGAGCCCAATCTTGACTTTGTCCAGTGCAATCGCAACTCTACTTGAGACATGAAGATGATCTAGAAATATATGCAAGGGGGATGGATGTGCCACCGGGCAGCTGCAAGGTCCCGACAGCGGGCTGGCTTACCGCTACCCGCTGAAGGTTTGGGGGCTTAGATCCTACCTAGGTACTCCACGAACCCTCGGGCCGCTCCAATCACACATTCAGCTATCCAATGCAATCTGGAGTACCTGAGGTAGCGTCTGGAAGTCGCGGAAGCTTACCTTAGGTACCTGGAGCTGGGAACATCCCATCCTACCTACCTTAGGTACCTCCCTAAGCCCCCCCACTCCCTAATTGTCAGAGCCACAAGCCTTCTCCTTCAGCTGCCCACGCCAATCTCGTCCGCATAAACCACATTGACAAACCAGACTGTTGCATCTCTTCTCTCGTCCGTTCCGCTGTCATTTTCCTGCTCTTCTCACAAATGAGATGAGAGGCTGCCCCAACAATGGCCGATAGGTCTTGGTCCAGAGACGACAAAGCCGCCACCAAGTCCCCGCTCAGCACTAAGACGATGCGGTCTCAGAGGATAGCTCAGCCGACCTCGCCCGTCGACGAGAGAGACGACGAAGACGACGAAGCCCTCGACCGATCGCCTCCTCCGCTGGTCCGTAGCCACACGCCCGGCCACCTCGCCTCCAGAAGCACAGATCGCCGCCGGAAACCCTCCGAGCTCTCCATCCGCCAGCGCTCCCAGTCCGCCGCCGGCCTCTCCTCCTCCCAGACCCTGTCCTCCGTTGCCCCTCTCTCGAGCAAGTCCCACCACGCACCGCATTCAGCCTCTTCCACCGCCACCACGCCAAACAGACATACCAATGGAGAGGGCACTACTAGTAATGACGTACACCGGCACGACTCCTCCGCCGGAGAGGGAAGAGACGGCAGCGGCAGCGGCTCTCGCAATGGGCGCCGTCCCCCGGCTCTTCGTTCGACCTCTGCCATAGCCAGCAAGTCTGGCACCGGCGGCATCGAGCGCTCTGTCTCGTCGGCTGTTCTGCGGAACCTCAGCATTTCGCAGGCTGCCGGACGGAACGCATATACAGCCTTCCCACCGCTCGTGGACCCCAAGACCGCGCCGGACGTCCCGGCCGCGCCGTCCTCGGGCATGTACTGGTCGCGGGCACCGGTCTCGGGCCACCCGCACACGGCGCTGCGCGCGCACACGACGACGCTGGTGGGCTCGAGCGTGTACGTGTTCGGGGGGTGCGACAGCCGGGCGTGCTTCAACGAGCTGTACGTGCTGGACGCGGATGCCTTCTACTGGACGGCGCCGCACGTGGTGGGCGACGTGCCGGTGCCGCTGCGCGCCATGACCTGCACGGCCGTCGGCAAGAAGCTCGTCATCTTCGGCGGCGGCGACGGCCCGGCCTACTACAACGACGTCTACGTGCTGGACACGGTCAACTTCCGCTGGAGCCGCCCGCGCATCGTCGGCGACCGCGTCCCCAGCAAGCGCCGCGCCCACACGGCCTGCCTGTACAAGAACGGCATCTACGTCTTTGGCGGCGGCGACGGCGTCCGCGCGCTCAACGACATCTGGCGGCTCGACGTGAGCGACACCAACAAGATGAGCTGGAAGATGGTCAGCGGGCCGAGCTCGGAGGGGGCGGGCGGCAAGGACCTGCAGCGCCCCAAGGCGCGCGGCTACCACACGGCCAACATGGTGGGCAGCAAGCTGATCATCTTCGGCGGCTCGGACGGCGGCGAGTGCTTCAACGACGTGTGGGTCTACGACGTGGACGCGCACGCCTGGAAGGCGGTCAGCATCCCCATGACGTTCCGGCGGCTGTCGCACACGGCGACCATCGTGGGCTCGTACCTGTTCGTGATCGGCGGCCACGACGGCAACGAGTACTCGAACGACGTGCTGCTGCTCAACCTCGTCACGATGACCTGGGACCGGCGCAAGGTGTACGGCCTGCCGCCGAGCGGGCGCGGCTACCACGGCACGGTGCTGTACGACAGCCGGCTGCTGGTGATAGGGGGCTTCGACGGCAGCGAGGTGTTTGGCGACGTCTGGATGCTGGAGCTGGCGGTCCACGCGTACTATTCGCAGATCAGCCACTTCACGATCGAAGTATGATGATGGGTTCGATGGGATGGTATGGTTCGGGGTCTGTTACTATTTCCTGCCTCATGATGATACCAGGAGAATCTATGTTGGCTTTATATGGTCAAGACAAAATCGCAAGGCGTAACGGGTGGGTCTGAACGAAAACTGGTCTGGCACAGGGAGGGCAGAGGGTATGAGGGGTATGTTGATTTATGATGACAGCGTAGTCTTATGAATTTATATTATGAAGTCTTCCCATGCACTTTCCGGTCCTGCTGATGTAGACCGTATCTCTCGGATAACCCAATGCTATGTCGAACAGCGTTGAACGCTTGATATCATCCCCCACCGGTGCGAACTATATCACTGATGCCCTGCTACTTTTGATTCTGGCTGTTGTACACTTTCTGTAATGTAAACCACTTGTGCCACCCTTGAACGCCTTTGTCCATCCTAAACTCTAGGAAAGTCGTCATATGAACAAGATGGTTGGTGATATCTCTCTCATCACCATCATCATGAATAGAAAAAAGAGCCTTACTGGCGAGAACCTGGAGGGGAGAGAACACCATGTTAGATCCTGTCTTAGTGGGCAGGAGCTGCTATCCCCGTACCGTTCTGCTCTCGCGCCTGCACCTCGGCTCTCTCTCGCTTCTGCTGCTCCAATCGGCGCTCCTCAGCGGCGACCATATCTAAGATGATCATGTTAGTACGATGAACATCGGCGGTTATCAGGGCGGGGAGCTATAGCTTACCTTTCCACAGGTCCTGACCAGCATACTCCTCCTTATGGATTCGCTTCTCGATCAAGTGCTTGTGCTCCGGGTCATCGGGGTCGATGACCATGACCGTCTCCCAGCGACCCTTGCCGCTCTTGGCATCGGCCGTCTCGAAGGCGGCGGTGGCGATCAGGACGGCGAGCGTCAGGCCCTGGGCGTAGACACGGGCCTGGACGAGCTTCTGGGAGGTGCTGAGGTACTTGTTGCGGCCGACCATGGCGAGCGCGATGCCCATGGCGGCGATCCACGAGGTGAAGACGATGGTGTAGCGGTTCTCGCGGCCCCAGTCCATCAGCTTGGCGCTGCCGACCTCGCTGCGGCGCGCCTGCTCGATGGTGCGCTGCGTCTCGTCCTTGTAGAAGTTCATGGGGTCCTTGGCCTTGCCGAAGGCCACCGAGTAGCGCTCCGCCCAGGTGATGGCGCCGAACGTCGCCGCCGACGACACCAGGAAAGTCCGGAAGGGCAGCGTCAGCGCGCGGAAGGCCGGGTACCGCTTCGAGGCGCCGATGACGCCCAGCAGGCCGCCTGTGAAGCCGACGGAGCCGCCGATCAGACCGCCCCGGAGCACGGCGTCGTAGTGCGCCTTCGACTCTTGCTCTGAGATGACCTTCATGATTGCTGCTTTGCGATTGTAGTTGCTAGGGCAAAAAAGTGGTTTGGAATGCCAATGCTCTACACTTGGGAAGAAGCTGTCGTCGTTGTCTTCTTCTTCTCTCTTCTTGTATGTATAGGCTATGCGGGGTGGTGGTTCTTAGTAACGCGATATTTGCTTGTTCGCTCTCACAGTCAGCGCAAAAAAGGTGCCTGACGCAATTGGATGATGACGCTATTGACGCCGAGTCGCTGTAGTGGAATCAACGACGAATCTGAAGAACAACAATGCCTAGAAGTCAGTATGTTTATATCCCGCCCCTCGTACCGTACGGAGTTGCAGAGAGCTTATAGCTTATGGCACAATATGGGGAAAATTCTGGAAAAAGGCGATTTACGATATTTCTCAGGAAGATTCCGAGGTGGTGCAGGGGTGGTAGGGAAGCTGCACGCACGAGAATCATGCCATGAAATCACCGCGCCAGAAATGGTGATGTAAATGGCGGGCAGGGCCGGTAGGTGGCCCGAGCTCCAAGAGAAATATCCCTATGGCCCAATGAGAAGATCCCAGACTGGTCCCCGAATTATTCCCGCCCCAGCGAAATGCAGTACGGTATGTTGGCCACTACGGCGACTGGTTAGCAAATCCCGAAGAATGACCAGAGCGAGAAATGGAAGGGCCCAGCAAACCCAGCGCCTGCAACGGGCGGCGGGGCGCACAGCTGGCGCTGAGTGCTGACAAGGCGAGATGCCGCTGTATCTCCTGATCTCGACTGATCCTGAGACGGCTGTCCTGCGGATTATCGCGCGGCCAGGCAAGGGTGCTGTTATTACTACGCAGTAGCTGGCTGTGGCATCTGGCTGTCAGGCTGAACATCCCGTTTGTCGGCGTTTGGTCAATTGCAGAAATATGGCAGCACTGTTTCTACATGACACTTCACTGCGTGTTTCCTTCTAGAACGCCGATTATACAGTTGCGTGTGAGCCGATTGCTTTTCGTAAACTCACTCACCTCGCCGACCTGCCGGCCATCGTGACTTACGCAGAGCACCCGTAATCATTGCGGAAGCAGACGTAGGCATAGCGAGTCTGCACAACAATCACCCAGGTAGGTAGGAAACACTGTCTGCCAAATACAGAAAGACACACACTGCTGTGTCCAGTAACGGTCATGGTGATGCAACCGGCCTCCGAAGATGGTAAGTTGGGTCAGAAAGCAGGACTTTCTATTTTTCCAGTAGAAATGGTCGGAGGGTTTCTCCGTCTGCTCCCGCCTCGCTGGTGCAAATTGGTGAACTCAGGGAGGAGCCGCCTCGGAGATGCTAGGTTTTTGTTGGATAATCGCTTCCTTTAGAGTCATGGCAGCGTCCCTAATTAAGAAGCCTTACCGCACCGAGGCTCGCCTCTCCCGTAGAGTTTGGTACGGATACCGCAAATAGCTTAATCGCTTTTCACTTGCACAAAACTTGCCGCGAAGCTTCACGGTGTTCCGCTGCGTAAGATCGAATTATACAGCCTGACGGCGTCTGAGATCCTAGAGCGTGTAGCCACCGCTTACCTCGGTACTGCGCGTGGCGTCTTTGCCTCCTCTCTAGGTACGCCGCTTATGGTCGGGCTGGCCCTTTTAGGCATTCGGCCTCGTGGTTGGCCTCCAAATGGGACGCACTTGGGAGCTTGGTAATGTGTAATTGAAATCCAATCATTGCTCTCAAGGGGACGCCGAGAATAGGTTCCTCTTCTACTAACCCGAGGCCTCTTCTCTATGACAGGCCACATAGTACGGTAGAGAGACTTGTCAGGGCGGACCGGTGCACTAAGAATCCTGCTCTTTACTCCACAAGCAGAATCAGTGGCGGTATTCATTCATTCATGGCTCAATGGAGCATTATTCTAGAAGCAATGGCGCGCTCAGACCAGGCCCTGTAGTGTCACAATCAAGCGCTGCTATTGACCTCTATAATGGAGCATTTGCTGGGAATCAGCTCCTTGGCGTATGACCGGAGAGTTTGACGGGGCATGACAGGTGTTTTAGGGGAAATTGGACAGACCCATTGATAGTTCGGCCCCCGATCGAGATGGTTTCTTGACCTCCTGTCGATGAGACGCCAGGAAACGCTCATCATGGCATCGGCCGTTACGGTGTAAGTGCGGTGGTTTAGGTGGTCTCCTGAAGCAGCATGCACCGCAGTGGAGCACAGCGAACCAGTTGACTGATCGATCCGGATCTCGCTGCAGATGGTGGCTCTTGGGTGTATGAGATGGAGGGTAGATGGTTGCCCGTTTTAGCGGTGAGAACTACGGGTCTGTTGCATCATACAGTGTCGTAGTTGTGAATGCTCCGTGTGGTGAATGCTGCAATTTTGGTGTTGAAGTATCCAGCCAAATGTTTCCACATTGCGGCCATCCTCAGAAACTCAATGAACTGCCGAGATGTCCTACACTGCCCGTATTATGTCTCTATCCCGATCTAACAAGAACTCCAGATCTTGACAAGCATCCGTCCTCTTGACGGGGCGGCGATTATGCATGCCATGCCCGCTTGCCTACAATCGCGAAATTGTAGATGGGCCAAGATAAGGACGATAGTAATCACATGCATGGCATAGTGACGATGATCCAATACATTACTGCATCTGCACGAGCTAGTCCAGCGAAGCAGAAGCCGTTGGGATGCATCCTTGCCAAGTTCAGCCATGGCGATGCATCTTGGAAGATGCACAAGATGCTTTTCAAGGTTCCCAAGTCTTGTTGGGCGCGCCAATCAGGGGAGGGCAGATCGAGATGGCTCTCAACTCTCCTCGCCTTTGCTTTGGACAGTTCTTTGGGTGTGAGAGAGACATCCTCTTCGCCGAAAAGCTCGGCGGGTCCGGTTGTACTTCCTCGAAATGGCTACAATACTCGAGGTGCTACAGTATAGCATAGCATTCTCTCAGGTCGTAGCAACCACCACATCGTCATCATCCTTGTTGAACCTGGGAGCCCGTGTAATAACGGCCCGTCCTTATTCTTCAGGGCCTCTTCTTACAGCCGGTCCGAGTAAGGCAATGCAAGCTGCTAACTGGTTCCTTCCGAGGCAATGACAATACGGGGAAAATGACGAGGCAAGAGGCAAGGCTCAGCGTATCCATCTCCGGTGCGAGCGAGCGAACCACGTTTTTTAGGGGTCCTATGTCCAATGAGGGCGGCGCCGACAGCGAGTCGTCCAGCGTTTGTCCCAGATGGTGAGAGGCGCAACCGAGAGTGACTTCAGCCGGAAGCGGGTTGTCCACGGTTTTACTTTGCAGGCTAGCAGGGATCGACCATGGATCGCCAGCCCCGCCGGCATCCCGTCGCTTGGAAGAAGGCCCGCACAGCGCCCGTATGCCCTGGGCCGCCGCCTACCGTCAGGCCTCGCAGCCTCTCGTCGCCCGCGCGAATCAAGTCAGGACTGCAGCAACACTTTACAGGTGGATCTTAATTGCTCTTAGCTGGACGATCTCCTGGGCTGGGTCCGCCGTCTCCTGTCTCGATCTTGTCAGTTGTCATTTTGAAAGAGGTTGGAGAGTCGATCAGGGAAATGCTACCACCCTTCCTCTTGTCCCCTCGTCTCGTGAGAAACTATCGTGTCTGCCTACGCCCTGCTGCTGACTTCAAGAACAATAGCGGTGCGGCTCACCGGAAGACTCACGGTGATTCTGGAAAGGGGAAGAGTCCAATAAGAAGCACGGCCTAGTGGCGTGGGAGGCGTGGTTTGTATGAGTCAAGTCCAGCGGAACAAGCAATGCAACGCGTCCAGCCCTGTAAGTTGTCGAGTAATTGGCCCCGGCTAGACTGCCTGTTAGTGGCAACCACCAGCTGCAAAGAGTCTCGTCGTTATGGCAGGATTAGTAGAGATACTCTAGAGTAAACCCGCGCCGCCCAGAGTTTCGATGGATGATTGATTGACAGGCGGCGGCCTGGCACTAGATAGGTACCATACGACCAGGAACACACTGGACGCCGGAACGTTTGGCCCATCTAGTTCATCAGATCCCCATTGGCTCCTTGGGGCAGTGACCATTCGGGCCTGCAGCATGCAGCAGGGCTGCGAGGCTAGTACTGTTCTGAAGCCCTTGTCCGGGGGTGCGGCGTTTCGACGGTAGGGATATCATGCCATGACATTAGTTTACTGATGCTCACAATGTGCAGCTGCAGCAGGCGGTGTCTTGTTTTCCCAGCCAGCCAGCCAGCCCAGCATTCGCTCGTCAATCAGAGAGAGATGGAGTAGACGGAAGTGCGTCATAGGAGATCTCCCGCCGCCGGCCTGCGCTTGTTGCCAGCCGACGGTGAAAGAGGAAGATCGCACACGGGGTCTGGGGACATTGTCGTAATATCTGGCTCTAGCACAGACGATCGCCTTGTCCAAAGGCGGTAGGTCACCCTCGCCAGGTCAAGGTTGCCCGTGAGCACGATCGTTAGCACGGTATCAGAGTGTTTCTTGGGAGGACGAGGAGGAGCATCCCTAGTCTGTCACCCTTGGTTGACCGGTCTCCTGGTGTCTGGTTGCTGGCATGACCTTCTAGGGAAGCCGACGATCCTGACATGTGGTACCTGCGTGCGCAGCGAAACAAGGTGTGGCGAAATGTACCATTACCGTTTGTGTTATGGCTTCAGTCCCATTCTGGATAGACAGACAGACAGACAGACAGGCAACACGCAACATGCGTGTGAGCGCCAGTGTAGCCGTGGGCCGAATGGGCCTGGATCTCGATGCGATGCTATTCGCCCTCTTGCTTCTCTACTTGCCTTACCTTACCTACCTCCCTGCCTTGCCTTCCATTTACCTTGGCTTATTATGTCCCATTCGTCCATCTACGTATACTGGATGAATTAATTGACTGGCTGGCTGACGGTATCACTCATATCCATTCATTCACTCGCTCACACACTCACATCCATCCATCCCGTCCTCCAGTGTGGTTCTTGGTCGCTGTTCTACCATATCGAGCCGCATGATACTTCCTCCGCAGCCAGACAGACATACTTTCTGGTTAAACCATCCTCTTGTGAACTGTATTTACCTTTCCTATGAGTCCGTCCGGCGTGTGCTGCATTACTCGAGCATCCTCTGCCTAGCCACTTATACGGTTTGGCTTCAGTCACTCTCACTCAGACAACACCAGCACCAGGCGCATCTGATAGGGCCACCCACAACACGACGCACGACGCTTCTTCCGCCCTTGCTTCAGGATCTCCAAGCCTCGTGTGTGCCGTGCGATCACCTCGTTATCGTTATCAGAGTGTCGGCTGCAGCATAGTGCATACAGACTGCCGCCTTGACGACATATCTAAGACATCTCCTCCATTCCAGTTCGCGGGAACTCTCCAGATCAGATCTACGCAACTTGAACCTTCACGGAGCGGCATATCCTCCCGTGGCCAGACTGGGTCGTCAGTCCATAATCATATAGACTGGTCTCAGCCAGGATCTGACTGACTGCTTCACCTTACTCGAGTTTCCAGAACCAGGAGACCCATTTCGCGCCTCCTTCTCCGCAGTGCACAGCCTTGACAAACAAACAATCACGCAGCCAGGACCAGCGTTCGCGATCGCTTCGTGCCTCGTGCAAACAGAGAAGAGTGACAGCTTCACTTTAATCCTTGTATCCTCGATTTCTCCGGTGATACATTTGAAAAGACTCTGCCATCCGCGCCCGCACCATTCACAGATTTCCTGGTGCCAAACTGACTGTCATGAAGAGCGCATTGCGGTGGTTGAATAACAGTGCAGGTGACGGGGCAGCACCGGCGTCGGGAGAGTCAGCATCATCATCATCAGCGCAACCAGCGTCAGCAGCCAGTGGAAGTACCGACAGCGGCAGCCCGTCTAGCCTGTCGCGGACGTCTTCTAGGGCCATCCACAGCACTAAGGGCCTCACTAACACGACGACTAACAGCAGGGTGGCCGAGGGGGCCGGACCCAGCGCAGTGGCTGCCGCCGATAAAAAGCAGAATTGTTATCGACGACGAGGCAGCGGCGACGGCGGCGGGGCCCACTCTCCTCCCACCACTCAGGTCTCCCACACCAACGCCCACGCCCACGCTGAGGGTAACATTAATCGAGGGACCGCAGCGGATTCCCTCCCCTCCTACTGCCACCAGAAGAAGCAGAACAAGACTTACTCCTCCACCTCCTCAGCTGCATCTGCTGCATTAACCCACCGCACTACTACTACTACGCCTACTGGTACTACATCCTCCTCCTCCGCCTCTGCGTCGTCCTCGTCCTCGACTGCGTCTGTGTCTGCATCTGCATCTGCCAGGGAAGACCGCTCTCCCGCTTTTGCCTCCCATTCGCCCTGGTCCCTTAATTATTCTTCTCCCTCCGCATCACCCTCTCCTCAGCCGGCCACGCCCAGCTCCAGCTCGCTATTTCCCGCCGACTGTGCCTGTGCGGATCCCGATCCCAGGAACACCTGCACCAACGACGCCCTCTTCAATTTCACATCATCCGCCGCCACCGACGACGGCGACCCAAAGACAAAAGCCAAGCCCATAGACATCGTCGCTCCCGGTCGCAACTCCACCTCAACCTCATCGCTGTCGCCGACCAATCTCGACGACCCCGACGACTGCACTCACCACTTCCTCGACGTCGTCGACTCCGCTACCGGCTGCAGAATCTCCGACGCTGAGCTCCTCGGTCGCTCTGACGTCGACATTGCAGACATCGACATCGACATGACTACAGGCCCTTCTCTCGACTCGGCCATGGGCCGCAGTCGCCAGGACTCGTTCGTCAGCGCCGGCCCCAAGCCCATCTCCATGATCAACCCCAATCGCGACCCGACCGGCCGCCCCCGCAGAGAGTCGCTGGCCGGCAGCATGATGGGCGGAATGAGTTGGGGAGGTATCTCCGTCGGCAGTTTCATTAGAGATGAGTACGTCTAGTCCATCTATCTCCGATTCTCTCACATGGCTACATTGCGCTCTGCGCATCCCTCCCTAGTCTATCATCCTCCTCGAGTCACTGCACTGTCTTGAGATCGGCTCCATCAACTTCAGACTTGCAGTCTACAGAGCTAACATCAATGCGCTATATAGTATCATGATGCAAGGAACCTCACCCTACTTGACCCACCAGTCGCCGTCGTTCCACTCATCCTCCTATATCCCCAAGCTAGAAGCTAACTTCATGCGCGACTTTACTTGCTGTGACCGTATATGGCCTACCCTGCATGATCTTCTACAGCATTATGAGGAGAACCATACTCAACCCACCCCTCAGTCTATGAGGAACTTTGGTCAGATGCCTGGTCTGCCGTCAGCACAGAGAACGCCCAGCGCCAGGCCTGTACCGTCCACGCCGACTATGACCCAGCAGACTCCAATGCAAGCCCAAGGACAGATGGGCCAGCAGAACAGGCAAGTGACCACACCTCCTGGAGGTATGGGGATGGGTGGCATCGGCCAGATGATGCGCCAGCAGCAACAGGCGATGCCCGGGTCTTCAGGTCAGAAGCACGTGTCCATGTCCCAACTGAATGACGAGATGGACGCTGTAGGGGACATGGAGATGGACGATGCGCTTGGGCCGATGGATATGGATGACAGCCAGACGACCATCCAGCAGACTCGCCAGATGTTTGGCCAGCAGCAGCGACCGCAGCTGCACCTCAACAGTTCTGGTCTGCCACAGCAAGCTCTCCGGACATCACAGCCAACGACTCCGGCCGCGGCAAGCTTTGGCTTCCAGAACAATCCTACAGTATCCTCGGTCAATACCCCCACCTTGACGACCCAGCCTTTCTCTAACCGGGGACAGGCTCAGTTTGGCGACATCACGACCGGAGACATGGACGAGGATCTTCCGGGCATGTCCATGAAGATGAACCTTGGAAATCTCAATCTGAATGGTCTTAATGGCAACCAGTTCAACATGGGATTCGGCAACGGCACTAATGGTGGCTTGGATTTCGGAACCATCGACGATCCTGCGAAGCGACTCTACAGCCCCGGCGGCGGGATGATAAATCAGCAGCGGAATATTAACAACCAATTCGCTCAATTCGGCCTGGATCCGAGCCAATTCCCTCCCGGAACCGATACCGCTGCTCTGCTGCAGCAATTGGCACCCCTGGTCATGCAGGAGGAGCACAAGCCATTCAAGTGCCCAGTCATTGGTTGCGAGAAGGCTTACAAGAATCAGAATGGCTTGAAGTACCACAAGACTCACGGTCACTCCACACAGCAGCTCCACGAAAACGGTGACGGAACCTTTTCAATTGTGAACCCCGAGACATCCGCGCCCTATCCTGGAACGATGGGCATGGAGAAGGAGAAGCCCTTCAAGTGCGATGTATGCGGCAAGCGATACAAGAACCTTAACGGACTCAAATATGTAAGTTTCTCTCAGATCTGACCAGAATCGGTTTCCCTTCTAACATTGTTACAGCACAAACAGCACTCTCCGATGTGCGACCCGGAACTGCGAGCGCAACAGCAAAATGCCATGGCGACGTTGGCTGCCATCAGCAACAATCCTATGGCTCTTGGGCTCGGCGGCATGGGCGGCATGACTGGTTTGCCCAACATCGGTGAAGAGCCACAATAAGTGTCAGAGCTAGCACACCTGCCTGACATGTGATTTTCTCCGAACCGCAGTCAAAGCGACTTTTGTTTTCCCATACAGGAGCAGGCTTGACAGTGGATATACGATCACTGGATACGACACTACGATGTTTCTTTTGTCTATCGCTTTGGGGATTCCGGGAGGGAAAAAAAACCACTGGATTTCAGCATACTCGTCCGGCGTTTTTCATCGATTCCATTGCATCAGCCGAGGTGTCGCACGAGTCTTTCCTATCTTATACCCATACCTCATCACCAAATAGATCGCAGACCTTGTGTGCTTTTGCTTCAACATCGACTGGATGCTCCTGTGGACAGGAGCCTGCCGCCCTCGAGGGATGCCGGATCCAGCTCTTGGCTTCTTGAAATCGCCTTCTTTGGGGGAAAGTGCTCCATCGACGCCAGCCCTTAACGGCTTGCTCGCTTGCCGCCGTCCCGAACCGTGGCTCGAGGAACCCCATACAGAAACTACAGGACTAGAATGGACAACATCGGGATTGTTGGAGACCCGCTTGACTTGACTTGGCCGACCGCAAGGACGCCCAAGATCTCTTGAGCAGCACTGACGCAAGGCGTCAACTTATATTTCCTTTTCATCTCTCTTACACTTGTTAGAATGTAATAAGAAGGCATCCGGCGGGGCTGAGGGGATGCACAGAACAGGGGAAGGGGGCGGCAGGCCATTAGGAATGAGTGGAATATAAAATGTTTGTGCTTATGGATACATCTTTTGTTTTTGTTTCGTTCTGCTCTTGTCCACTCTCAGGGGCAGGGAATCGTTTTCCTAGCAGAGAAAACAGGCGTGAACAAGACAGGGGCGGAGGGATGCTTCTTTTTCTTCCTATTTCTGGAGCGTTTGTTTGGAGGGTCTTCCTTGTCATCTTTTTTCCCCAAAAAGGGGAAGGGTCCCCCCACAGGTTTTTTGGCTGTTGGACTTTTTTTTTCTTTTTGTCTTTTTGCTGGCGCGAGGTATGGGAAAAGTTGACTATCTATCTTTCTTCCAAAGTGTCATATACTACTGCTGCTGTTGCTGGTGCTGGTGCTACTATCATAGATTGTTTTGTTTTTTCGACAGAAATCAAAACATCTCTGCGAAGAAATGGAATATATCCTCTGCTCAATACAGATGTTCAGTTATACGAGTTTTCGTCATTCGTCAGTGCTGAATCGGTCTCGTTCGCTTGCTTGGGGATGCTTAACTACCGGTTAGGAGATAAGAGACGTGCATCGCAGAAGGCTAGTGCGATACAATATCTCGACTGAGACTTGCTGATGGCCTCTTTCCCTATGTCTGGGGGGGAAAGGCAGCGCTTCTTGGTATCTGGTCGTTCTGAACCTCCAACCACAAGTCATAGAAAGACATATACACTAGGGAACGTAGAGGACGGGCCAGTCTTCGTATCTTATTGGCATTCGACGCTTGGCATATACAGTGGCGACTATCTGTCAAGATGGAGAACGACGAGCCGCAGCTGCGGCTAAGGCCACTACCCAGGTACTACTGCCAGGATCAGACTGCGACTTGTCTATCGACATGATATGACATGTGGAAGCCAGTGACATCAGAGCGGCTAGTGGCTGATACGGGGGCTTGCTTTTCCTAGACACAGCTGATGATGTGCAAGGGTACGAAGCTCTCCTATGTCCAGAGCTGGCACAGCGACCTTCTTCGTCAATCGGCACTTATACACAAGCTCCTACGGCCAGATCTAGACATCTTCGAGCCAGCTGGGGGGGCAGGAAGACATCCATCCCACGCCGCAAGCCACTGGTCGGTGCGGCATGAAGGAAGAGAGCTATGGGTTTCCTACATACGGATTTGTCTGTTTACATGGCACTTGGCGGCAATAGTGCCTAAGTGCCGCCCGTCTTGAATCCGATGGATGGCCTGCATCATGGCCAGGATGACATCGCTAGAGGGAACCCCCGGCCCACCGATCCCTCCCCTTACGCCCCATAGATGGAGGCATGCAACAACGGCTAAAGAGGTTTCCTTGACCGGGACTCGGGCGGCTCAACATGTGGTGGATCCCCCCCTAAGGTCCCCAATGTCCCGTCTCCAGCACCCGGCCTCTTTGGGAGAACATCACGGCTACATGAGCGGCTATCGGCGGGCGACCGCTTCTTTGCATGCGGATTTGGGACTGGCGGCGCATGTACGATGGGCATGTGAGAGGCAGAATTTCTCGCGCCAGAAATTAGATCCAGACATACTGGGGATCTGTCGCCAGAAGCGGGTGACACGATCTCATGTTAGAGACAGATGGAAGAAGAGGCTGAGTGAGGTGGTCGCGCGGAGGGTCACCCACGCCCGGCGGGAAAGGGACAGGGGGTGGGTGGTCAGGTACTAACGTTAGGTAGTACTGTATTCTGACATCCCACCGGGGAAGACAGCGCCGTTTGCCCCGACGAGCATGGAGAATTTCTTGGTTTCTCACTCACGCACCCAGATCCAACGCCGATATCTCCCCGCCGTCTCTGGCTTCCAGAAAAGGAACAATGTGACCTCCATGGAAATTGAACACCCAGCTATCTATCTCGTACTCTTACTCAGAAGTCCATTTTCTTGTGCCGACGGATGCTACCTAGTGGGAGTGCCATAATGTAATGTACCTACTGCATAGTACCTAGGTAGGTATGCCGGCCCCTCCATAATCATACCTCCTGCGTAGTCACGGCCATCGTGGCCTCGTGGACTCGTGGACGCGCGGGTCAGAGAGACGCAAAAACCTCGGATTAGTGGACTCTGTGGCACTCGACCGGCGGCGGGAGAGGGCATGACTTGTGTGACTTTTGCAACTTTGGAGCCATCCCGACATCCGTGATTGGCGCGCAACTCACTCTGGGGCACTACAGCGTAGTCCGCGTCGGGCTTGCAGCTGCCGAGACCCCTCCAATCCACACACTCTCCACGACCTACTGTATCGCTGCGTAGTAGTGCAATAGAGTGGGAAGAGGTGAGGCAACCTGGGAAACCCCACATCCGTCACCACGATCCCGGACCTGGACCTGGACCTGGACCTGGACCTGGACCTGGACCTGAATGCTGGATCGTTGGCGTCGGTGACTTTGCGACTTGCGCTGGGCCTGGGGGCTGGCGTAGGACCAAGCGGAACTTTTCTGGGGGGGCCACAGAAGCGGCACCGCGTGGGACCTGACGATGAGAGAGAAGACCTTAGCTACCTCATCCGTCCTATGAGAGAGCTTGAAACGAGATAAAAGACGAGACGATATGCGAAGTCGGCAGACCCTGTCCTCTCTTTCTGTGTGTGTGTGTGAAGCTCTTGCTACTAACATTAGACTAGGCCAGCCTGGTTGATCAGTATATATATCAAGAGACACCCTTTTCCTTCCCATTGCTGTACTACCCCCACCTCCGTTCACCTCCTGGGCTTCCTTCTCCAAATACTCTGACACGCCTCTACTACCTGCTTCCTTCGTTCCTTGAGCTGTCCCCCCATAGAGCCGTCAGAATGAGCCCCTCTGCCATCGATACCGCGCCTGCCGCCGGCGGCGTGACCAAGGCGACAAAGAACAACATTGGCATCTTCACAAACCCCAAGCACGATCTATGGATCGCTGACGCCGCTCCTTCGCTGGAGAGCGTGCAGAAGGGAGAGGACCTCAAGCCGGGACAGGTCACCATTGCCATCAGGAGTACTGGCATCTGCGGGTAAGGAGGCGCCCTGACTTACAAGCTCCATTTGTTCCGTGTGTAGCCGGAAAGACTAACAAGATGCTCCAGATCTGATGTCCACTTCTGGCACGCCGGCTGCATTGGCCCCATGATCGTAAACGGAGATCACATTCTCGGTCATGAGTCCGCGGGCGAGATTATCGCCGTTCACCCCGATGTGACGAGCCTCAAGGTGGGCGACCGCGTCGCCGTCGAGCCCCAGGTCATCTGCAACGCCTGCGAGCCGTGCCTGACAGGCCGCTACAACGGCTGCGAGGCCGTCGACTTCCTCTCCACCCCGCCCGTCCCGGGTCTGCTGCGGCGGTACGTGAATCACCCGGCCGTGTGGTGCCACAAGATCGGCAACATGTCCTACGAGAACGGCGCCATGCTCGAGCCCCTCAGCGTCGCCCTCGCCGGCATGCAGCGCGCCCACATCACCATCGGCGACCCGGTGCTGATCTGCGGCGCCGGCCCCATCGGCCTCATCACCCTGCTGTGCGTCAAGGCCGCCGGCGCGTGCCCCATCGTCATCACCGACATCGACGAGGGCCGCCTGGCCTTCGCCAAGGAGGTGTGCCCCTCGGTGATCACGCACAAGGTCGAGCGGGCGGGGCCCGAGGACGCCGCCAAGGCTGTCGTGAAATCGTTCGGCGGCGTCGAGCCGGCCGTGGCGATCGAGTGCACGGGCGTCGAGAGCAGCATCAACGCGGCCATCTGGGCGGTCAAGTTCGGCGGCAAGGTGTTTGTCATTGGCGTCGGCCGCAACCAGATCAACATGGAGTTCATGCGCGCCAGCGTCCGCGAGGTCGACCTGCAGTTCCAGTACCGCTACTCCAACACCTGGCCGCGCGCCATCCGCCTGGTCGAGAACGGCGTCATCGACATGTCCAAGCTCGTCACGCACCGCTTCCAGCTCGAGGATGCGCTCAAGGCCTTTGACACGGCCGCGGACCCCAAGACGGGCGCCATCAAGGTCCAGATCCAGAGCCTGGATTGAGAAGCATCTCACGAGATGCGGGAAAGCATTTGGATCAGAGACCGGGGGAGGAATTGGAAGGATGCGGAGCCGGAAAGATCTAGAGTCCGGCTCTTGCAAAGATTTCATGAGCCGGCATTGGCAATTGATGCCTGGTTGCAATTACGAAGCAATGTCACCTTTTTACCTTTACCTTTACATGTGGGAAGAGCGAGACAGTCGACGATTCCCCTCCATTTTGGATGCAATTGGAAGGCATTTTTTCGACGGGGTTTCACTTGGCGGGATTGTCCGGAGCAGCAATTTCCTTCAGTGTCCAGCATGATAGATTTCAGACATGATGCCTCTTGGGATTGAGGATACCGTTTTTGACAGATCGCATATACATCTCTCACGTCTCTGAAATACAAAAAGTGTTCTTATAATTTCTGGCGCGGGGCGGAGACTTCACAACCTAGTTGTCACTGATCGATGTCTGAGTGAATTGGGCCTTGTAGAACGATCAATCATTCAAACTTCCCTGTGTAGTCTCTGAAACATCATGAATAGTGTCCGATCTTATTAAATGAAACCTCAAAATTGCTTCTCTTGCTTGACAAGGTAATTAAGTAACGGTTGTCCCGTACCTGACATCACATGCCTTTGGCCCTCGACATGAGGTGGGCTGGGTGGCAGTGCGAGAGAGTGGTCTGTGCTCAGCACACGGTGTCAAGCCACAGATGACGTTGTTGACTGCCCAGATCCCTGCCCACTGACGAGGGCCACGAAAGCTCAACTTCCCAGGTAACTCAACTGGCCACCTTTTTCCTTCAGCTTTCTCAACACCACCTTTTTGTCTCGTATAACTACCGTCCGATCGCAGTCACGGAATCTCCTCACTGCCCTCTACTTCTCTAATTCTCTCCAACGTAAACAATTTGACCGCTTCGTTGGCAACTACCCCTCTTCAGCTCCCGTCTTCCCCTCTCAGCCGTACCCGAAGCTACCTAGCTACCTCACAAGACCGTCACGATGACTCTCTACTACACTTTGGTAAGCTCTTCAGCTCGTCTCTTGAGCATTCAAGCTTGAGATACCACTGCTCTCCCAATTTGGATTACCGGGACCTCTACTGACGTACTTGCTAGGTCTTCCTGCTCCTTGTGGCAGAGATGGCGCTGTTCATGCTGCTCATCGTGCCACTCCCCTTCTCCGTCAGGAGAAAGATGTTCACGTATGTTTGCCTCCATAACCAGCTGCTTCTTCAACAAGCTAACAGTGCTCGTACACAGCTTCATCTCCGAGAATCGCTACGTAGCGAAATTACAATACGGGTTGAAGATAACGTTCATATTCATCCTCATCCTGTTCATCGATAGTGTGAACAGGGTCTACCGCGTCCAGCTCGAGCTCGCGGCCGCCTCGGAGAGCAATGGAAAGAATGCGTATGTTTTGCCCCTATCGTAACAAGACCAGAATATACAAAGTCAAACATCTTTTCCCCCGAGCTCCCGCGCCATACGTCATGGCATCAGTGAACCCGCAAGCTAACCTAGCCTCCACGGATAGACCCGCAATCATGGGCCACGAGCGCCTCGAGGTGCAGGCGCGCAAGTTCTACTCGCAGCGCAACATGTACCTGTGCGGCTTCACGCTGTTCCTGTCGCTGATCCTCAACCGCACGTACATCATGATCCTCGAGGTCCTGCGCCTGGAGGAGAAGATCAAGCAGTATGAGGGCACCGACAAGAACACTAAGCAGGCCGAGAAGCTCGCGGCCGCCGGCGAGCCCGGCGAGATCGCCCGCCTCAAGAAGGCCCTCGACAAGAAGGACGAGGACATTGCCACGCTCAAGAAGCAGGCCGACAGCCTGAACAAGGAGTACATGGACCTGACGGAGAAGTATGGCCGGACGCAGCAGACTGGTCCTAAGAAAGATAATTAAGGCGATCGATCCTGTGGCTACCGGCTCTGAGGAGCTTATGTTGACAGGATGTAGTGGAAGATTCGACGAAGGGAGGTGACCAGCTCAGGGGGGTGTCTTCATTTGCGCCGGAAGATGAGCTCTGATGCTGTTGATGGTGATGCCAAGCCAAGGACAGGGGCATCTGGAGCGGAGGCTGGTTGTGGACTTTTCTTAGTCTTGGTCAACGGCGTGGTGCTGGGAGGACTGAAAATAGCATATCTAGGTTTGCTTCACGATTGCTGCCGGCGTCATGCGTGTACGATTTTCACAGAAAAATGCCGAGATGCTCTTCTCATTTCTAATTTGTGTGCGCGCTTGCGCTAACTGTGTGCTGTGAGCTGTCTATAGGATCTATGAGTCTATTATTCTAGTGCATCCCCGAATAAACGCCTTTCAACATTGGCTCTCGTAGTCGCTAAGTATTAGTCTATATCATGTCGAATTGGTCAGGAAATAAGATCGCATTCGCAACCGCCAAGACCTCCCGTTCCGAGTCGCTTGACGCCTCTTCTTCTTCCCATGGCATCAAGCCCATGGCTCGCAGAGCATCCTCCCCACCAGCATCGTTGATCTCCTGTACTCCGGGACGTCCCATGTGGCTACTCTCCCCTTTGCCGCCCTCAAAATCAGGACCCGGATAGCCTAACAGGAATGCCTTCCGCTGCCGCGACAGGAACAATGCGTTCGTTTGAGTCAGGGGACAGGCGGGGATGTACATGACACTACTATCTAGCTGCCCGCGGTGCACCTCGTCAACCTTGTGAATCAAGTCCGGGTGCCAGATGACATAGTCACCCGGCTCGACTGCAGGTATCGGCACCAGGCTCCTATCGAGCTGCAAGTGCGGGTGCAGCACGCTGTTGAGCTCCTGCATGTACGACGGCAGTGCACCATGGAGGACGCTCGTCTGCGCGCGGTCGAGGACCCAATTCGCCTCGTCGAGAAAGCCCTGGCCAGCCATGACGGGCGCCTGCCTGGGCGAGAAGAACGGCCGCAGCAGGAAGTACGCCGTCGCGAGCTGCAGCATCGGACACACGAGCAGCGAGCCCTCGCCGGGCGCGATGCGGCTCAGCGCCAGCCAGCCCTGGAACATGCGGAACAGGCTGCACGAGCCGGCGCCGTTGTACAGGTCGCTCGTGACGCGCAGCCGCGCGCTGCTGTCCCAGGGGTCGTACGCCTCCCACGCGCCGCCCAGCACCGCCGCGTACGTGCCCGCGCGCCCGTAGCCGTCCGGCTCCCACCGCTCGACGCTGCCGCCGTCGACGTGCGCCGCCGCCGACAGGCTGGCGTCGCCTGGCGCGCGCATCCGCAGCCGGTCCGCGTAGGTGACGGGGAAGTCGGGCGTCACGGGCGCGCCGGGCCGGCTGGGGCGCCAGGTGTTCATGGCGAAGCGCTGGGCGGCGAGAAGCCGCGGGTGTGCGCGCGCCTTGATCTGCGGCGGGCTCCAGTAGAGCTCGTAAAGCTGGGGTGCGGCGGCCGGGAAGGCTCGCGTCTGCGGGTTCGAGGCGAGATACTCGATGGCTTCCCTCTTGTAGCCCAGGGCTTCCTCCTGGGGAATGACTCCGCGGATGATGCCCGCGCCGCGCTTCCTCAGGTCTCGCGAGAAGCACTCGGCCTTTGCGGTGTTGCTAATGTCTTTGAAGTCGATCGTGGGGATGATATCTGGGTTGTGAGAAGCTATGCAATCAACCTCCTCCCGTAGTGCATGTAGCAGCCGCTTCCATGATGCTGATATAGCCTCTTCTTTTCCGGACACGATGTCTGTCTTGATTTTGGCAAATCTCATAGGCAATGATATCGGATGTGTTCCGTCAAGTGGGGACATGCTTGCCTTCTCATTCTTGCCAGAGGTCTTATGTATTCCTAGCTTTCGAAGGATTGGTGCTCGAGGGGTTATTATCATGCTTGATTAGTCCACCTGATGACATAGATAAGAATATCTCACAGAGAAGACAAGTACAGAGACAATGTAAAATGAGGATATTGTGATAGTTGGTTGGTTTGAAGTACGGGAAACTCCAAAGTGATTATAAGCAGTCAATAACCGCTGTTTCCATAACTGCGGTAAGTTGTTACCGTGGGCGTCCGAGACTGATCATATAGACACGGACTTCGTTTATCTCAACCCACGATGCCCATGCAGATTGCCCATGTGGATATCATTTGCGGATCTAAGGATGGATACCCTTTGAGTTCCATATTGAAATGGCAGATCCTGGTTGGGTCGCCGTCCGCCAACGTGGGTGTAAGTCGAGGCCGCACACACGGCCCGTCAGCCCGCCTGAGACGTTCCACGCTAGCCCCCCCCCAGAACGCTCCAATAGGGAGTTTTCCCTCGCTTCGGGCGAGATGAGGCGGAAATGTCTTCCCTCTACCGTACTCTACAAGGTTTTTCTCGGTGACGGTAACGTCGTATCTTATCGACAGGGCTGAGACGGACTAAGAGGAAGAGCCGCTAGGAAATTTCGAGAAAGTGGCTTGGCCACCTTAACAAGCCATTCCGGCTCTTCCATAGTGTGCATGCGATGATGATATATATCCGTGTTACCGGGTTCCGTGCTCCTGTCTGTCTGCTCAGACACGCTGTCCTCGTCGTGACCGTCGCACAGAAGGCTCTTGATCCGTGTCGTCTTCGGATCTCTGTTTCCTCTTTGCCGCCGTCTTTGCTGGCACTGCGGCCTGAGATTTGCTGGCAGGTTTGGCCGTCGCCTTGTGACCTGCTGCCTTCGTGTCCTTTTCTTTCGGCGCTTCGTCCTTGACCGGTGTTTCACCCGGCTGCTTCATCAGGACATATGCGACCTGCTCGATGTCAATCGCCTTTACTCCAAGACGCTTCGCAAGCTTCCTCGAGTGTTCGTTCAATTCCTTGTATTCCTTAGCGTTGTACTTGATAGGCAAGACCTTGCCATCGCAGCAGAGCCAATAGAAAACTTCATCTCCAAAGAAGGGTACATGCTCAGGATCGAGGATTGCAAGAAGAAGGGAGGCTGTTGCCGGACCTATGCCCTTGAGCTTGGTTAATATAGCGAGAGCTGCGGAAACATCCTTGTCCTTTTGGTAGCTTATCCTAGCTTGCTTGATAGTATCTTGAACAAAAGACGAATCATTTGATGAAACGAGCTTCATAAGCGTTGGCCGGAATTTGCCATGTCGTCTATCATTGCCAAGTCAGATCGATCGACCTCGGATTAGGAAGTGAGTGTTGTTGATTGTGTGAATCAAAGTACGCATGATACCAGCATAGAGATCAGCTGGATTTTCAGGACTTACAGCTTCCACTCGACTAGACTTTTGACATCATCAAGTCCCATTACTTTGCCAGCACTCTGCAGACTGAAGGACTGAGGAGCATCAACGTATCTGTACCGGTCTAATTCCGCCAGAGTCTTCTGACCTCCCTTGGCTAGCGTAACAGTTAGAGATTCCGTATCCTCAGTCTCATTCAAAAGACGGCGCATGACTTACCGCCTCTGGACTTGGACACGTCTTCGATTAAGGGTGAATATCTCTGAAGCGCGTCCTTGAACTCATCCAGGCTGATCTCCTCCCATGCCGGTACACCGTGATTGCCCATTGCGGCTCTGACCAGCAATCCCTAGTGATGTGTAGGTAGGGATGGTAAGTAGGGTGGTATTGGAAAGATAAATTCCGGTTGGATGGAGATAGTTTCTCCTTTGGCACGGCCTAGGACCCGAGATTAAAGATCTGAAAAGCCACGCGCCCGTAATTGAGTATAAAACCGATGTTAAGGTAGCGAGTTTTGATTCATGAAACGGCTCTAGGGATACGGCATCCGGCTCCCCGCCTGTTTCGTTTCACTTTAGTTCTATTTGGGCATGAGAGACGTAGAGCTGATCTCTTGCTTGTGAGACGTATAAGTGTGATTTTAAACGCGTTGGTTATGGATCTCGTCCGTTTCAATTGCAACAATAGATGGCATTGCTCAATTATTGCACGGTTTGTAACTGTGGTAGAATGAGTCGCGGGTCTCCGGCCGCCGAGTCAAGTTAGAGACGTAGCGTTCAGCTCTGCGGTTGGAGATGGTCTGTGCCGCATAATAGAACGTTTCTAGACCCTGCCGATCGCCTCAAGTGCCAGAAAAAGCGCTGTTTGTCATGATCTTTAGCGTGGCTAACACAGCATCCCCCTCCATCCGCTTTCAAGGCGACAACCGCCAAAATTTCTTCCTCCACAGCGATCCCGCCTTATCACAACCACCACAACCCCGAAATTTGATTTCCGACTCTTTCCAAGCCGACGCCTTTCATAACATTCGACATGGGTAACGTACGTATATGATATTGCGTCCTCGAAGACCAATCTATAGGCCAGTCACTAATAAGCCGCTTTAGGGAGCCAGAGCCCAGCAGAAGCGCGAGCGCAATGCGAAGGACGCAAAGGGCACTGCCAAGTCCCAGCTGAAGATTGTACGGACCTGAGAATTGAGAACATCGCGGCACAGGTCGGCTAATTGAAGAGTAGAACGCTGCTGCCATGGACATCCAATGCAACATCTGCAAGGCCACTTTCCTGAAGACAACTCGTGAAAAGGCGTACGTATTCCTTGTCGCAAAGACTCTGCAGGCCGCCCGCCTCTTCATCAGCTGACACTCCATATAGACTCACCGAGCACGCCGTCAACAAGCACAGCAAGACCCTTCCGGATTGCTTCCCGAGCTTTGCGTCTACGGCATAGATTGGAGAGGCTTCAAGGCATGGAATATGACCATTCGCGCGGAGTGGGGTCTACACGGAGTTACGAAGAGCGCATTAGCAAAAGGCGTAGGATTTGACATTTTTCATGGACTGGTACTGAATATTTCAGCAACTGAATAGACGATGCCTTGCGCATCATGATTTCCTATTTCAACAATCTCTCTTCATGGCCTGTGCCTACTCTGGATCTAGTGTGCCTCTACAGCCTTAGGTTGTGTGTTCAGCTCAGAGATGTTTTCCTTTGCCTCTTTGGCCGCCTGGAGCCGCCTCTGCTCCTCCCTAATTTGCGCCAGGATGTCCGGATACCACCTCTCACCAACATCAGGATGGCTCTTCACCCTGTTGCGGAGAGTAGCCTCCCCAAGCGTCTTCGCCACCCCTCCGCGTCTGAAGGTGAACTCAACATCGTCCAGCCTACCTCCATTGACCTCCAGCACCTTACGCCGCTGCTCCTTGACTTCCTCCGGGACCTGGCCGACGCCCACGGTCTCCAGGTCCTCAAAGTCGGCGCCGCCCCGCACGCCCTGGAAGAAGGGGATCGAGAAGCGCGCCCCCTGGCCCGCCTGGGGCGAGAGCACGCGGTGCGTCGTCGACACGCACACGCCCTGCGTCAGCGCCTCCATGCCCTGCCCGATGGCGACGACGAGCGTGCCGTCGATCGGCGGCGCGTCGATCCACTCGCCCTTGACGTTCTGCACCTGCAGGCCGCGGTGGCTGCTCGCCTGCAGCAGGTAGCTCGTGAGCATCGAGTCCTTGTGCGGGCCGACGCCCTGGTTGCCCTCCTTGCCGGCGCCGCCGAGCTCGCCCACGTCCGGGTACTTGACGATCTTGAGCTTGTGCTGCTGGTCGGCGTCAAAGTACTTGTTGAAGGCGTCCGGCGGGAGCTTGATGGCCTCGGCGATCAGGGAGGTGAAGGCGATGGAGATCTTGCCCATGCGATTCATGTATCTTCCGCGTATGGTATGAGTCTTATGTGTGGCAGGAAAGGGAAATGTGAACAGTCTAAAGTATCTTTGAACTCACTCTGTGAATGTGGCACGGAAGTTGGGCAGCACCTCTTCCGATGGCCACTGGTTTGGTGCCAGGAGATTTTCATAGAGCGGCGCGTCCGGCCCTGGCACTGGATGTTCTGTAGACAGATCGATCTGTTCTCGATGATCGATCGCACCAGCTGTGATCTCGGCGGAAAGTTGTGAATAACCTAGAAATGACGGGGCATTCTTCATCTCAATCTTCAACCTGCAATTCTCGTGTTAGCTGACCTCAATCCCAACATCATCTGATGCATATGCCTATATTCGGCAATTTCGGCTTACACCGTACTTTTCCTCCGTTGGGATGTCAAAGAAGGCCCGGCCTTCAGATATGACCTGGTTGAAGAAGTCGTCTGAAATCCCTACGTTCTTCAAGTATAGGAACCCTACTTCAAGTAGCGCATGTCGTAGGTCAGCCAGAAAGGCTGGCTTCGTGGCACGGTCGTCAGCCAGCGATAGATCCAGCACTGGGATCGATGTGAAGGACATTGTGAACAACGGCCCTGTTCTATTTCCTTGAGATAGACTGAGTCAGGGTTGTACGGGCATATGTACTGTTATATGTCTTGCCGAGCAGCGCATCTATGATTTAGGTGGAAATATATTGAACAATGAGAATCGTGTAAAACAGCTTGGTATCTTTTAAGCTACTTTAAATTTAGTTTTTGACAGTCCCTTTATCTCATCTCTACATTCCTTAGTGAATCGCGTCATCCCGATATGTCGGACCACATCCACCTCACTACCCCGCAGTCCCACTGCGCCGCCTAAAAATCGGCTCCTAATCTCCTCCGTACAATTGCCGTTGTCCGGAGTGGCGCAAATATCATCAGATCAGGGGCTTCGAGCATGACTGTGCTACCTAACACCACGTCAAAATCTGAACGAGCCAAATCGTGGTCCATTCTCTCTGGGACCTGCAGTGCCTCGGGCACCCTGAATGACCATCTCCTAAATGCCACCACGTAGGGATTTCCTGGGTGAGCTGAACACAGTTATTTTGTTTCGAGAGTGAAGTCTATACAACAGGAGGTGGCGCGGAAAACAGTCCTGCGACCCGATAGAATAAGTCCTCGATAGGCGGCATAGCAAATGCTGGAGCTGCGTCGAATATTTCTGTCAGGCGCTGAGGTGCGATGACAGCTGCGTCCATATCGTCGTCAATATCGTCGTCGACGATGTCCATAGCATCAGGCTCTTCATCGTCACTGCCCTCCCCATCCAGGCCGTCAACGATCAGTGCTGTTTCCGTGCTCCCGTTCGGCTTAGTCGTAGACTCGTCATTGAGATGCAAGTCGGCCAAAGGTTGTGCCAGGGGCAGAGAGTTGGTCTCTTCACCTAAAGACGTGATCTGAGCTGCCGAGTCTAGGAGAATGAATCCAGGAGAACCAGCGGCTGGAAGAAGACTCGTGATCAGATGAGGGAAACTCTTGGAGAACTCCGGGTCACCATGCTCTAGATCGAAGACGGCTACTTCCGACATTGCTCCTTTCCTCAGCTTTCCCTGGCTCTTGTGCAAGGCTGGTATTGCCACAGCAAATCTCTTTGAGCTGGCGTCAATCGCCAAGTGTGTCATCTGGGAGACAGGCCCGGGAACACCCATGAGGTGTACTCCATAGCGTAATTCATCTGCAACCACATCGTAGACGGTGAGATCATCAGACAACATGATAAGGCATGAGCCGAGTATCCGCATGTCTCGAACGGCGCCCTGAAACATGTCGTGCAAAGTGCTTCGTATCTCGCCAGAGTCAGCGTCAATAATGTAGACGACTGCTTCGTTGTAATGGCCATACGCAACAAAGATAATAGAGCCATCTTCCGAGAAAGTCACGGCTCCACTTCGCGCATATGTAGCTCTACCATCGAGCGGCTGCAGTTCGTCTTGCGCTTTAGTACTCTCGCCAATAGATATGGCTCGCTCGCACGACCAGGTGCTCAGAACCTCGCCACGGTTTCCTGTCATGGACAGGCCATCGCGCTGCCGAGATCTTGGCGACCACAACCGTACCATGCCATCATTACCAATGCTAGCGAACCTAGGGGACACTGGATCTGCAGCAAGAGCAAAAACATCTTCCGCAATATGGGTAAAATGAGGACCGTTGATCCTTGTTGATAGCTCAAGTGACTTCCCATCTGCGGCTCTGGCCCAAAATTTGAGGTAGGTCTCCCGCCTCTCGCGGCATAGGTCCTCCTTAGTGATAGAGGAATTATCAGCAAGGGCGCCAATATCTCGCGGCTGAGGCTCCCATTCATCGACAGTCGCAAGCCACTTTCCGTCAACTGAGAATGCTATTTGAGTTACCCGTGGTTCAATGATAGGAATTCCACTTGAGGTGTAAGTTTCATCAGCAGCATTGGTCCGCGTCAAAGGGTCCTTCGATATGCTCTGGAACGATTCAAGGTCGAAGGTTTGCAGCATAGGTACCGCTGGGAAAGCTCCAGAAAAGCTGGCCTGCTGGCCATTTCCAACACAGACCAGCAGTTGAGATGGGTCTCTGGGGTCGATGGCTGCTGGGCATGGTGTATTGATTTCCTCAATGGGTTCCCAGGCTCTCCGCACCATGAAGTCCTTCGACTTCATATCTCCAAATACTAGAGACTGGATCCCAGAAACATAGGCAGTCGGCTTCATCTCGGCCGTAGACAGTACCATGGTTGAGTTGTCATCCAAGTGTACTGCGTAGGATGACCCACGCGGCGATACCACAATGTTTTCGATACACGCCGAGAGGTGAGGCAAGAAGTCGCACTTTCCAGTGTCCATTTGCCAGAGAACGAGGACAGCCTCGGAGCCACCTGAAATGAGATAATTACCTATTGGGTGTTAGTCGAAGAAATTCACCAAGTTGCCCATACTTCCTCACCATCTTCAGACCACGCTACGCTGTGAACCGCCCTCCTGTGCCAGTGGTATTTTCTCGGCTGTATTGAGCTGTTTCCGCTGAGGGAGCCTTCAACACTCTGAAGTCGAGCCAGCAAATCAGCGTAGACAAATATAGCACCACGAGCACATCCAACAGCAACGTCCAGCACTGGCCCTGTTGCCTCGATCATTTGCTTCCTCTTCGGCTGCTGCTTGCGTGAGTGATGCTGTCTCACACTCACGCAGGAGATTTGATCGCCTGACTCAAAGGAAAAGAAGTCATATTCGAGATCTTCGAGGGTTCGGTGTTCTTTTGACTTTAAGGATCCCACTAGGATTGTGCTGAAAACAACGGATATCAAGGCCCTCCCACCATCAGTCGATTTGATTAAAGTCAAATTACCCTGGTGAGTCTGCAACTCTTTACTGATGGGTCCATCTGGGGAAGTAAGATCATAAGCTACAATTTGCGACGAGGCAGTGCTAGCCTTTTCTGTGACGAGTATAATGTCGCGAGCTTCTTTGCCAAAGCGTACATCGATGACCGTCATGTCGAATGCTTCCTGAGATCTTATCTGAAAGTACTCGCTTGTTCCGTCACCATTGGTCCAGTCTATACGCCAAATGCGGCCATCAGAACATAAGACCCATACGATGTTCGGCGACACCCGAGAAATCACAGAATTTATGATATAGGAATGAGGCGACATGGACGCAATGCTGTTGTAGACGGGTACGTTGATTCGGCGGTCGAGAAGAGAGTCGCTTGTCGAATAAACTTGGATAGAAGTATTATAAGTGAGCAAAATGTACCTGCATGAGTTAGCAACGGCTTGCAATCAAAGGCGAACCCACGTACTCTTCATTCGCAGTGAATATGGGGTCGATATCTAACATCCTTCCGCCCATGGGCGCCGAGAGCTTCCATGCCCGCTTGCTTCGACCTCTTTTCGATTTCTTCTTCTTTGACAGTCGAGTTGCAGATTGTGATATCTTGTCATCTTGATGCGGCTGCATACTCAGATCTGAGGTACCGTTTCCTGTCATCGCCTCCGCAACACTTTCTGAACGCTCCTCCTCTACCACCGGGTGCCTGCGCTTCCTTTTCGGCGTAGCAACATCTTGGTCGTTTGGATCTCTTTTTCGTTTCTCTGCCAGGCGCTCAGCACGCTGTCTGGACTGCGAGGAAGACGCCATTTTGTGTATAGGTGGCGACTCGATCCTCGGGGACTCGCAATTGCTGCAATCCGCTTGACCGGCTACCAAGAAGCTCTCTCAGTAAAAGCGACCTTCACTGGAGAAAAAAAAGTTCAATTTTGGAGAGCGGTCACACTAGCGACTCGATAAGCTGCGATAAGGATGGTGGGGGTCGGGACCTGGCATTGTTCCGCCGCCGAACAAATTTCTGGATGGCGATTAACTAAACTAGGACAGGCTCGCGACTTCTACGCACTCAGAACAAAGAGGCGTTGTTCGTCTTCATCCACCACCACCAATAACTAGTTGCGGATCATACGGTGTCGGCCATCACACTGCAGTCATCTATCAAAACGGCCGCTATAACAGCAAGTCACAATGATTATTCCGATTCGGTGCTTCTCTTGCGGGAAGGTGCGTGGCATGCCTTGAGGGAGAAGTTTGCGACAGAGGCTGATCTTGATTTCTAGGTGACGGGCGACATGTGGGAGCGCTACCTGAAGCTTCTCGATGATGGCGTCTCCGACGGGTAGGGATCTTTCTGTCAGACAGAGCGATGATGGGATAGGTGGGACTAACCAAGCTGTCACAGTGATGCTATGGACCAGCTTGGATGCAAGCGCTACTGCTGCCGCCGTATGATAATGACACATGTCGACCTGATCGAAAAGCTCCTCAAGTACGTCACTCGCCCAGCTCATATGTCATGCGAATACGAAGTGCGAACAGGCATGCTAATCCCATCCAACAGGTATACCCCCGATGGACGAGATGTCAAGAAGACCAACCTCCACGCCGACCATCTGCAGGGCTAGGCGCCTCCTGTCAATAACGATAATGCATTTTCTGGGCGTCAGGGTTAATTTTGTTGGCCACACAAGCCATAGAATGGGATTGCGGCAAGGCGTTACTCTTGGACAGAGGAAGATCAAAAGAAATCATTGTGCACAACATTTGGAGGAAGAGCAATTATGCCTAATGGCCGGGTCTCCAAGCGAGCTACGCCATGGCTTTGGCCGCTTGGCTGTCCGATCTCGTAGCAGTGCCTGGGTCGACAAGATGGCCGTTGTGGCTGGCCTCGTATGGTCTACCGCGCTTAATCTGCAGGAGGCTCTTTTGAACGGAGCCAACGACAGGATGATATTGGTCATGTGAATGGCGCCAGGGCCTTGAACAGAGGGTTCCAGAAGACGACATGGATCCTCTTCCTGGGAAGCCACACCGGTGGGGGTTCCTGGTAGTTTCCCGAGAATACAGCAAACAATTTCCTCCCATTTGGTTCCCAACAAGCTTTTCCTGTGTGTTATTGTGCGTTACGGCGCTATGAATCGTGACTTCTCGCGGTCATCATCAAGGCGTCAGGCTAATGACTTAGTGTATCGATGCCTTGGAGAGATTACGACCGCACAATAGGATTCGGCGCATGTCTGAGATCCTAGTCAAAGTATCGGACGACGCCCAAGAGAGTGAAGCCGAATGCACAATTTCGAACCGCGATGGGGGAGCAATCCTTGGTAATCTTCCTCGTGGCTGCCTTGCTTAGACATGGATCTTAGAGTGGTACTAAGCGCGAACATGCTCGGGGATCATTATGGTCCCCGTAGCATTGTTGGTTGACTTTCAATTACAGCATAAAACATCGAAACCAACAGTTTCACTATCGGTGACCGCTAATTTCCATTGTATCTGTTCATGTAGCTTTTCGTGGAGCAATATCCCGACGTCTACCGCGGTGGCTGCTGTCGGCGAAGATAGTTCAATCAATCAACTGTCCTGCTTACAGCTCCCGGCGCCTAAGTTGCAGCCAACAACACCATTGTTGAGACGAAGGATCAGCGCTGCGTTGATGGACCTGGAAACGCAATCAGGAAACACGTTTCCGAGTGCCTGATAGCCGGGGTTTCAACTCGTGGCATTCTCGTCATGCACCATCTCGTGGCTGCGTCTGCGTTAATTCCTACGACTCCCAGTACCAACAGGCCACGGCCGTATGGCTGAAAAGGGAATTGTCCGAAGGACAATAATTCATTCTTCAAGGATCGCCATTACAAGTCTCCTTCACGTCCTGCAGCACAATCGACTACTGCGCATGCTCTTTTCCAAAGCAGGCATTGCTCGGCATGACGATTTTACTCGTATTCTGGAGGAGGGCAAGGAGATCAATCCTAGTTTCGGGATAACTCTCCTGACATAAACGGCACCGACGGACCGTGAACTAAACCGATAACGTAGCTTGCGCATACTCACAAAGGCATGCTTGCATGCAGTAAGCAAGGGACAAAGCAACAGCGCGAAGTAGTTCGAGTGACCGTCCCATGCGGCCGGGCAGCCCAGCGTTCGCACTTTGTGCCTCGCTGAGCCTCAAAACCCCGCTCCTTGGGGTGTCTGACGAGTGTGATGGCCCGGAAGCTCCCCGGCACCTAGAGGGTTTTCTCGGCCGTGGCAATTGGCAATGCCGACTGCCAGCGCAGAGAAGCCAGATCCAAATGTCCTTGCTGATCTGGGAAGCAATTCTCGTAGGGCGGCCAAAGAGATCGCGAAACGGGCATCAGTCGTTGCACAGGTGTCAGAAGCTGGGACGTGGGTGTGTTTGGTGAGGGCCTCTTCTGAACGTTAACTCGTCCCCCGCCTTGGTGCTAAGAGACAGGGGTGAGGCTGGGAGGTTAGGTTGACCCACCGAGCAACTGGGAAGAACAAGAAGCCAGCCAGGGTACGCCATAACAGCCCACGAGTTTGCTCCGCTGGCCCCCGCTCTCGCGTTTTAGGTCTTTTATCTTTCTATGAAGTTGGCACTCTCGCCATGCCTGGCTGTTTGTCTCTCTGCTTTACGTAAATCAACAAGCTTGCGCCTGTTTTCGGTGGGCGCCGGCAAGAACACCAACAACGCAAGCGTAACGAACATCGGGTCGAACATGGGTGGTTGAACATGATCCAACTGTGGCCGTCGCAGTGGGCCTGTCTCAGCCAGAACCCCGAAGCTAAAGCTAATAAAAGACGCGGGACCCAGATCATCGGGAAACACCATGGGCTCGGCGAGGGACGATCTCTGATAGGAGGAGACACGCATCTAGCACACGCTTGAGTGACTTACCAGCACTACTTACCCATTAGGCCATAGTACGGGATGGCACTGACAGCCCCCGGAAGCTGTGATAAGTCCCAAGGCCCTCTGTGCTGGGAACATAGCTTTGGTACATCACACCGTGCCTCTCGGAGTGATATGCGGCATCTGTTGGGTTGGCCCAGGGAGCGATTTGGGGGAGGGCCTTCATTCCATCAAGAAGCCGGCTACAACGGCTACCGTTCGTCTCCTTATTATCCCAGCTTCCCACGACTGAGGTATACCCACCTATCAGGAATGGCCGAGATCTATGGTGTCCTCGTTGCCGCATTCACATAGCGCAAGCGGGCGCTGGTTGACAAGAAGCATCTGCGTGAGGTATCCTCTTCCAGGAATTATCCCCATCTGTCCACGGATATTGGGCTCTTCATCTATGACTTTCCTGTCTGGTTTCTCCCGTATATCGAAAGCATAAAGCCAATTGGTTCGAACTTGCCAACGGCACACAAGCAGCGGGCAGAGCCGTACTACCGCCCCGTGTTACCGTTCCAAATATGACTTGTCTTGTCTCAGTCCCGCTGCCGTACATGTACAATTTGTTGTTGGTGCCTACGCTGGCGAAGCGAAGTACTCAATCGAGTAGGGTATAGACTGTTGTTCCTCTTCTTCTTTTCTCTCCTCCCGTCCTCTTCCTTGCAACAACCGAAGACCATGCCCAAGTCCTTGACCACGGCCGGGAGACCATCTTCTTCCTGCCCAGCCGGCTGGGAAATGGGCTCCGAACAGGGTCTGGTCAACAAGAGCAAGCCTGGCCCATTGGCCGATCACCCATGCTCCTGACATGGTGCAGGGGTGTGTGCAGACATGGGGCCGCTGTGACTTGCTGGATGAAGCGAGCCACGCATGGAAAACGCAGCAATCCACACCTTTTAAGCGCCGAAGCCTGTCAGTTTCATGCAACCCAGCAGTCGAAGTTCTGCCCCCCATCGACCGAAACGGGCCTTTGCGGCCTTCCTACTGGTCAGAGGCACAGAGGAGCAGGCCAAGAGAGCAAAGACGCGCATCTGCATGCCTCAGTGGCTCTCTCCTGTAGTGTGAGTGAGGATGCAGTCGCAGTGGCACTCTTCCTCTCTGCCTGTCCGAACACGCTGATTCTCGGCAGAGGCTTCGGCCAGGTGGGAGCCTCGTCGACTTCGGATAGAGAACTGCCTGACACACTCGATCTCTCTCTTCTCACGAACCGTGCAGTCCATACGTCCTCCATGGTACTTCACCTGACGCCACTTTTCTGTCTTTATCACGCAGTGCAACTGGAAGTCATTCAGTACTGCACCATCGCATTCTCCGTGACGACCAAAACCCGTCCCAGTGATCCTTCAACTGATCGTCATACTCCTCAAAGGATCCCACTAGACCACAACTCTTCCGCCCAGTCTACCTGCAGCAATTAGCTCAGCAGCGACTTGTGCCAGTCGTATCAAGGGTTGTAGTGACCCTGTAGACTGAAGAGTACATCCTGTACCTCTCTCTGGCCAGGCAGCTTGGCAGGCCCGCCGCATGTCTGCAATAGCCTGGGTGGAGCTCTGCGACTGTCTGCCACATTTCCGTTTCGCTGATTGAGTCTCAGGCGTTACCTGTCCTGTCCTGTGAACCACAACCAATACCACTCCCCTTCTCGAGCAAATCATTCCTCTCCCAGCAGCCGAGGGATCCTGGTTCAATGCCCCCATACCGCTTTGTGCGATAGACGCAGCTTCATCCAGATCTCATCCCCGACTCTTCTTTTTCCCTTCCCTCCCCGACTCTCATTGACTTGCATGTTGGCTCCAACACCGCGCACCACCATCCGTCACCAAAGACCCGTCGCAGGTGCAACCTCCGAATCCCTCGAGCGAGGAGCAGCCTAGTGCGCATCTGCTGTGCCTCGTTGCCCATTCAAGTGGGTAATAAGACTACAAAGAAGCTCCCACCTACCCCTCCTGGCGCTTCTGGTTTCTTTCGAGGTCTCTGTGAGGTGAGCGAGGAGGCTTCTTATCAACAGAGGCGCAGCTCCCCCAGATCAATCTACCTGCTGGCCAACCCCTCAGCGACCGACTGCGAGCTTAATCCTATCGCGCCCAACAACTACCAGCTGGGGAGACTATCCGCCGCTGCCCTCCTTCACGACCACGCGAGGCTTCTATATGAGGATCTATGCTATTCTCCTTACCGCGCTTCGAGGCGAACTGCTGCGCGTGTCGATCCAACAAACGTTGACGCTGGGGCGCCACCTCCATTCACCGCGCGAGAGCTTGGTCGCATCCGACCAGCATGGCCCTCGAAGCCCCATTGAGGTCATCCACCGGAAGTATAATGTCTGCATTCTCCCCTCATAATCCGGACCTAGGAGCGTCCTCGCCCGAGTCTCCTGGTCACTCCCGCTTCATGTCCCTGTACGCTCTTCTCTCTTCAGTCACATCGTTTCTTAGACTTACACTTCCCCGCCAGGTCGTCCGCCAGCTCTGTGGACTCTCAGTCCCTGCGGCCCAATTCCTACCTCAGGTCACAGTCTGCTCATCTCCTCATGAGTCCAACAAGCGACATAGTCGGCCCCTCGCCCGTCACATCAAATGGCACGGAAACGACCGAGATCGAGGATGAAGTGTCGTCTGAAGCTGGATATCCATCTGCCGCGAATCCACATGCGCAGCCACAGGTTAGACGACTTGTGACACATAAGCTATGATAGTCTGCTAACGCATTGCAGCTCATGATGTTGAAGACCAACATCTCGGATAACATTCGCCAGAGTAGTAGCGAAGAGGCAGTTTCTGTGATCCATGCTCCTGAGAGCTTCCACCAATGGGTTTGTGGCAATGATCGATCTTCCTAACTGTTGACTAACATTGCACGATGTAGGCATCCAGTGAACCACGGCCAAGTTCAACAATTCCTCCTGTTGACAAGCCCAGTGACATTATCAGCCCTCCTGATAGTGAGGCATCCACTAAGGTATGGTTTTTTATTCCATTCATTCTGGTGTCCATCATGTTCACGCAACACAGGTTAACCCCCAACCTCAGCCTACCCCGCCACCCATTTCTACAAACATCAAGCCTGCTCGATATTCACTTGACAATGCGACACCGCAGGCGCAAAATCTTCAAGATATATTCAGTGACACAGCTCGGCTGCGATCAAGCAGTGCAAGTAGTCTCGAGCGTAAGAACCATCCTCCCCTAATCCAGGCCAAGGCTAAACATCATTGCAGTGATACCTGAGATCCGCGAAGCAGAGACTGATGCCGATGGTGAAGGTGATGATCAAGATCAATTTGTGACCCCTGTGACAGAGGAAGAGTCCGAAGTCCGAGCATTACGGTCCGCTCTTGAGGAGTGCTGGACGCTATGCAACACCCTCGCCAATCTGAGCTCTATCCATCGAGAGAGGGTCTTCAACAGCTCCGGAACGCCTGATGCCCATGAGAAGGCGTGGAAAAGCTGTTGGAAACTATGCCAGAAACTCTACCATAGCCGCGACGAGCCTCATGAGTCTTTCAACGTGCGGACAAACCTCGACCTGTGCAGAGACTTCTGCCAGGCTTTGTTCGATGTCAGGCAGAGGCAAGACGACATCTCTGACTCTGTTCTCAGAGTCAGTTTCGAATTGAATAACCAGTATGTGTTATCCTCCAGTCCCATGGTGTTGGATTCCTACCCCTAACATCCGAATAGCCTATACAGCGCTCAAGATAGTCGGAACTTGCCAGAGGCGTTCCGCGAGAGGACGCTCGACTTCTATATTACCCTCTGCCACCGATTAATGAAACAGCGCAGCGAGCTTGCCGAGGAGACCGACTCTCTTCTTCGAGCATGTTGGTCCCTTGCCGAGATGCTGTTCAGCCTGAGACAGAACGCGCGAGATGGCAAGGCGCTAGATGAGGAGCTTCTTGGCTCCGCAGTCCAAGCTTGCTGGGAGCTTTGCGACATTTTTAGAGAAGGCTGGACACAGATCAGGCCTGACCGGGGCACCCCTCGCCCCAGTCAAGTAAGCTTCTTCAGCTATGGCCAGCCATCTGATGCTCGATCCGCGACGGGCAGCCGGGCTTCCATGCACTCCAAACGAGAAAGTTTGAAGAGTCTGCCAGAAGAGAAGCCCAGACGTAAGGCACCGCCGGTGCCAGAGACACCCGTGACCGAGTTTGAAGACACACCTATATCTCCTGAGAGCCAGAGCCCGCAGATGCCGAATATCCTGGTGCTGGGCACATCCCAAGAGAGTTCGCAACCCGCCTCCCGGGGCGGCCGATGGTCAAGCAGCGCGTCAAATTTATCGAGCTACTCGCAGAGCAGTGCGAAGACCAGCAGCACGGCCACGACAGCCACCGCTGGCGAAGATGTGAACATCACCCGCATCAAGACACTAATCTTGAAAGCGGCAATGAATATCGGATACAACCGTGATCTAACAACCGAAGGCGGCGGCAAGGCCGCCACCTCACTGCAGGCTTTCGTAAAGAGCCTACCAACGGGGTCTTTCGGGTCGCTCCCAGCGCACGCGACCCTTCTACAAAATTACAAGAATCTGGTCCTAGCGGATTCAGCCTTCAGGACCTCAGCGACGTTGCCTGCTCGAGGGAAGCGAGTCAATGCGACGGACGTGGCCAAGAGCGTGGGCTGGATGATGCTCCGATCTGGCCAATACGGCTTCCTAAGAGAACTGTTCAAGCTGGTCTTTGGATTCCCGCTTGAAGAGGCGGATAACAGGAAGAACGTGAGCATTGCTGTCTAGCTTGCTTGCACTTCCAGATCATACTACCCTCCGCGGACTGGCTTGAATTTATGCCAAGCTATCTCCAAAACAACCTAGCTTTGCGGTTGCACGATCTACGACGACATATTTTTCTCATGTTAATCCCCATACTTCGATATAAGCGAGGAGGTCTGAGTTGAAGATATCATATATCATTATTACTACTAGGAAGGGAAAAGGGAGGATACTACCATCGCTTCGTGCCCCTGAGAATCTGTTCATTTCACCAGCACTAGATACCCTGTTTGGATGGCTTGTCATGGCGCTGGGCTTTTTTTAACATCCCGGGGGAGGTAAACTGGGCTTGACACAAGCCGTGTTTTCGTTTGTGAAAAGAGCGCGAGAGAGAAGAGACGAAGAAGTTTATATATATCCCTTACTGAGGGAGATTCAACTCCAGCTTATCGACGGAGGTCTCTATACTGGGCATCACATCACATATAGCGGCTTAAATACAAAATCACATTTATGAGGGTCATGCATGTCAATACTTGGTAATTTACATAAAAATCATTAGTGTACTGCCTGAGTGTCCTTCCCTATGTACGAGACCTAGTGGCGGCCTATGCTTGATAGTAGGCCGGAAGTTCCTACGTCGCAGCGTGATGCCAGCCCTTGCTCAACCACGCATGTTGATGAATAGAATCCCTTGAGACCATCCGTGCCTTATTGCTCAATAATGTGCATAACCTCCTAGCTGCTGCGAGCCAGCAGGATCTGGAGATTGGTCCTAGGTCGAGGGACAAAATAGATACATGATGTAAACATCCTCGTGATGAAAAAGCGAATTCTGAGAGGAATGATGAAGAGTAAATAAGCAACTGAATTGTCTGCTTGATCCACAGTTTTCACGCTCGAACTTGAGCGTGCGAAACCATCAACAGACAGATCCTTTTCACGTCGTGTAATGCGACATGCTGCCCAGGTCTTCTTCCATTCACTTAATGGTGATCTGGCCGTGCATCCATCGCCTCGAGATAATCGTTCTCCGGATCTTGATCGTCGAGAAAGGAAGACATGAAGTCATCCGGTGAGCTCACTCCGCCGTTCAAGTCGTCGTGGAGAGTTCCGGAAACTCGGCGGCCATTAGAGGGACGCGTGAACCATCGGTCATCGGGCTGAGCAGTGGCGGCGTTTGCATACGCTCCTGAGAAGTGAACATCATAGGCGGCTGTCTGGCTGTGCAGCTGCGGGTCCACGTAACCAAAGACGGCCCCGTCATCCATGTTGCCGACTCCTTGACGGCCTCGGCGACCTGCCAAAGATTTAGTATTATGTTTGCAAACAATCTCACTTGGTTAACTTACGGATGTTGGGTCCCATAGGTCCCTCGTTCGGATCTCTAAACTCGCTGATAGGATGGGTGACTGCAACAGTAGGTACGAACGGATCTCTCTAAGTAGTTGTAATCCTGTTGGTGCCGTCAAAGGTATCGCGATTGTCGGTTACGAAAGGGACACTATTATCGTCATCTTGAGCAGCGTGATTTCCGGGAAGCTGACCAGTATCTAGATCTTTGTTAACTCGATGATCGTATCGCAGTCGCGGCATAAGCTTACTGAAGCCCGATCCATAGCCGGCAGAAGCCTGCTGCAAGCCCGCTGCGCCAGAGAAGAGAGACGGGCCCGGTGAATTAGTAATGAACCCAATCGGAGTGGTGAATCCAATGGAAGAGGAGGTGCTGTAGGGTAGGGTATCATGATTCGCGGATTGATAACGAAGCCCTCCAGAGTAGAACCGTTGTGTAGACGACTGATCGACACTGGCTCTCTCGTTGCGGCCCTGACGAAAGCGAGGGAGCGTCGTGAAGTCAGGACCATCTCCTTGGTCCTCTTGCTTGATACCTGGCATATCTGGCATCTTGGCGAAGGGGTTTTGCATGCTGAGACCAGAGCTGCCTGTCTTCGGCGTCGCCCACGGGTTCGGCGTGCCATTCTTTGGAGTGACAGGAGCCGCGACAGCCCGCCGGTTAGTAGCCGAGCGCCGGGGCCTTGGGGTTTGCTCCAGAACGTCCTCTTCAAGATCATCGTCCTCGTTACCTGTGGGTAGACCCGAAGGAGCCAGGCCACCTCCGGCAGGCGGGCGCGGACCCCGGTGCATCGTCGCCTCATCCCAAGCCGGGACGTCGGGGAGGGGCCTATGGGTCAATAAACATGGAGCAAGCTTATCGAGTGAATCTAAATGACATACCAGAACTCTGGGGTGTTCCAGTACTTTCCCTTGATGTACTTGATCTGATTGGCACCAAAGTTCTCTTCCGTCCATTGCGTGCCCCCGCGAACAGCATTCAGGGGGTTGAAGTGCTCGATGAAGTATGAGGGAATCTGACTCGCCGGCCAGCCCTTGTCGATTCGGGCGACGACGTATTCGATCTCGTCGAGCCAGTACTTACGGAACCCAACCATCTTGCCACAAGTGATGTGCAAGTGATTCGGGAAGGGTGCTTGTGTCTGCGGAGTCTATGCTGTCGAGGTGCGATGAAGAATCTCCTCATGCAACGAAGGAAAACCGATCGACACGTTCGCAGAGAAGTGACACGATGTGATGACTGCGGGTAGGATAAACTGAGAGTAGATCAAAGACACGTGAAGCTCGAGATTCCAGGTCTCCTGTCGATTAGAAGAAGGATCACGAGTGAGAAAAACTCAGTCGAGTGATGGTTGTCCTACGGCGGAGCACCTGGCTTTGGGTTAAAGAGAAACTGTCGAACGGTGGCTTGACTGGAGATATGGTTATTGCCAGGTAGGACTCGGCGTCCAAAAGAATTTGATGATCTCAAATTTATTTGGAAGGATAAAGAGGGCAATAATTTATTGGGCAAAGGTGTTGAGTAAAAAAAGGGTGGTCATGCTCGACATTCCCGTGCAGCCCAGGACGACAGAGAAGAGACTTACGAAGCCTATGTATCTTGTGGTAGAATATGAATTTCAATCTCAAGTGCGGGTAGGGTATTCTCGACAGAGCCCTCAAAGAAAGATCTAGGAGAACAAATGTTCGTCATGGACAGCCAAGAGTTGTGTTGAAGGCCTGTGTGAAGGCTTTCTACAGCCGATGGAACAAGGTCGAGGACTCAATAAGGCATCGAGATGATATGTGTGGGATTCTTTCAACATATATGAGCTTCTACAATACTCGTTCTCTGACACTCGTATGTATTAGATAGCCAGATGCAGTGAATGTTGTCTGTGTAAATCGCAAACATGATAGATATTGCTAGTGGTTGAAAGACAGTCATCATCATTGTCATGTATCCTATTATTAGTCTCAACAAGGTGAAGAGTAATCGAGACGCTTATAGCGTATACGTAACGGTGAATGCGGCAAACATGGTTATTCTGATCCCTTCCGTATTTATGAAACGAGACGCCTAGGACAGTTTCGTAGAGTATGAGCAAGCTGCACATGCTAAATATACACAATGAAGCACTGAATACTGGTTACTATTATAAGAGAACAATAGTTTTCAGAATGTTCTGTGTATATTACTGATGCTATTTAGTGGCTCATATTAAGACTGAAGTATAAAAAAATGAAAGCAAAGAATGAATGTTCTAGCAGGCGTATACCTCTATCTGAAACGTCTAATCAGTGTCTAATCTCGATCTACTTCTATCTCTAATCTACGGTGTTATCTAGTCTTTCTATACGGTCTAATGAAAGCTATTCAACGTCAATATGCACAAGGTTTTCCGTCTTATGACTTCTGAGACGAACTGTCTCTCCCAAATATACCTAGCCAGCATTTAACTTGCTCCTCTTCATCGCCATTTCCCCAGTCGTCCTGTCCAAATTCTAGGCTTTCTTCCAGGCAGAGGAGCGAAGGACTTTTGGCTGCCATCACGTTGCGGAACGCCGAAAGAAGCCCGACGGTGATATCATCACGTTGCGGAACCATGACTAGGGCACGTGCATCGGAATCTGCGCTGAGATAGTCATCTATGGCGCCGGCCAAAAGCTCAGGATGATCGTCATCGTAAAGCGCATCGGCAACGAGAACGATCTGGGGAGAAATTTAAGCATAGAATACAAACCGTGCTAATGTTAGCCACGTACCTTGAACTGTCGTTTCTTATCAAATAGTCGAGCATCGATCTCTTCTGTATCATCCTCGTCTCCTCCCCAGGTCAGAGCCCCAGCATCAAGGCTCCCACCAAGAGACTTCACGACCGCTCGATTCTGGTCTACGTTGTGTTGTAGGTTGGGCATAATAGCCGGAAGGTCGCTGAGGATAACATCTGTTTTCCAGATCGCGGCGGCTGCCAAGCCTAAAAGTCCTGTCCCTGACCCCAATTCAAGAACAGGTCCATTCGGTCGCTCACCCGATGCGGGCAACAAGTGTGAAAGCGGTGTCTGTCCGATTTTGTGTAGCATCTGTGCTAGTAGGTACGACGATCCCCATGTTTTCAAACCCAGGCTGTCTCCAGTCAAAGGTGGCTCCCTGACGATGAGGTCGAATGACTTGTAGCCTTCCCCTTGAAACGGCCACCGGCGAGTGATCTCTCCCATCGCTGTTCAAGTGTTAGAACAGTAAAGCAAACGGTGTTTAGGCACTCACCTGCCCGACCACACCGTTCTGACAGTCGTCGACTAGCCTCATTCCACAGTTCCTCCCTCTGATCCTCATCTTCGATCCAGAGGAGATCACTCTTGATGATATTTGAAAGATATCCCGCGATCTCTCGACGGTGATTCACAGTGGTGTCCTGCTCGTGCTGGATCTCAGCTCGGGAGATTTTGAGATTCCAAACAGGTGGGTCTACATGAAGCTTGTTGAGCGCTTCAAGGAGATCCTCAAAAGCAGGCTTCTGCCATGGTTGAGGCAAGTCGTGCGCTGAGATCGACATCGCTGCAAAACGCTTTCGGACCAAAGAAAATGACTCTAGGAAAATCTAATATAAAAGAAAAGGCCGACAATGGGGAAGAGAGATGCACTACCGACGGAGGCAGATCTTCATAGCGATAGGAGTCATAATGAGTTGTGCTAGCAACGACATAACGAGATATCCAGATGACATTCAAAGTGAAGAGTTTCTGAGTAAGATGCCAAACTCACTGTCGTTTTAAAGCCGATAAGTATGGCTCGTCTTATCGGACGTCGAATTTGGCGGTCTGGCCGCCATTTTTACTTATCGTGGGTCCCTGAAATTTTTGGTGCATGAGTCGAGAACAATCGAGTGATGGCGGCGGCCCCACGTGTCAGGGGCTATGGCGAATTTATCCCGTTTCGGTAGTCGAGGGAGTCAGAGAGTTATATGATTGGCTGAAGTCGACTGTTACACAATGGCCAGATGAGCCTCCCACCTCATTCATGACTCCCCTCAAATGTGATTATCCTCGATTTCAATGGATGTAGTCTTTCATAGTCATAGGGCCGGGGTGGCTTGCTTGAAAGCAGGGAATTGATCAACTCAGAAGAGGGCATATATCACTCACATATTTGCAAATCATTCATCCTTGCTTCTAGAGCAGTCACTCGCTCCATTCACTCTATGGAGATTTGGGTATTAATTCTGGCAATACTCAAGCAGTCTCTGCCATCTCTATTAGCAAATGTTGTATGGTTCTTCCATGCCATTTGTCCCAGCGACTTTGCATCAGCTCCCGTAAGTTAGTCCATTGCCTTCTCCCCATCTTGTTTTGCAATTTTCCTTATGTTTCTCATTGCTTTTCGTCACCTTCTCCGAAATGATTTAGCATGACGAGGTGTCATGCCTTCGTAATGTTGCCTGAGCTCTGGGGCCGCTTACTAGTTGCTGGTCCAACCACTCTGCTGAGGCACATCGCCATCGTTGTCCTGCTGATTGGTCGTGCTCATTCCTCCATTGTCCTGATTCGTGTTACCATAGTCACCATAGTTGTCATTGTGGCCACGATCGCCATTGTTGTCGTTGCCCTCTCGATGAGCAGGCTTCTTGCCGACGGGCTCGCTCTGCAGGACCCGGATCGCCGCGTTGATCTCGTCGAGCAGATCATCGATCGCCAGCTCGGTGAGCGCCCACTTGGCAAGCTTTGTAATATCGCCCGAGATGACGCGCAGCTTATTGACCTTGCGGAGGTTGCGCTCGTAAGCAAGCTGCGCGGCGGCGTCTCGGTCCAGGGCGTTGCTCACGCCCGCGACCATGCTCGCCTCCTCGATCGTCTGGCTGATCTTGGCCGCCGCGGTGACGAACTTGTTCTTCTCGCGTGTGTTCTCGAACTTCTTCTGCAAGAGGTCCTTCCAGAGCATTTCCATGGAAGACACGCTGGCGATCCCGTCAAGATGCTGAGTCATGTTGGTGTAGGCTGTCTTGTACGAGGCATAGAAGGTATGGCTATCCTTCAAATGAGCCTCCAGCTCCTTGAAGACGAACTCCATGGGGACAAGTCTTGGGTGACGACTGTATCGCGGGGCTGTGACAAGAGTTGCCGGGGCGACTGAATCTTTCCGAGGAGCAGTGTCGTCATCCAGCCAGCTGCGTCCCTGGGTTGTTGCCTTGTTTCGGGAAGACTGAGGGCGGTTTCTGTTGCTGTTGCTGCCTCGCGAGTCTGGGAGATGCTGCTCCGCAAACTCTCGCGGGAGAACGTCGTCGTGGTAGGGCGTGCGAAGGTTTCGGGAATCTCCCTGGTCATACACCACGAAGGGAATCCCAAGATGGCGGAAATCCATTTTGCACCAGGCGGGAGGGAGAAGGATAGAAATTCCCGGCAACTGATGGGAGCAGGTCTGGAGAACTGTTGATATGGGGGATAGATGTCAAAGATGCTTTAAAGGACTTGTCTTCTTTTAGAGCGACAACAGGAGATGGCCTGAGGTTAAGGAGAGGGGTATATGCTTTGCCAGATAGTCAATGTAAGGCTTTAAGGAAACTAGACTGGCTGGTCTTGGGGTGTGAGCACGTCGTTTGTTGCTATTGTGTGGATAATTTCGTCCAGTCTCTGAATAATTTGCTTCTAGGTTGAGCCAGGAAGCAACAGCTATGGGCTTGACCTGCCTACTTGAACTCCTAAGTCCTTATTTACGATGTGCTTTCTAGTTAAGCTCTTAGACAGCTACTCTTTGTAAAGTATCCTCTATTTTGAGGCTGCTCTTTATTCAAGCGGAGTTATGATAACATCGGACACTCAGACGTCTTGATCCGGAGCAGATCTGTTTGTCTATAGCTTTGCCAGCCAACCGTGACAAACAATGCACACATTTGGCAATATTTACGGCTTCTCTACTAAACTCAACAAGCGGCATCCTTCGACAAGTTCTACTGTGGAGAGTTGGCTACACATAGACTATAGAGGTATTGAACAGAACATTGAATGAAACCGTCACTTGTTCAAAGAGACGGCAGCTTGCTATTTCAATATGTTTCTTGCGAACAAGGCTAAATGCAGTGACAAACACAGCGATCACAAAAGCCTTGGGCTTGTTGAAGTCTAAATCACACCAACATATATGCACTGGTCTGGGTTTTAAGCTTGTATCATTTTACCCTGTTGAATGGGCTCTAAGAAGCACAACGGACCAAACAAACTGGCCCCGCAGAGCCAGCAGCTTTTGCATTGAAGTTTGGAAATTTCTTGCCGCAATTGAGTGGAATCAATTGGTCTTTGGATCCGGGGGTTTCGTTTGGTGTTTCAAGTCCTGTCAGGTACGTTGGTTCCGCTCTCCTTTCGGTGCCTGAGGCTAAGCAAGAGGATCTTCGCTTGGATCACACACACTCCATCAAGGTAACCAAGCTGGTTGGCAGACGTTGCACCGCACCGCACACCATCTGGTAAATGCGTAGCACAGCCTGCCCCACCTTTGGCTTCCCGTTATAGATAAGAGCGGACAGGGAAGTCTTGTGTGGCTGATGACGCTGACTTTAAACAGGTAAGTCGAGGGACTTGGAGGGGGGCTAGAGGGCCTGGTCTTCCGGGAGGGATCGCCTAAACCGCGTCCTCGGAAAACCGAGGGTGTGCCCAAAGTACGCCAAAGTACCGTCTATTCGCCCTTGTAACGTCCCTGAACATGCGCTATCGTGCGTTAGTCGAATGTGCAGGCGACGTGTGTCTTGGATTGTGTGTCTCCCGGACCACCCTCCCAGAAAGAAAACCGAGACACTGTAAGCAGAGACGGAATGCATGCTCAGCAGGCGTTGAAGATTGAGGGAAGATGATCATTGATAGAACAAGCGAGACGGTTTTCCGTGTTCAGATAATCAAGTATTCTTTGCTTGCGATCTCAGAAGAAATCCGCGTGTCAAATTGCCTGTCAATTGACAGCTCCCAAAGTCTCTCCTCTCTCTTTCGTCCGAGTTGTTGCGTACGTTGACCTTCCGCTTCTTTTAATTGGGTGCCATCGCGTACAACGACTCTCCGCTGCAATGCAGTTCCCGCGAACCAATAACAGCCAGATCTTATAGTTTGGAGGGACCATCGGCAGGCCTGCATTTCATTTTTTGCGCCGGTCCCCAGTCCAGCTTGATCAAGCGAAAAACCACATGGCTGTTGTTGCTACTATGCTGTACTAAGTGGGAATGAGGGGCGGGGTAGCAGGCGGAAGACGGGTAACGACCGGAGCTCTCTTTGGAGAATAGGAAATAAAGGCGAACTGCTGTCGTCTAACCCGGGCATGTGCTCTGTCATTTTAATTTGCCCGGGAGGGGAAGCTGGTAGTTACGGAGGACTTCGTCCCTAAGGTTGTCCTTGGAAGAGGGTGCCCGTAACAGGAGTATCTGTTAGGTTAATCTGATCTGATCTTACGTGAAAAATACAATACAACGTTGATATACGGCATACCTTGGAAGGCATATGCAGTTCTGACGATCTCTACGGTATATTGCTGTTTTGTGACTGGTCGGGAATAATCCCAAGACAACTCCAGAGAGCTGGATTGTTCAGGTATTTGAAGGTAATTCTTTAACAACCGAGGAAGTCAGAAGGTGTTCAATCATGCTAGTTCGGCCCTGCGCGTTTTTATGACCAGACTTCTTGTAACCGTCTCTTAACCACTGCTACCCATACAGCTAGGTAGTCTTGACGTGGGGATCCATCCTCCTGGATGGTTGCTTACAAAACCACTTGGACACCTGAGGGGTCATCCCGCATGCTCATAAGCTCTTTTGGAACAGAAAAAGGAAAAAGCTTCCATAGGGAAGAGGCACGAGTGGACTGGTGGAAGCTGACGTGCATCCATTCGTCCAGCCACAGACTCCGAGCATTACCTCTCACGGCCGGCGCATGCCGGGAATCGAGACATACAGACATACATGTCTTGCCCTCGACCCGGAAAGCGTGGAAGAGGATGCGGAGTGATGATGGGCATGGCGGTCCAGAGTGTGACGGGAAGTCTCGGCCGCCAGTTATCAGCAAGTGGAGGGTGGGGGGTACTACAGCTACATGAGGTGTGGAGAGGATGTATCGCGAAGTACTCGACTTTTATACATACAAGTAGATTTGAACAGCAGGTGAAGCAGGCACCTGGAGGAGAAATGGTTCCTTGCAACCTGCTTGTTTCCTTGACTGCCAGCCGAGATGTTGGGGGCACCTGGCGATGCATTTTGGAGCGGAAGATCTGCTCACACCGTACTCCACCGCAAGTTATTTTTGACATAGCGACCTTGCAACCTCGGTGGAGTTGATCGCCAATTGGGCGCGAGGGCTCGTCACATAAAGTTCGTTGTCAGCCCGGACAACCGTTCCTGGACAGATCGTAGCATAGGGCTGGGCGTCTCCCCTAGCAGCCATGACCATTTGTGGTAGACGGCGGGTGGTCTGCCTTACTGTCCTCCAGTCGCGGAAGAGGCCTTACTGCCTAGGCTGTGCTCACCTGAGCGAGTATGCCAATAAACGTGCCAAAGTCGGGCCTTTGTGTACGTGTGTGCGTGCGTTTCCTTTCCCTGGCCCCCCCGTAAGCTGATGCTGTTCCGCAAGGTGATCGAGTGTGGAGGCGAATGGGAGTACGATGTCGCACAAAGGTCATCCTGCGTCGGGCGCAGGTGTCAGGCGAGATACCGGAAGCGGCCAGCTCAGTAACCTGGTCTGCATCGTGCTCTGAGTATACTGACTGACAGTGGAACAGAGAGGCCAAAATGCAGGCCGTATCATCAGGTATCAGCCAACAGCCAACAACACACATTGAACTGTGCGAAAAGCCTAGAGCGGGAGAGGAAGGATATTGGGTAGGTAACCATTTAATGTGATATCTATGTACTCGTGCGTTCCTGCTCCTTCGTGCCTGCCGCCAACAGTCGATGTATCTGATTCATGGATGCTGTGCAGTTGCCGTCGAACTCCATGGACAGACATCAGGTAACTGCCTGTTTTAGTGGCCGGTGACTAACTCTCGGTAGCAGGCACGCCTAGCAGCCGCCATCTAAGTTGGGAAGGAACGTTTCAAGATGAACAAGATATCTCTCTTCGGGAAGGTAGACTCGCGCAAAGAAGCTGCCGACCTAGGTAATTTGCCGTAAAGCCAGATACTTACCTATGTCAATTACCATTTGTACCTTTTGCCTAGGCAATCGCGAACTCAACTCTGGAGACAACATTTCGTTATGCAAGATACAATCTACAAGGCGACCGTGCAAACCTTTGGACCCCCAACCTGACTGGAAGCGAATCCCATCACCAACGACTGTGATTGATGCAACACGAGCCGCCTATGGGGCCTTGACAATAACGAGCCTCCAATGAGGTATGCTGGCTGCTCTCAAACCTGGCTGGTGTCATAGTGAACCGCTCAGTGAAGGATATTGTATGGAGTAGAGTAGGAGCCATAGCTTGAGAGGCCAGTGTCATTGACGCAATCAGGAACGCCAGCCATCATGCCGGCAGACCAGCCGCTGGTTAATGACGGGAAAATGGGGGAAGCCACCCTTCGTTGCGCCAACCCGGCCAGTCATTCCCGGCATCTGAAGAGCCTCGAAGCCTCCGCCCTCCGAGGACCCCCAGCCCTTAATAGGATTTTACTTGCTAGCTCGCCAGCAGCGAAATATGCTATGGGGCAAAACATAATATCTGAGGTAGTAGAGCACAGCACAAGCCTCCGAATTCTCCATTGGTTCCATCTTCACGATGTCAAATCTAAAACACGCAGCAAGGGGGAGAAGGTTCTTCATTCTCCCCGTTCTTTCTCGGTCGGGATGGGGGTTGCAGGTGCAGGCGGTGCAGCCCACAACGCCAGGACTTCTTCAATACCACTGGACATTCTACTGAAACCAGTCACACGAATGGAAGTACCTCTCGCCGACCATTCTGAGCCAGCTGCCCTCCTGGGATGTCACAATGCGGTGCTTCAATGCGCAAATATCGCGATTTTTTCTGTGCTTCTCGACCAGATCATAGTTATGGCATCACTGTATGGATTTCATTTACCATTCTTTCAAATGCGAGGACTACAGACTGGCGTGACATTCCATTTCCAATGATACTTCACCGACCTTGTCTGACTATTCCACTCGATCTCGGCATTTTAGCTCTAGTAGAGCCAGCCACGCGACCTCGTCCAGGCCGGCCGGTGCGAGACTACGGGAGGTGAAAACCGTATCGTAAGCCAGTGCCAGCAGGACGGGTTGATGGACGCCAAGAGGCTTCAGCGTTGCCCACTAACAGGACAGCGCCGGCTGACTCTGCCCTTTTGGTACGAAATGACAGGCTAGCAGAAAAGGCAAAGTTCAAGCCCCAAACGATGTACCCGCGGTACCTGCTCAGCCATCATGACTGCAGGGCTCTCAAGGTTGGAATTGCCAACAGTGGATGGACGTCACTTACACAAATAGGTTTGTTTGCCTTGAGCTTGCCTCGTATTGCCTCACTTCTATTGCCGTGGGGTTTTGTTGCACATGACAAGACGCAGTACATTAGACAGGGTGATGCTGGTGATTCACCCGGGTGCAGGACTGTCATTTCCTCAGGTTCTTTCTGGAACACGCCTGATCGATCGATCCCAATTCTTGGTCCGGAGCACGCATCATCCCTCGCAATATGGCTAGCCTAATGTACGCCCAAGCCAGGCGCTGTCAGGTACATACAATCCTGCCCCAACTGGGCATAAGATCCCTAGTATCATAGTCTGAGCAGATCCGTCCGCAGCATATTGCGTATGAAGCGCATTCACGGCAATAAGCGAGTTTACGTCGGCCTTGAGATCGTCACGCCGGCCTACATTTACTACGGTATGTCCCGCAGCCGTCTCGCGCGTCCAGGCCAAGGCCCTTACGCTGGAGAGCAGGCGTGTTTCCCTCACTTTTGGCGGTTATCTCACGAGAGCCATATAATCCCTCCTTTGACTCCCCGCACCCATCTTTCCGCGGAGCGATTGTCTGTAACGCAATTGCCACAACTCATGGGAGCATTTGGAGCGACTATTCGACTTGCATATAACTCCGCCGAAGAACGAGCGGATGGAGGGATGGGTAGAAGTGAATTGACACTCATTTAGCTACAAAGTACCCTTACCGCAGGGGATCCGCTAGCGCAGCTAAGTTGGTGGTGGGGAGGGGATGAAAGTTGTACAAGTGAGCCACACTCGGCTGGCATATCCGCTCGCTGGAGGGTTGTCCATCAGTCGTGTTCACCCAAGAAACCCCTACCAATCCGAACTCAGGTGCTCGTCACCATCTCGCTGCCATCACATTTGGACCCATTCAGGGCTTGATTGCAATTCCGCCAAACACGACGGGCAAGACAGGGCAATTAAGAGAGCCTCTACAGGAGATGGACGGCCCAGTCGCCTCCCTCGCCCACTCGTTCACTCGCTTGTCTGGCAGTCTGGTCACCACCCTCTTCCTGTCTGGGACGCTACTGTAGGTAATCAGCTAATATTCAGGGTCTGGACTCTGGGGTCGTCTTGCGGCCTTTTTCCTCCTTCACTTGAACTGGCTGGACACTTCACCTGAAAAGGGCAAACCCGCCCAGGTCGCTTGCTGTTTAGATACCGCACTGAAGCAGGTGCTTCAATAGAGAAGAGGACCATTGACGAGTGCCATGCAACAGCCCGGCTGCATCTGCTCTGCTGGTCACCCGTGGATCCCTGACCCCTGTCGTCTGTCTCAAGTACCTTGAGGTATCGCGGACCCCGGCCCCCAGCTCGACCAAGACAGGACGGGGAGCCCATTCTGGCTGGCTGTTTTTGCTGGCCTGGCTGGTGAGCCACTCTCAGTCCACGCACGCGCTCGCTCACTCAGTCCCTCTCAGCAGTCAGTGACAGTCCAGTCAGTCACTTTCTGGCCCTGGCTTCCTGTCATACCATCATCCATCTTATCTTCTGCCTTGCAATGAGTGAACGAATGTACTTTGGGAACAGAGGAGAGGTGGGCTTAGCGGGTGCCCGCCAATATCCATTACTTTAGTCTACCGTAGGTACGTAGTATGGGAGAGTAGGTAGGTAGGCTAGAGTTACATACCAAAGTTCCGCATCTTCTGTGTCGCCTGAAGTATCACCCAATGCTGAAACTGAGGGCGAGGTACATGCAAGCCGGGCCCTTACCCATTCATCGGAACCTTGGAACCTTCTACCTTGCCCGCCCGCCGCTGGGGCCCTGCAACCACTTCACTTCGCCCACTTTGTCTGCAGCACAGCAGAGTACTGTACCTAAGGTACTGTAGGTACCTCTGCGCTGCACTGGGCACACCCGCACCTTGCTTTGCCTTGCCTTACCTTACCTCACAAGAGTTTAGTCTGGCGGTGGCCCTCACTCACTCGCCCGGCGTCCGTTCATTGTGCCTCTCTTGCACCGGCTTCCGCTCCTGACCTTCTTTCTTCGCTTCCTTCTCTATCCAAGTACGTCTTTACGTGCTTGCTTCGTGCAAAGAACTCGTCACCTCGTCTCTTTGCTCTGCCGGGCCGTATTCTTTGTCTCTTCACATCGTCAACTACCTACCTTACCGTTGTAACCGAGACATCTGCCCTGCTCTCCCTTATAGCTGGAGCGACGACCACTAGGCGGCACTAACGATGGGATGCCCGCATCCTCGGAACCGCTACCTGCAGTGCGTTGCTTAGGCATAGACGACGTCGAGTTCGCTCAAGACCTTTGACTCTCCCACGATCCTCCTCGATACCACATACCATAGAAGACAAATTAGACAAAGGAGGGGGAAAAAGCTTCCTCGGTGCTTCTGTCGGAAATAACTCGTCAACAGACCCTCTGGCGAGGGCTGTTCGAATTGCCGATTTGGAGTGCTGCTATTGAGTTGGTCATCCGCCATCACCATGGTGCTCAGTATTCCCGACTCCGGCCTCCAGCTGGAGAGCTCGGCCAAGGCCGCAGCCGCTCTCCCGCTTCAGGCTTTTGCCCTCACATTGAGCGACAGTGTGATTGAGGATATGATAAATTGCGTGCAAAATGGCCAGGATATCCAATTGTCCCTTGGGGGCAGCCCTGTAAGTCAAAATCCCACGAGTTCTTCTCTATTGAACGCCGCGATGCTATTGTTCCGCGACTACAATACCCTCAATAAGCTTGCACCACCAGCAATCAATTGCTATTGTTCTACAATAGCAAATATTTACTGCCTTTTACTTTGGAGGCAGATGCCCAACTTCAAACCGCCTCAATACTCTTCCCGAATCTTTTTTACTTACAAACCCATCGTTATAGACATTGCTCTACGGATCGAGCACCCACCACCTCTCTCCCAGCCTCGATACCTCTGCGTTCGACCTCTACTTTACAGACCCCTCAGAATCCTCCCGCAAAGCCGAGCGGCTACCGAATCCCACGATGTCGATTTTTAGGAAGCCGGAGTTCAAGCACAGGATAAAGCAGCAAGCACCCAGAGTGGTGACCGTCGGGGGGCCCAAGAAGGTCTCCAATGGACTCGACAAGGACATCGAAGCGCTCCAGAGCTCGCTGGCAGCACACAATGCTGAGAAGCTCGAGAATGCGTATGGCTGTCTGCGGCGCTTGGCAAACTGGACTCGACTAACTTGGACTATAGGACTCGGGTCATAGATGCACAAATCTCTACGAAGCGCGGCGGAATGAAGGGCGGCAAGGCCGCCAGCAAGAGCAAGCTGCTGCCGGCGGGCAAGAGCGCCATGGCTGCGGCCATGTCTTCTGCTATCACCAGATCTGTACCCTCAAGCCCAGCTCTCAGCGGCGTGGGCTCTCCCTCACTTGGACCGTCCCTGTCCGCGTCCCAGCAAGCGTCCCAACAGGCGAAGGAGCAGCGGTCGCCCATTGTGCATGAGCTAGCTGTCAAGGAGCGTTCGTATGATGAGCTGTGGAAGCAGTGGCCAGGTGACTCGGAGAAGGACTTCAAGACCGCTTTGGATAAGGTCGCCGACTTTGACGACCGCTTGCAGAAGTATGTGATGAAGAAAATCTACTGGAAGGAGTTGGACGTCTACAAGTACAAGTACTCCAGCGGCGAGCAGAGAAAGCAAGCCATCGACAATGCTATCAAGCAGTTTGACAAGATGAGACTTGGCGAGACGGAGCCGGAGTGGCAGAAGCTCCTGCCCAAAGAGGAGAGAGGCAAGGGAAAGTGCCTGAGCAAGCTACAGGCCGTCATTGCAAAGGGTCCCCCGCAACCGCCGGTGAAGGCCCCGAAGATCACAGTGCAGGACGCGGAGGACTCCAGTGCAGGGTCTTCGAAGAACGGAGACAGCGACGAGAAGAAGAAGAGTGCTGCAAAGGGAGGCGCAGCCATGGAGCGATCTTCATCACAACCCATACAGGCTAAGGCGAAGAAGGTCAGCGAGCGCGAGGCGCAGGCAAAGAGGCTTCTGTCCAACTCAAAGAAGCCAGCTGCGCCAAAGGTTTCTCCAACAAAGGCTTCAGCGAAGGGCGGAAAGCCGCGGATCCTGTCCAAAGAGTTCATCTCGGACTCGGACGACTCATCTTCTGAGGAGGCACCGCTGTCAACTACTGTACCGAAATCTAAACCTGTAGTCGAGAAGGCTAGGGATACACCACCGCCGAAGCCCAAGCCCCTTCCTCGTAAGGAGATCACCAAGCCACAGGTGACGGCACTACCACCCAAACCACCGAAACCATCCAAACCTGTCAAGCGACCGATCGAGGATGATGACAGCAGCTCCAGCTCGGGCACACCCCTGAGCAAGCGCTTTAAGGGTCGCGAGATCAAAGCGGCGCCGCCCGTTCAGAAGCCGCACCGTACATCGGACGTCTCTCAGGGTTCGCGCGCTACCAGTTCTGGCATGTCATTCGCCGGCAATGGCAAGTCTAAAAACACATCACCTACCAAGTCCTCACCACTGGCCTCATCGCCGCCGACGAACGCCAGCGACCTGGAGCAGAATGAGCCGCCTATCAACAACAAGAAGCGGAAGGCGGACCACGAGCGTGAGCGCGAGGCCGAGGCCAAGGCAGCCAGCAAGCGGCAGCGCCTGAGCCAGGACCTGATGAGCAAGGCGTACAAGTTCAAGGTGTTCTACCAGAAGTACGAGGCGCTGCACAAGGAGATTGTCGGCCAGGAGAACCCGCCGGAGCACAAGATGATGGACCTCCTGGAGATGCGGGAGCGACTGCAGACGATGAAGACCGAGATCTACCGCGAGATACCCCCGGAGCACTGAGAGTGGAGGAGAGAGATATTGATGCTTGGGACGGGAGATGCTTGCTAAATGATGGACGGAGAGAGATTTGATGACAGATGAATGAGAACGTCCATGGCGGACTGACTAGTTTGAGGGAAAGTATTTTGATTTGCATTTGAAAAACCAAAAAGGGTTAAGCACAGGGTCATTGGCATCACAGGGCACCAAATCGGTCTGCATTGAGGGGATTTAGGGGGTTTGTAAATGGCAGGCACAGCACAGCGTGATTTTTGACAGTCAGTCACGATACCAGGACACACCAATGAATAAATAAAAAGAAATCAATATCAATCAAAACATTGCTTCTCATGTGAACCTATCTGTAACCGAATAATACGATACAAGCGTTGTAGAGTCACTCAGCCTCGATGCCACGTATGGGCTTCGTAAGCAAGATATCTACATCTGGAACGCCTTGCTTTGGTGGTCTGTCTGGAGTACGAAGCAACTGCATGTTACTGTCTCTTCTTATGACTCGTACCTGACTCTTCTGTGACTTTTTCCTGAGGATACTGGAAAGTTACTGTCAGAGCTCTTCGGACCCCAACCCAGCCGTTCACATTCCTCGGCAGCAGCCGGGCCGGGGAGGCCAGAGATCTCGATCTCCCTCGAGGAGAGAGTCGTCCGATAGGGCTCCACTTGGAGCCGGGGCGGGAATGGCCTAGAAAAGAATGCAATTTCCAGCGCAGGAACTATCGCAGCTTCTTGTCTCACGTCCCGGGGACCCGAGAGGTCGGGAGAGAGCTGCACCCAATCCAGCGCGGGTTCGGGGAGACGAGCCCAGGAGGCTAGGGATGCAGGTTGTGCCCAATGAGGAGATACGCTCCGTGCGAAACCGGTAGTGGTTCGCTATATGGGCAAAGAACTTATATAGTCGTGTCTTATTGCAGCTGCGTCGGAGAGACACCGTCCTCCTATTCACTGTAGCAATGTCTCGGGGAGGTGGAAAGGGGGGCTCGACTGTCAAGTAAGCTCCCTGGCCTAGAATCAAACAACCAACAACTCTCTCCTCGATCCTCACAAAGGCCACTGACGTAAGGGTTTGGAGCAGTGGCTTCCTGGTGGCGTAGCGGCGTGAAAGGAGCGCTTTTTCGTTATGAATTTCTTGCTGTAGGAGAACCAGACTAACGTATACGCGACCTCACATTCCTCAGCTATGGTGGTGGATAACTGATAGTAACCTGCCGCCTTTTCTTCCCAGAGATCCCCGTCACATAAAAATCGTACCCGTTTGACCCAGACTCGTCCAGACTCCAGGGCTTTGCTAGCAGTGAAGAGCAGCCAATCAACTTGGAGGTAATCAGTTCCCTCCATGACTTCGCTTATTGGGTCTTGAATAGGAGGATGGCGCAGTGGCCAAGGTAGAAGTAGATGAAGTGCTTAGTTTCTGGAGCGCGGGAGAAACAAAACGTTAGCCGTTCGCAAGTCTTCAGAGTATGGTAACATGGCGGTTTTCATACCATGAGTGACGAAGCTACCAAAGTTACGGCCGACAATGCAGTGCCATGTGGGACCCTTGCGCTCATCGAACGTCCTCTTGATGTGCTGTGCAATATCCTAGAAGGAGTATTAGCCCCTCCACATTCGCGAAGGTCCATGGGAACACCACGGGGAACGAACCTTCTCGATCGTGAACTTGGCCATCGCCTCCTGAGCAACGTCAATTGCTTCCGCCTGCATATCTTCCGTCTGAATAGTTGTCAATTATTGTCCACAAGGAGACCACATAGATGTCTCACCATATCTGCCGACTTGATCTGGGCTGTAATGCACGGTAGGTTAGCTATAGGTTGTCTCCTCAGAAGGCAAGCATGTTGCTCTACACACCCTCTAGCTTCTCACGTGGGGCAGGAGAGCCTGATGACTGCTTGACATCCGCCATTTTGTGTTCGGGTTCTGCGAGATGTTGACTTCGTTATGTAAATGACACTCTCGTAGCGTTGAAAAGGCACGCGCTGCGACGAAGACTGGCCGTTAGCGATGGAGTGCTGCGGCTGATGCGCCGTCTGAACGATAGCCTGCTCTGGGGATCCGCCGGATGCGACTTATGGTTTATCTTACCTGTGACAAGGAAAAGGAATAAGACACTGAACGCTGGATACAGGGCTGTTGGCGGGCGGTGGAGAGGTTCGATGCAGTCCGAATAGGGGTATTTCGCGATGTTCGTGCGTATTGGGAACCAACAGTCGCGTATGTTTTGGCGGATCAACGTCCAAAAGGGTCGCCGTCACTTTTGGAGACTGCACGGACCCCAACGTGGGGGAAGACGAAGACAGGCGGTTCCACTTTCTACTTCAAGATCACGTGGTGATAAGAGATAGAGCAGGAAATTTTCTAGCAGCGGGACACCGAAATTTAAAGGGACCTCAAGATGTGCAAAGACTTTTGACACTCGATCTTCAGAACGAAGACATAACCTACCACCATGCCATATTGTTGATCGACTTTGAAAGCTTGTCCAGTAATACCTGGCAAGATGGAGGCATCAAGAGTGTTCGTCAAGAATCTACCACCTACCCTCACAGAGGCAGACTTTCGGAGGCACTTCTCCTCCAATGGCAAAGGCCAGGAAATCACAGACGTCAAGCTGATCTCGAAGCGACGGATCGGCTACATCGGCTACAAATCCCCTCAGGACGCCGCCAAGGCAGTCAAGTACTTCAACAGGTCATACATACGTTTGTCTAGGATCTCTGTGGAGCCAGCAAAGACCGTAGGTGTACCCTTCAGCTGTGCTAGATTCGATACGGATGCTGATGTGCTCTCTCTAGATCTCAGACCCCTCTCTACCGAACGCAAGAAGGGCGAGATATGACGATGTCGGTGTGCCTACACAGGCGCTGGAGCCTAAGAGAGAGGAGGCCACCTCAGATCAACAGCCCAAAAAGAGGAAGCGTGAGGACTTAGACGAGTCCGATAAGAAACTAAAAGAATACCTTGAGGTCATGAAAACTGGTCAGGTCTCCTCAAACAAGCTTGAGGGAATAATGGACCCGGGCCAGCCGGACGTGGGCAAGGAGGAGCCGGCTCTTCAGATTGAGGCAGAGAGCGACGATGAATATGAAACGATACCAACTAGACCAGCAAAGAAGCCGAGGGAAGCGACTGAAGGGAGAGAAGCGGAGCCGGCTACACAAGATCTCCGGGTGGCGGACGTTGTCAAAGGTCAGGACCCTCCGACTCTTCCAGAGGCATCGAGGCCAACAGCAGATGTGAATGCCACGGATGACGACTGGCTGAGATCCCGGACCAATAGGCTGCTGGATCTCGTGGACCCTGATGATCCTGAGGTTGCTGTTAAGCAGCAGAGCAGTCAAGTTGTGCCAAAGCAAGGCAGTCAAGACATACCGGCGGACGGATCTCCTGTTTCACCTGGGGTTGTTGATCAAGATGTCGTTGAAGATCATGAGGAGCAACCGGCGCATCATGTCGATCAGGATAGTGCTGTGGACACAATCCGGGGGACCGCAAGGCTGTTCCTTAGGAATCTTCCCTACAGCGCTACGGAAGAGGACCTCAGAAGCCATTTCGAGACCTTCGGCGAGGTGAAAGAGGTAAGACCGTCTCATTTCCCTTACCCACTCCCCCTTGAGATTTTACATGTCATGATGAACCCCTGATAGGGACAGCTTATACCGATTGGTAATTGATGAGAAGCTGGGCACAGTATTTTAGTAGATGCTTCGTGTTTCTGACACACATGTACCCGACTACTTCTGTTTCTTATACAGCTTGTTGCCATAGCCTTCTTGCTAATCCACACTAGGTTCACTTACCTGTTAGTAGCTCTGGTGCGAGCAAGGGCTACGCGTTGATTCAGTATTCTGAACCATCATCTGCCGTCACAGCATTCCAAACAACAGATGGGACGACTTTCCAAGGCCGACTGCTCCACATTTTGCCTGCGGCCCCGAAAAAGGAGCTCGCTGTGGACGAGTTTGCAATTTCCAAACTGCCTCTCAAGAAACAGAACCTGATCAAAAAGCGGGCAGAGGCGGCGTCGACCACCTTCAACTGGAATTCCCTGTACATGAGTCAAGACGCTGTCGTAGCATCGACCGCAGCCCGACTAGGAGTGTCTAAGAGCGATCTACTTGATCCCACTTCCGCGGACGCAGCCGTGAAGCAGGCCATTGCGGAGACCTCGGTCATCCAGGAGACGAAGGCTTACTTCGCTGCTCATGGCGTTGATCTTGACGCGTTCAAGTCTCAGAAGAAGGGGGACACAGCTATACTCGTAAAGAATTTCCCCTTTGGAACAACCATCGATGAGCTGAGAAAGCTTTTTGAAGAGCATGGCACTGTATTACAGGTGTTGATGCCTCCTAGCAAGACAATTGCTATTGTGCAATTTTCCCAACCAGCACATGCAAAGGCGGCATTTGCGAAACTAGCGTATCGTCGGGTCAAGGACTCGGTCTTGTTTCTCGAGAAGGCGCCAAGGAAGCTGTTTGGAGACCAAAAGCCTCCGCAGCCACAGGCGCAGGTGTCAGACGATCGCCCCGCTCAAAAGGTCTCTGTTGCAGAACTGCTGGAACGTGATGACAACTACGATCAGCTTGATACTACATCTCTATTCGTCCGTAACCTGGCCTTTGCCACTACTACAGAACAGGTAAGTTGCTTAACTATGCTAGCTCGTATCTTGGATCTTTTGAAGCTAACAGCTAGAAGCTGGCCGAGACCTTCAAATCCCTTGATGGCTTCGTAGCTGCTCGTGTTAAGACGAAGAAGGATCCGAAGCGACCGGGCCAGATCCTCAGCATGGGCTTCGGCTTTGTCGAGTTCAAAACTAAGGATCAGGCCTTGGCTGCACTGAAGGTCATGGATGGCTACGATCTTGAGGGGCATACTCTTGTAGTAAAGGCGTCTCACAAGGGACTCGATGCCGCGGAGGAGCGGCGCCGAGAAGATAATGCTAAGAAGGCGGCGGGACAGAGGACAAAGATCGTCATTAAGAATCTCCCCTTCCAGGCGTCCAAGAAGGACGTTCGGACCTTGTTCGGGACGTACGGGCAATTACGCGCTGTCCGCGTTCCAAAGAAATTCGGCAACTCGTCCCGGGGATTTGCCTTTGCGGAGTTTGTTACTCCTAGAGAGGCGGAGAACGCGCTGAACGCGCTCAAAGATACCCATCTGCTTGGTCGCAGGCTCGTATTAGACTACGCTGAGGCCGAGGCTATTGACCCTGAGGAGGAAATTGAGAAAATGCAGAAGAAGATCGGAGGGCAGGCCAATAAGATGGCCCTGCAGCAGCTCACAGGGAGAGGGCGACAAAAGGTCAATATTGGCGATAGCAACGAAGACGAGGTATGAATTTGATGAAGATTCAAATGTATTGATTATTTAGGCCGTCCAATGTGCGTGTGGCCCTTTAGAGAGGGCGGCGCGTTGCCAATTTTGTCTCGGCAGCCCTTGCTAGGAGACTCTTCCCTGCGAACCTGTTCAGCAACACTTGATGCGATTTGGCCCCACCTGATCTCAGCCTCCTCCCTGGGCAGAGGCTCCTTCAGAACTTAAGCTAGCTTATGTGTGAGTTTAATCTCATTGCATGCCTGCGCGCTCGGGGTCAATGGACGCGAAAGAGACAACATCGCCACTGATTTCTGGGGAGCTTGTCCGCACTGGACCTGCGATCTCGAACATCACAGCCCTTCATTCCAGTTGAATCGTGCGAGCGGAGCGGATAGCGAAAATCTTCAGAGCTGTCACCTCATGCATGTACCAGTGTACATGCGATGCACCACCCGAGAGAGGCAGTGGCGTTTTCTCCAGAGGCGTCTTTTGGTCTTAGCTCGCTGGAGACGCCCTCGGTCTGTCGCCCTGGGCTATGCGTTGCAGAACTAGGATGCAATCTACCGAAGATCTAAGGCGATCCCTGGTATCAATGTATCATGGGGACGATGTTGGCCTAGGGGCCACTATATACCCTTCGCTCCTTGAAAACAATGCTCCTTCGATCCGGTCAACATATTTGATCCCAAGCTCGCGCCTCGATGTCATTCCTTTCAACATTTCTTACAACTCGTGTTCACCTGTATCGAGCGTTCCTCGATAGGCCTTGAGGCATCCAGTATCATTCTTGACGTTCTCGTCAGGCATTTGTCACTCCTTTAAACTTTTTCATTCTTTGCCTTCACGAAAATGGATCTCGCCCACCAGGTGCTGCCTTCCCAAAGGTATTCGCCTTCAAGAGCTTATTCTTATGACGCCCGTCATGAAGTCTCTAGTATCCGGCAGCCGCTGCGAGAGTCTACTGGCAATGCTCAGCATCAGAGCCTGGGCTCGCTAGACCTCTGCTCACAAGGCCTCACTGGCATCCCTACACTCCCTTCATCAATCCCAACACCTCCCATCGTCCCTACACAGTCACTCGGCTCTCCTTATGGCTCGGCCGCCTCAGGGCTCAGGCTGCGCCGGCAGCAGCTCCGCGTCCAGAAGAGGAGCAGGCGTGGCGTCAACCCCATCTATCTCTCTCCCGAGTTCAAGCAGTATAGACTCAGGCAGGCAGAGAAGGATGCACAGATCTGGCCTGATGTGCTGGAAGAAGCTTTCTTGGATGGTGTGTTTAACTCAAACTCACGTAGACTTATCACATTGCACACATTAACACACGCCTATAGCTCTCCTTCTAGTCCCTCACATGGGTCGTCGCAAGTTCTCTATGCGTGACCGGGAGACCGGTTCCATGCAATTGTTCGGGCGTAACATGCTCATCAGTGAGTATCTGTGGATTGCTTACTGCAACTCCCTGCCTCCTGGTGCAACACCGGAGAAAGAGAAAATGTGGAGGCACCGCAAGCAGGTCTCATCTCACATTCAGGTGCTTAAGGGCTTCTTCCTGCACCATCGATGCTGTAAGTTTATTTTAGCCTCCCGGTGATCTGCAGGCACCACTGCTGCTTGCGGAAAATAACCGTTAGATGTAATTTGTGTGTGCAAGGGCTGACAGTTGAATTACCCCAGATCACTTCTTTTTTGGAAAGGAAGAGAAGGAAAACGCCAAGCCGAGCAAGGACAAGATCGGTGCGGAGTCCTTCAAGACTAACCCAGTCCTAGTGGCTCTATCGCAGGGCCGGCTCCCTGAGGTGCGGCCTAACTACGACTATTTGGCTCAGCTCCTTGCTTCAGACTCCCTTGTCACTGTCAGGCCTAAAACCTGCTGGATTTATGTGTTCAACAAGAAGATCAGAGATGATGTTGAAGGCCTCTCAGAGTCAAAGACCTACCATGAGACCGAAGGAGTGCTCGATAAGGCCGACTTCCCTCACCGATACAAGTTCCTGTCCGGAGTGGAGAACTGGGCCGGGCGGGAGAAGGATGATCGCTCCATCCGCGGCACGCTACTGCATGAATACACGTGGAACATGAAGCAGGTGGAGTCGTCCTGTGTCCGTGATGTCTCCCAGGACTGGGAGCGAGATTTCCCCAAGCTCAATGAGCTGCTCGAGACGGCCAGCCAGGACACCCGCTGCGACATTCTGCACATGCACGTCAGGCTTGACCTGCATACCGTTGCCCGACTTCCGGAAGCCAGCGGTCTCAGCTGCCTCGTCAAGATCACAATTGCCCAGCCGGCCCTCCAAGGTCACCGCTGGCGAGTACTTACACGGCTCGCCCGACCGCCTGAGCTGTGCAATGCAGGAGAGCCTGCGCTGCTCACGACTGGTACTGACATTGGTGAGATCTTCCAGCACAAGCCGGGCTGTGATGACGAGAACCCGAACTGCGACTGTCGCCACGATCCCAGCCGCCGCCGTGGAGATGCCTGCCGTATTCCTTTCCCGGCACACGAGTGGGCGAGCACACTGGCGCTCTTCGCTCACTACCCGGCGTACCCGGCTCCGCAGGGCAGCCGGTCGAAGCGGGCCATCAAGCGTGAAGACGAGGATGGCGCGAGCGGTGATGAAGTGACGCAGATGGAGCTTGTGAAGCAGATTGCCATGTTCCAGGAGCTGTGGTCTTGCCCTCCTGGCGCAACCGGAAACGACCGCCAGGGGTGGACACGACGAGCGGTCCTGCTTTGGACGTTTGAGACAACGCACGCTTGGAAGGATGGAAAGCACGATGAGGTTGTTGTGCAAAGCCCAGGCACTGACTGGCGCTTCTTGACAGCCGTTGACCCCCAGAGCCCTAGCCACTTGCAGCAGATGATTGTCAGCCCAACATCGAACCCTCTGTCAAGAGACAATGTGATGTCGCCAACGCCGGATTACCACCAGCATCTGAGCGCTGCTATGAGCGAGAATCTCAACTCAGCGTGGGACTCTGCCTGGGCAGGCGGCGATGGCTCTCACCACCCAACGACTGTTGGTCCCTATGGTCACTCCATCAGTGTCTTGGACTCCTACCACAACGGACTCGCAACACCACCACCAACCGCAGCGCTGAGGTCCTCGTACGGAACTGACACGACGAGCTACGATGTGAACGGCGTCGGTGTCCACGGCCACCACGACCTCGAGAACCAGGAACTCAACTACCTCGCCGCCACGGGTGCGGGCAGCCGGGCGTCGATCATGGCCGAAAGCAGCTCCGTCGGCACCGACACTTACCTCTCCGCGGCGCCGGGGACGATCGGCGTGTACGACGACGTGCAAGCCTGGGACGGCATGAACCTCGGCGACATGTCCCAGCAGAGCTGGGCCGGCGGGTACGCGCAGCAGCCGAGCGCCACGCTCGACTGGCACCACGGGCTCGCTCCGGGGGGAGGAGACGACAGCCAGGAGGCGAAGGCGCCGCCGGCGCACATGGAGCAGTGGGCGGGCCCGTCGACGACGCCCAGCCCGGGTGGCAGCCAGCATCATCACCATTCGCAACAACAACAGCAACAACAACAGCAGCAGCAACAGCAGCAGCAGGCCTGGAACCAGCAGCAGAGCTGGATGCCGCCGCCACCGCCGAGCCAGCATTCGACGGGCGGCAACGGCGGCTGGGACGAGAACAGCATGCCTCCGGGCCCGTCGGGTCTCAGCCCGCTCACCAACAACAGGAAGAGGCGAGCGGATGCCATTGAGGACGCGGAGAACTACCCGCTCACGGCGGTCCCGAAGTTGGGGCCGTCCTGGGACCGGTATTCATACCCCGGCCGCCCGCCGCTGGTCAGACAGGGGAGGACGCAGTAGAGAGGAGTAAAGTACACGCAGACATCGGGAGGACGAGCAGCAATATCAAGATACCCCATACACTAGGACTATTTACGAACAGGCTCGACTCCTTGGTTTCAAAGACTTGAGGAATGATAAGGAGGATCAAAAGGGTTAGGGTGGGGAGGCGTTTAGGGTCAAGGTCAGGGGGTCTCTGCAGGATGAAACTTATGTATAGACGATTGCGTCTCACGGTTCTACGATTTAATGTGCCACTAGGCGTTACGAGTTAATTAATGTTTTGGCCTTATGTCTTCATGGCTTCACCTTCGTGGATGGCTGATGTATGAATAACAAATTTCAACCACGCATTCTTAGTGCCCGAGCAAATATCTGTGAGAATTACTCGCTCTTCGTCCCAACGGACATACCAGCCTTTGAAGAAATCATTTGGAGAGCACTTAAGACTAGGTCAAACCTCACCCTCCCCTCAACCATGGATCAGACGAGATAATTGGCAGGTGTATTATCGTGTTAGACCAATGAGTTGAGAAAAGGAGTTGGCGCCACGGAGCCGCGCTCGCCATGCCAAAATGTGAAACCAAGTTTCTAGAGCCTTGTTGAGTAATATATTGTTCGTAGTGGATGTGATTGTTCTCACTTCGGGAAGTGGTGTCAAAAACGTCGCCCCTGTTCTTGTTGCTCCGCTCCCCCTATTGTCTATCCGGAGGCGATGTAGAGACAGTTTAGACATCGGATGGTGATCTTCAGATGTGCGTGCCAAGAGAAACGAAATGCCGACCTTGTACAGTGGAGAATAAGCTCCATCTGTAGGAGAGATATCTGCAGATTTTCTTGCGACACTTGACCTATCGACAAGCGGGTTGGATAGAGTGGCACAGACACGGCGTGAAACGAAGAGAGCCAGTGTTTCACAAAGGTAGGGACAGAACCAGACCCATGCAGCGACGCGCAAGCAGAGCAAACAACGCAGCTTTCTCTAGCAGAACCGCTTAAGTCGGCATGCCGATTTCTATAGTCTGTATATCACTGCAATGGATCCATTTTGAAGAACGGAGACAAGACCATTTTTAGTAATAAGAGCCTGGGGATGATGTCGAGATAGGATGAAACACTGGTCGCGATGGAGTTGAACCCACAAGTCGGACTTACAATACACCTGCAGCCAAAGACCTCCGGAAAGAGAAGAACACGATTAAAAGGCAGCAGAACGACTGCCAGAAGGAGCACAATCAGCTTACATTAAGTGCAACCGTAAATGCGAAAGATTGAGGATATCTGGTACGGGTGTAAGTGTTCCCTTTAGCCGTAGTTGCCACACTCGATGCCGTGTTGGAGATCACACGCCGGAGAAAGCACCCCAGGGTTATGCTTGCAAAGAAAAGGGCCAAGATGTACAGACGATGAGACACGAGATCCCTGCGCCCATCATGTGGAGCGCCAGAGAATCTGCACGTGTAATGGCTGACAGAATAGGAGAGATTTGAGAAACACAATAAGCTTACCGTCTTTGGACGAACGACAATTCATGCGCAAACGTGAATGCTGTTTCAACGATACCATACCTGCCCAGGACATCTTTAGAGGGCGGCAATCACCAACCCAATGCCATATCATGGCAGAAGCGCAGAGAGGTGGTGAGTGATTAAGCGATGTCGTACAACCATCAAGATGAGGATGCCTTTCCTTGGATGCAGGCGAGATGAGGGTGGACACTGGCGATATATTTATTTACGGCTGCGGCAAAGAGGCGCCAAATGGGTCCTATCAAGGATGCGATCGTGAGGGTACAAGTCTGGTGGTGCGGCGAATGCCTGTGATATTTTCCTTGGAAGGTGCCACCGAGAGAAGCTGCTAGGCGCCGCACTTGCGGTTGCACGCGAGCGAATAATTGGCGGGGCCCGTCTGCTGCATGTAACGGGCAGGCACGCACACCTTTCTTGGCAGGCACGACTTGGAGCGAAGCAAGCGAAGCAAGCGAAGGCCGCGGCCTTTCTCGACTGTGCAGCGCATGAACTCGTCGACTGGACCAGATGCATCGAGGGGCAAAATGAGGGGGGCTAGGGCTATCTTGCGACCAGTTCAATCCAGTGCGACTCCAATTCGCTCAGTAATTGACAATCAATAGCAGCAGCAATAGAAGATCAATAGCGAGCAACGGCAGGGACCAGCACTTGGACCACCTGCCAGGGGCTGGTTCAGGCTGGTTCAGGCTGGCCAACCCTGTAAGTTCTGTGGTGTCGTCCCAGCCCCTTGTTCCCATCTTTGTTCCAGATTCTCACCTGCAGACTTCCCCTTGTCCCCAGAAGTACCTCTCCACATGATTTACTATGCGTGGTGACCTCCAGCCACCATCGCTTGGCATTCCATGCCCGGGAACGGTCGGCGAGGAAAGGGCCCAAGCCACCCCTGGCGAGGAAGGAGCCTCCCATGCCTCCCATGCCTCCCCCGCTGTATCCACTGTAAACGGGAGGCTCTTATCCACTCCCGCCCAACCCTCTAGGGACATCTGGGACTGCTGCCAGCGTATCAAAGCCCCTGGCGACTTCTCGAGTACACCTGAACCCTGCCCCACCGGCAGGAAGAGCCGCCCACCTCCCAACGTCGGACCCGCCCAGACACTGAATGGAGGAGAGTCCTCCTCTGTCAGACAGGCATGGCTCACATGGGAAACATCCAGACGCTGAGGGCCAGGGATTTCCATTCTGCCATGGGCTTTTCACGTCTTTGCCTGTAGCTGCGCTGCCCAAACACGACGACCCTGGATGTGCAATTCTGCCGGCATCTGAGTGGCTGCCACATGCGACGCCGACATGCCTGCACCATCTGGTCGCCAGCTGGGGGAGGGGCCGTTGATCCTTGTTCCATGTCCATGCCCTTGTTCTTTTCCCTGTGTCGAGCTATCGTGCTATCGTGAGCGTTGTGAGGCAGACGATAACCGTTCGCTCGCATGGCCGTGATTCCATTGAGGCGACGGAAGCTAAGAATCTCAGGCTGCTAGGTAGGTGGAAATACCTCGAGACGGACAAGGACAAGGAGGCTCCAGACAACGGCCATGGGGCCACCACCCATCCTTTGTTCTCGTGCTCTCATTGTTCATGTTCATTGTGAAGGTATTGTTCGTATCAACCCTTGCCGTCCCATCAATATCTCGTCGATCATCTCACACACCCTTTCTTCCGGGTCTCCTGCTTTCCACAACTACTAGATACTCCTGTATGCGTGGATCGAGTGACTCCCGTGCCGCTGCCTTTCAAGCACTCCAGACTTTGACTACTTGATCCTCGCCCACCCCCGTCTTGTTTGTTTCTTCTCCCACTCACCTAACATCTCTGTCTCCTTCACCTCTTACGGTATTTGCGCTTGTTTGATTGACGCCTGCGCGTGTCCGTCTCCATCGCCGCACCGGCACAGGAAACCTCACCTCTTGGCGACCAACTGTGCGACCACTCATCTCCGACTCACCATCTCGCCTCACCTCACCTCTACTCACCTCACACCACGGACGCTGAGTATCATTCGACTATCTCACGACCTTCGTTCCCGTGACTCATTTACCACCTTCTAATCAAAGGAAGCGACCTAGGCGGTCGAGTGGGCCTTGTTCTCGGTCGTTGCCTTCATTCATTCACAATGAGATTGTAGTCAAAGAAGAACACCCCCCTTCCTTTCTCTTCTTGATTCAGCAGGCCTGACAATACACGCTGCGCGTCTTTTGTCTTTTTTGAACAATTGTTTTTGTTCTTGACCAAGCGTCAAGACAGTCCTCTCATTTTTCCCTCGATTATCTACATTGATATCCGCACGACGATCGCTGTCTTGAAAACTGCCCCGACGTGGAATTCTCCAACCTACCTATATCCGCCAACCACCGCAGCATCTCCACACTGACATCAACATCAACAACAACAATTCGATTCATATCGATAGAAAAAAAAAATATAACTGCTCGCTTGGCAGTGCGAGAATATTCTCATCCGAATCACGGATTCTTTTTTCACAATCATTTTCAACAGTCTTACTGTACTCCCGAGAGAAAATGAAGACTTCAAGAATGGGAAAGAGCGCCATGGCGGCCGTAGTACTTGCCTTAGCGCATACCACTTCTGCCCACACCTGGGTCGAGCAACTCATGCGCATCGCGTCGAACGGAACCCTTGTGGGAGAGCCTGGATTTATCCGCAGCTACACTCCCCGAACCGATCCTGCCTTCCACGACAGTGAGATGAGCTACCTCATCCCCCCCAATGGCAGGCCTACTGGAAATAAGATTCTCGAGACCGATAACATCTGCCATCCCTCACAGACCGTTGGCACTCAGAGCGCAGGATTTCCCGTGCTAACAACGGCGCCTGGAGATTTCATCTCTCTACGCTACCTCGAGAATGGCCATGTCTCACTTCCACAAAACCAGAAGGGCAAGCCCCTGAATCGTGGCACAATGTACATCTACGGCACCGACCAGGCGACGAACAACGACACGCTACTTGCCATCCACAAGGTGTGGACGCCAGATGGTCAAGGTGGTGACAAGAGAGGTCGCCTGCTTGCGACAAGGAACTACGATGACAACCAGTGCTATCAAGTCAACGGGGGCGAGATCTCTACGGAGCGACAGAAGGAGTTCTTCAATAATAACGAAGAGCTCTGGTGCCAAGCAGACATCCAGCTCCCCAGCGATCTCAAGGTTGGCTCAACTTACACCCTGTACTGGGTCTGGGATTGGCCGACCTTCAGCACGGATGATGTGCCGACAAGCGAGTCCAACGGGACCATCACGCTCACCGAGATGTACACCTCGTGTGCCGACATTTCTCTTGTTGATCCCTGCAGCATCGACAGCCCTGCATGTGCTGGTATTAATGGTACCAAATCGGCGCTCACTCTTGCGAGTCTTGCGAACACGTTCGTCAAGGGTCAGCCGTACCAGGAGTCGGCTATCCTGAGCCAGCTCGAGAAGGGCAACTTCGCCGTCGCCGTCCCAGGCATAGAAGGCACGAACGGCGCGGCCGATGGTGATTCCACAGACGGCTCGTCTAGCGACTCCGACTCCGCGACAACCCTTAAGACCAAGACAAGACACAGCCATCAGAAGACCGTGACCGTGACTGAGGGTATCGCCACAGTTACAGTTACGCAGTACGTCGACTCTAGTACCCTGGCAGAAGCTACATCAACTGCTACCGTCACTGAGGGCGTCTCCACCGTCGTTGTGACGCGGTTCGAGGAGGCGACTGCTCCCGTGGGCACGGCTTCGACGCCCGTCGAGACCGGCGCCGCACCCCTCGTCACGTCCGTCACGCCCTTCATGGCACGGCGTGCGAGGTGGAGCAGCGGCAAGCGAAGTCTCCTAGGACCGCATTAACACCACGGCTTCTTCTTGGCTTTCACGGCTTGCCCGACTCGAATTTAGTTGGCACCGGCTTCTCCAACTGCACATACAATAGGGATCACAAAACAGGATAAATTTTGACGACGAGAGGAATGATGATTTTCGCACATACCATACCCATTTATTACCCGGATAGGGGGGGCATCGGAAAGGGGGCCGGCGGCATGGAACGGAACAGCACATACTTGCTAGGCGTTGAGTGGAAAAGGCCCATAGACGGCAGCATATTCACACAGGAACACCTTGTGTTTCTCTCTGGGGCGTTTTTGATACCATTTTGAATTTCCTGATAAGCTAGAGGAGGGGGCTTTGCATCTCGGCGTGGCTATTTCGCCGCCGTTGGCTTGTGTGTAGGCAAGGGGCGTACGGACTGTGGCAGGATGAATCTGTCTATCGATCAGCCTCGGCCACGAGCAGTCTCAAATCCGGCATTTGATAGGCTTGCTTAGGAACACGAAATTTCTTGAAATATAACTTCCATCTGACTTCTCTGTGACGCGCTTTTGTGTGACCAATGCTAGTAGTAAATTTCCTTCCCGGTTTAATCTCCGGCTTTTGCCAGGTTACCTACCTACCATCCTGCACTCTTGACATTCTCTCTGTTTCCACGTGCGTGTCCCTGTCCCTCTCTCCCTCTACATCTCACCGCACTGGGCAATAATCACATCCAGGTCCGGCACGTCGCGCCCGCGGCGGCCCGTCTTGGTCGCCTCCATCTTTTTGACGACGTCCATGCCGTCGACGACCTTGCCGAAGACGACGTGCTTGCCGTCCAGGAACGGCGTGGGCACCGTCGTGATGAAGAACTGGGAGCCGTTCGTGTTCGGGCCGGCGTTCTGCAGCAAGATGTCAGTATGAGCCGGGGTCCTGGAAAGACAAGTAGCAAGGCGGATCGATCTCTTCTCCCGAGACGAGACACACGCGTCCTGCCCCCGTCTCGAGTATGCCCATTCGCCTCAGGACGGTCGGGAGAAGCGAGAAAGGAATATATATATATACTCACAGCCATGGACAGGAGGCCCTCCTGGTCGTGCTTGAGCGCAAAGTTCTCGTCGGCAAACGCCTTGGTGCCGTAGATGCACGTCGACCCGGTGCCGTCGCCGTTGAGGAAGTCGCCGCCCTGGCACATGAAGCTGGGGATCTGCTCGCCCACACCAGGTCAGCCATCCCCCATCACTCATGAAGAGAGAGAGAGAGAGGGAGTCTATTTGGGTAAGGTGGGAGTCCACTTACGATCCGGTGAAACCTCGAGCCCTTGTAGCCCTGCGGCCGGCCCTGGTTGTTCTTGGTCTCGCCGGTGCAGAACTGCCGGAAGTTCTCGGCCGTGCGGGGGACTACGTCCTTGAAGAGCTCGAATGTGATCCGGCCGAGGGGCTCGCCTGGTGGTGGGCGGGCGTGTTAGAGATGTGCGTGCTATGTGGTTGTGATAGGAAGGGGCATGTTGATGGGCAGGGAGAGTGGCATCGTGAATCTCAGGGGTGAGCCCCGAGAGTGCCAGACCGCCATTGTCCGACTATAGCGACTATAGCATAGTCGGACAATAAATGAAGTCTCTTATAAGACTGTCTCATGAAGCTTCGAGTAGAAACCTATGTCTTTCACCGCATCCCGGCAGCAAAGGTGTAACCTCCAAGCCCAACATAAATTTCAAGTGAAATGAAGTGAAGCGAGTTGATGAGATTTTCAAGCTGACTTACCGCCTAATGTGATGTCAAAGAAGACCCTGTCGTGCACAATATCCTTGTCAGCCAGGCCATATCGTACGTGAAGTCGAGCGGTTGCCCAAAGCAGACAATATCAAATGGGCGGTAACAGGGGGTGTCTAGTGAGGCTGCTGCTGCTGCTGCAAGACGTCCAGTTATGGATAGCCTGAACGCGCGAAAGCTGCAAGCCAGGCAGCTGGAGGCAAGTACTTTACTTACAGTGGGTTGCCGTTCTCCGGCAGCTTGGTGGGCGGCATTGCCAACGATTGCAATACCGATGCGGTACTCGGTGGGTGTCTCTCTATCGGGGTGGTCTTCAAAGCTCCTCCGTTACCTAGGTAGAGCTTTCGGGGACGGAGGTTGGTGCTGGTTGGCTGGGTTCACTGTTTGGTCCGGCAAAATCGTGCACTGGGTCGATCTTTTCGGCAACTTCTTGGCCCGGAATCCGGGGCTTACGGTGGGGTGCGTGCTGCGGACTCCACCGTCCTGCTTGCACGAGCTGCAATACGGTGTAATGCCTCCACAAAAGATAGCCATCTCTTGTCGAGGATTTCCTTTGCTCGTGTGCAAGTCTCTGGTCTAGTGATGACGGGTTCTACCTAGTCTAGTCTCTAAGCTTAAGGAACAAGGCGCGGTTCTCCGCCCGGGTAGATCGGACATTGGGCAGAAGAGGCATGTCAGCGACGACGGGGGCGAAGTCCGTCTCAATCGACAGAGGCAGGTGTCGATATCAATGAGTATTGTCTACGCCAGACACAGCGCCGCTTCAAGGTTGCGATTGGAGCGCGAGCCATTCCCGCATCGAGGTCGCCACTTGATGAATGAATGAGCAGTACATGTACGTAGTAAGGCCGCTTCCTCCAAAAGTGTGCATGAGTCGTGCACTTGCGGCTCAGGCATTGATTTGAGTACTGAATAAAGTAGATCTGCGCGCATATAACGGCGTATTACAAATTCCCAAGTGCACAAAGTTTATCTTTCGGCAACTGCACGCCGTTCTTCTCCATCCACTACGCCGCTCGTGCCTAATTCTCTACACTGAGTTATACCAAGATCGGCAATGGAGTGCACGAGACGGTGTGCCTCTAATGCGTCTCTGGTGTGGGAGTGTGGGGGAGGTCAACTGTGGAGGGGCTGGCTCACGATTGCGTCAATTTCTCGGTAGAGCACCTGTAACGAGCGCTGCTCTACGATTGAGGAAAGGTATGCGAGTTGACGACGTGGCCGGTGAGGCTTGGGCCTTGTCCATTTGGGATGCTTCTCTTGTCTGAAAGAATGCTTCTTTGATTCGAGGCCGAGGCGTGTTGCGTCCTCGTGGAGAGGCGGTGTTCTTGGCCTTCCTGTCCGTACCCCTCTTCTGACCCGCCAAGCTGGCGGCGCTGTCCGTGTAAGTGCAAGCGCGTAGATAAGTAGATGTTCTTCGATTGTATCCAGTCGGCGATGGCTTTTACATTTCGCCCGGACAGGCTCAGCCGTCGGACGACTTCTGGAGAGCCACAAGAAGACAAATCAGACTCGCCAATGTGAAGAGCCAGAACGATCGTCGTGAAAAGCCCGGCGATATCGGCTCGGCAAATGGCTCTCTCCCACCTGTCGATCTCGCGCTCACTAATAACGAACTTCAACGTTTTCTCTCGCCGTTGGGATATCACACCACGAGAGCCTTTCCCAAAGCGGGGAAGAGGAGCATATTGATTGAGGACTGGCCTTCTGGAGACTCCCCTGCCAGCGTGCCTTGGCTTACAAGTGACAACCCCACACATGGCATCACGGCACGGCATCATTGCGAAGGGAAGCATGCAATGGTAACGAGCACGGCATGAGAGCCAAGGTCACCGGAACAGGTCATGAACAGATAGACAGGGCTTAGAATTGACATGATGTGATGTGATAAGGCAGTTGACGGACGACAGGCACTTCACATCATACAATCTGGACATGCATCCCCCATCGGCGGGCTGCGAGCTCTCAATCTGGCATTCGGCATTAGGGCGATTGGGTAGACCATCTTGTTCTTAAGAGCGGCCGCATATGCACCAGCCATCGCAGCTAGCCAACAAGCGTCCAGGCACGAGAGCGCATTGAAAGCGTGAGCCGTGCCAGATTGACGACCTGTTGATTACGGGACCTGATTTGGTCGTTCGCTGGTCCCCTGGTGGCAGGCTTAAAACGGCCGCTATTGTTGACGGCCTTTTCCCATCACTTGGAGCGGCAGTGACTTGTCCGGGTAGATAGTTGTCAACAGAACAACTGTTTCCTCCCTGGCAACTGGACTGGCATGAACAGGATCGTCCTACGAGAGAATCATGTCGTTGGCAGACTGAGCTGAAAGATGACCGCATCGCACTTGGAATTGTGGCTCCAATGGTTTCAATTGACAAGGATGCGCCCCAGCGCCCCCCATGATGACAGGATACGAGAATGTACTGGACGCGGTGTTTGCATGCTAAAGTGCTACATTGTTATGCATTGCAAAATATTGGATGGGATCGGTATCTCTTAACGCGGTACGACGCATCCGTTTTCTGGGAAGAATCTGTTCTAGATCAGGGCCAGTGCGTTTCAATCCTGACGAGTGCAAGCTCGCCAAAAAGCTTGGTCGAAACTATTGCCAGCGCCTCTGGATATGGATGCTTGTGTCTCAGCAGGATTGAGCATCACAGAGCCTGACACGAGATGCGCCACTTCATTCTCCTGCATCCATCATCACAGGATATCGTGGCATGGTCGCGTCTCCTGGCCGTTGATCTAAGTAAGGTCTAGCCTTGGTGAAACCAGGGGTCGGCCATTTTGAGAGACCAAGTTTGCTAACAAGGTGACGCATGTCTGGGTTCCTTGCTTTTAGAGCACACACGTACATCTGCACCAAGAAAAGCCCCCAACATAATTGGGTTTTGATACACAACGTTGATATTATTTCGTACATACATGTTATCTAGCGAAGCTTGAACCCAAGATCTCGAAACCCTTCCTGGACCCAGTTCGGAAACGACTGGATGGCCATCAACCATTTCACTCTCTCAGGGAGCACAATCTGTCCACCACGGCAGCCGAATACGTGGTCGAGCACCTTCTCAGCGACCTCCTCCGGCTGCATCATGGCCTTCCTCTTCGCCTCGGATTCGGCGGCACGTGCCTTGGTCAGGCCCGTCTCCACCCACATGGGGTGGACGATGGTGCTCAGGACGCCCGGCGTCTTGTACACGTTCCGGATCTCCACCTGCAGGCCCTGGTGCAGCGCCACGAGGCCGGCCTTTGTCGCTGCGTAGCCGAGCGACACGCCGGCGGTGACGTACGCCGCCACGGACGAGACGGTCACGACGTGGCCCTTGTCCGCGGCGACCATGGCCGGCAGGAACTCCTGGAGGGTCGCGAACTGCGCGACGATGTTGACGTCGAAGATGCGGCGGATGCGCTCGCGCGGCGTCCCGAGCAGCGGCAGCCCGTGCGCGGTCGTGGCCGCGTTGTTGACCAGGATCGACGGGTCGCCCAGCGTCGCGCGGATGCCGGCCGCCGCCGCGGCGAGCGCCGGCGCCGACGCGATGTCGCACTGCCAGTACGAGACGTTGGCCAGCGCCGCGAGGTCGGCGGGCTCGTCGGCCACGTCGAGCACTGCGACCGCGACGCCCCTGCGGGCCAGGCCGAGCACGATGGCTTTCCCTATGCCGCCGCCGCCGCCGGTCACGACGGCCACCTCGCTGGGCCAGTGCCAGTCCTTGGTGGGCGGGGAGCGCCAGTTGGTCAGTGCCCAGGCATTCAGTAAGCGGTTGACCACTTTGACCAGTGAAAGAACAACTGGTATTATGAGGGCTTTTCTGAGTGTTGGGATCTGAATGCGATTCTGCAAGTGCAGACTCGTCAGGAGGCGGCTCGCTTTGTCGGGGTCAAGTGCCACCAGGGCGAGGGCCGACGCAGGAAGCCCTACATTGACGATGTCTCTGGTCCATACCATGTTTGAAATGACGAAGCAAGCTACTTGGTATATAAAGCTTCACAGTATGCCGGTTCAAGAGATCGTCCATGACATGGCATGATACGAACGTCGTGGGCGTGATGCCCACGCCTGTTCCGCAAACGGTATCACGTGCCATAAGCAGATCAAATATAGTATCTCGTATTTTAAATAATTATCTCGTTATTGACTGCCAGTGACTGCCCGTGACTGCCAGTGAATGACGGTGTTACTTTTCAAAGTAGAAGGTTTTTGTATTCACACTGAGTCTTGATAGCGATGTAAGTGATTATATAAGTGACTGTAGCCAGCCACGACCAATGAATGTGCAGGGTCTAGGTCCGCGAGGGCCAAAGTCCGAGGTATGACAGAAGCAAGAATACAAGTCTACGTACCTACCTACATACCGGTGTGCCGGATCAGCGACGGCAATTGGAACGTGCGATCTACGGTGATAGATATATCTTGTCTGTGACGACTTTCAAGGGAGAGTGCGGCGCAATTGCTGCAAGCGTACGGGAACAAAGGGCACGCCGTATTCAATTGATGCTCTTCACATTCCACGCTTCGCACAGCCGAAGTCATCACTGCAGGGCTGGTGACATTGCCAATCTGCAGGGCAGGGCAGCCGTTTCCCCAAGACGGAAGGGCTCGGCTTCCATGATTCAGTCAATGACAATAGTCGATGCACGAGTAGGAGGTCAGAAGCTTATTGTAGTTCAATGAATGGCTGGCTGGCTGGATGGCCTTCCCGTCCGTCAGCTGCTGGGGGTGTCTTGAATCCCGGCCGTTCCGCCAGACCCGGCCGCTTGTTCACCCCAGGACGCATTGGGAATGCCTGACGTGATTCAGCCTCCCTCGGGGGTTCTCGCTGTTCGCTGTTGCTGCTGCTGCTACATGATGACAGTAGAGGTGTGTGTGTTAGTGTCAGGTCAGGCAATGCTTGCATTGATTTGTATCACGAGTTTTCTCTCTCTCTGGGGTCCAGGGTGCCGGTCAATCCGCGCGTGTCTGGACCCTGGTGCGGGTACCCGTGCATGAATTCAATGTGGGCATTTTACCAGTCGTTTCAATCCATTCAACGCCGGCCTGCTGGATGAGGAAAGTGTGATAATGGCTGCATCGGGCACAACCAGCGAGGCCAGTGGAAGTAAAGGTTGGGGGCGCCCCGGCGGCCAGCTACCGCACTCTAAAAAGGGGAGAGAGGGAGAGGAAGAGGGAAACGGGCTCCTTTAGCCGCCGTCATGCAGATCTCCCTTGTTGGGGGGAGGAATAGCCCGTCACATAGCGTAGCGTATTAATGCTCCTGGTGTTTTGGTGCATTGATGAGGATGGATAGAGTCAATTTCCATTCGAATAGGAGAATGGGGGATGCAATTCCTTCGTCCCAGAATTGCGAAACGGTGAATTGACCAGGGAGCAATGCTGCTGCTTCTGTGCTTTGCTGTGCTTTGCTTTGCGTGCGTATGCGTAGGCCCATTGCGAATCACCTCTCTGTGGCCCCCTTTGATGTTCCCGCCTTGCCTCAGATCCGACAGGCCTCTGTGTTAGAGTAGAGACGAAGCAAGCAAGCAACCAGGTTCAAGCCTCGAAGGAGACCTGGACCCCTCGGCCCCGAAGCAGAGAACAATCAGACACAGCAGACAGTTCAATTCAATTCAATTCAATCCGGAGATCAAAATAGATAAACAATACAGCGACAAGGCGCGGGGAAAAGCGTATTCGGTAGCAGCAGTCGTCGTCGTCGATAGAGCGAAGCCACACAAGATATATGATATATGGTATATCAAATAACGTTACCTGTGATACGCTTCTGGGTGTAGGTCTCGAGGTGTGAGGGAGTTTCCTTATCCAGTCTGCATCAAGTCAGTCGCTCAGTCAGACACCTAGCTAATAGTAGGTATCTACTGCATAGTGGGCGCTACCTGTACTGTTGTAGGCTAGAGGATCGTACTGAATCCTGCCCTAGGAGCGGACGGAGACCGGGGCAACTCAAAGCGTTAGCTCCAAGCCCGATCCCTGTCAGCGTCGTTTTTGGACTTTCCCAGCGTGCGGTAAGGTACCGGATCTTGCTGAGGAGGTGCCCGTCTTTCAGCAAGTCACTTCCCCTCGTCGTCGTCGTCGTCCTCCCCCAGCGCACTGCCCGCCTACTAGCGACCCACCACCCACCCATCAGCATCATCTGTTAAGGGCCCGGGCGGGCTTAAGTGAACGCTAACAATTAATTCCCTGTTCTGTCCTTTGTTGGTCCCGTCCTGTATGTCGCTGAGGTGGCCCGCCGGCCGTCATCATACGCCATACGCAGTACGCACTTAGTACAGGTAGGGAGGTAGGAGAGCCCATCCTTCCCAGAGCGTGCCAAGTTACCTACAGTTAGTGAGTGGCCCAGCCAGCAGCCAGCAGCCAGCAGCCAGCCCGCAGCAGCCAGCCCGTCCACCAATCCGCCTCCGTCTCTTTCCCACCCGCTGCTCGCTCGCTCTCCGGCCTCCTCTGCCCTGCCCTGCCTCCTCCTCCTCCTCTTTTCGCCTCTCTCTCGCTCACTTTCTTCTGACCATCCATCCGACTCTCACCATTTCAATCCACTCCAACCTACGGAACTCTTTCCTTTTTTCTTTTCTCCACCGTCCACACCTAAAACGTTGACCTCATCATCAACCTAAAAACACCGAACAAGGCAAAGAAGAGGGCTATCTATCCTCTCTCTCTTGACCTCGCCTCGCCTCACCTAACTTTAATAAGACAAGCAGTATAGTCCGCCCACTCCAGCCGCCCGTCGGTCGTGGATCCGCCCCCCGTTTCTTGTCTCTCTGCGCCGCCGAGCCACTCTCGCCCTCTTCAATGCTGCGTGCGACGACTCGTGCTGTAATATAATCATCCTCAACTCTTGGCGGCGATTTCTGGTTTCTGGTCTATCTCCATCGGTTCGACTCTCATGGTCTCGCTATTCTCGCAGTCATCGTGACCTCGCCGTCGTCTGTCTTTCCGACAACAGTCTTCTAACCCAGCCGCCACGATGGGGTTCATCAATCCGGACGCCCTCGTCGGCGCCGCCCACCACCTGGTGCGGGCCGTCGAGAACCAGGCCCGTCAGCTCCCATCGTCCACCTCGAGCATCTCGAGTGTTGCTTCGAGCCTCGTATCATCAGCAACCTCTGCCGTCACCTCCGCGACCTCCGCGGCCACCTCTCCGTCGTCCGCCCCGTTCTCCACGTTCCCTCCCACCACAGTGACCCTCAGCATGTCACCTACCGGCAGCACTATCAACTCAGGTACCGGCGGTGCGAACAGTAGCGACACCAACAACGGTAACAACGGTGGTGGTCAGAGCTCGCCGCTGCTCTTCTTTGTCGCCCTCGGCTTCGGCGTTGTCTTTACAAACCTTTGGTGAGCACTCGTCTTATCGCCGTGGGGAGCGGCCTCTCCCGCTGCCAACATTCGTGTCATCTTAACACAATGAACAGGATTATCGTCGGCGTTAAGTACTGCTTCCGATACAATGCTCGCAACCGTCAGATGAGGATGACTGGCGAGGATGGAGAACCCATCACCCTCGACAACATGCCTCGCCCTCATCGCCGCCGTCGGGAAAAGAAGCTGATGACCATGGATGAGGTGAACGAAAAGTTCCCCATGATGAAGTACAAGAGCTGGGTGGCCAGCCGCGCAAGTGAGGGACTGCCGACGCAAGGTGGCGTGTCAGCAATGCCCAGCAGGGCAAACAGTGTGCGGAGTGTCGACGGCGTTGTACCTGAATTACCATCGAAGGAAAGGGACTCCGTGGACCGACCAGCGACCAGCGCGACCTCCAAAGTACAGGAAAAGCCCGAGTTCAGACATTTGGCGTCTGATAGCACATCAGGCACTATCAAGGATGTGCATCAATCTATGGATGATAGACCTACGAGTCCTCCTGCAACAAATGCCCCGGACACCGAACCTTTACCTCGTGTCATCAGCCGCTCATCGGGGGAGCACGACGATGACGATGACGATGAGCACATTAATGCTGCGCTGCCACCGGAATGTCTCGGCACTGCTGGAGACACCTGTGCTATCTGCATTGATACTCTGGAGGATGACGATGACGTTCGCGGATTGACCTGCGGTCACGCTTTCCATGCTGTGTGCGTTGACCCTTGGTTGACGAGCCGAAGAGCATGCTGCCCTCTCTGCAAAGCCGATTACTACACTCCTAAGCCTCGCCCTGAAGGCCAGACTGACCCCAATGCTCCCATCACCATCGCCATTGTAGAGGGTGGCAGGAATAGAATGAACATGCCCTCTAGACCTGGAGCTACCTGGATTGGCATTCGCGGCCACAGTCGCATGATGCGGTCCTCACGAAACGCCAATAACGGAACCGACGAGGAGCGTCCCGCTGGTGTCGATGACAACAGTGGAAGGCAATTTGGTTTCTTCCACAGGCGACAGCAGCAAGCCGCCAATCCAAACGGGGCTGCCCCCGAGATTGTGCAACCTGATCACGGAGGTTTCTTCTCTAATTTGAGACAACAATTCCCAGCTTTCCGGAGACCTCCGGCAACCACTCCGGCAACCACTCCGGCTCAACCGCACGTTGAGGGTGACGCACCTGTAGCCCCTGGGGCAACCGAGGAAGTTTCCCCCTCGCAGCTAGAGGCTGGAGTTCGACCGACAGATGGTCGGTGAAGTTGAGATCATGAGTTTTGAAAACAAAATGACTGTTCTCCCTGAATATACCCCCACCCGCGAACATGGCTTTCTTTCGGATCCGACCTGTACATTACCTACTCGTCATTTGGGTTCAATGCTTGCCTTGAAGATCTTGTTTTGATGTTCAGCCGGAACATGTGCACATCATCCTTCCTTTGGGTGCCACAACACTGTGGTTGGTCTTTCAGTATTTCTTTATCTCATCACGCAGCACGTATATATCAACGAGACGGAGTGACGAACAAGGGAGGAGGAGAGGGTGGGTGACGAGCTACAAGATGACTCGTCTCTGGAAACATTGTCTCCTACCCCGGTTTTCATCGAGAGAAAGCCAGGGGGACATGATGGCTGCTGTCGGATAGCTGCATTATGATATGCATAGCAACAAGGCTCTTGCACGGCAGGCAAAGGAAAGCGCATGGTATCACGGCGTTTTTAGGATCAAAGGCGTTTGAATGCGCTTTGGCTTATAATGAGAATAAGATCGCATTGCTGCACATCTTTCCCTTGACTGTAATGTGTCCTGCATCTCTAGTCGCCCATGACCGTTGTGACATGACATAAATCTCCTTTCCAAACGCCAGTGGGTATCATCCATACATCCATTCGTCCATCTACCTACAGATACTTGCCCTTCTGAAACCTGCCCCCAAAGTCCGCCGCCCTGTTGAGCATCTCCCGCCGCTGCGAGTGCGTGATCTTGCCCCCGAGCGCCATGTCCTTCTCCCGGTCGAACGCCCGCTTGCTGGGGTCGTCTTCCTCCTCCTCGCCGTCGCCGTCGCCGTCGCCCTTGCCGTCCCGCCCCGCCGCCTTGGCCGTCTGGTGCTCCTCGTACAGGCTCCGCCCCCGCGTCTGCTCTGTGAACGCCCGGATCCGCTCGTCCTGCTCGCGGCTACTGCTGTTCCCCTTCTGCTGCGGCGCGGCGCGCGCGGGAGTAGCAGTAGGAGCGGCGCCGTGCACCGTCGGGTCGGCCGCGCGCCCCAGCACCGCGTCCGCGAGGCGCTTCTTCTTCTCCTCGGGCGTCTCGAACCACACGCTGCTGGGCCCGGCCCCGGAGGAAGAAGAAGAAGAGGCGCCGCCTGCGCCTGCGCCTGCGCGCGGCCCGCTCGTGAACTTGCGCGCCTTGAGCTGCGTCGGGTCGGCGACGCGGTAGCCGCGGTCCGTCGGGGGCGCGAGCATCCAGGCGTCGCGCTGGGCCGCGGCCGGTGCGGCGTGGGCGGCGCTGGGGAGGGACGGGCCGTGGCTGGCGCCTGCTCTGGAGGAGGAGGAGGAGGAGGCGGC